TTTCAGGAGACATGGAAACGTGTCTCTTCCCCCACAAGTGTGGTCTGACGGCTCCGTTAGTGAGACGGAGTGTCTGCAACTAACATGACTGTACACATTTTCTTTTCTCCTTTCTCTCTCTCTTCTCTCTCCTCTCTCTCTTCCTCCCACAGCGACCGGTCGGCTTGTATCGGCCACACGTGCCAAAACGGTCGGAAAGTTTGGACTAGTGATGTCGGGTGTTCCTTATACGGGCCCCATCCAAGTTGGGACTGTGTCTGCTTGGTTTGACAAATGTAAGCCCTCTCTCCCTTTCTCTCTCTCTCCCTTTCTCTCTCTCACTTTCTCTCTCTCTCCCTTTCTCTCTCTCTCCCTTTCTCTCTCTCTCTCCCTTTCTCTCTCTCTCTCTCCCTTTCTCTCTCTCTCCCTTTCTCTCTCTCTCCCTTTCTCTCTCTCTCTCTCTCATGCAACATTATGTGGCAATTTGAAGAGTAGCTATGGTGATACTATTCTCTCTGTTTTTCTTGCAGCTGTGGAGTTTGTCAGCATGTATGAAATTGGTGAATTCATCTACACTTTCTTCCGCGAGGTTCCCGGGGAGGCCGATACAACTGTAAGTCTCAATTAATACTCTCAGCTAGCTACTCCAGCATATAGAATGTAATACTCTTAGCTAGCTACTCCATATAGAATGGATTTCCATGTTTCAAGTGGTGGTGTGCATCCTTGTGTGCACGGGTTTTAGTGATCTTACTGTACTGGAATGAAATTGAAAGCTAATGCTCTACATCTCTCTATTTCAGGTCATACATTCCAGAGTGTCCAGAGTCTGCAAGGTACGTATATACCTACCGGTTGCCTTGGTTATATACACAGCCCTGGTTGCCATTAGTTACCCAGTCCCACAGGTGTCTTGTACGGGGACCGACATTCCTGTGAATTATGCTCCATTTAGCTGTTGATCATCTGCTCAGGATTATTGAATACCTAGACAAGTTCGCTGTCACAACTGTTGGTATTATTACTCAGCACTTTCTGAAGACCTTAGTTTCGCCTCCCCAAGACACGTCCTTAAGACACCCCAAGACACCCATAGCAGCCCGATATTTAAAACTCTAGGTGTTGGTATGGAGGCAGTAGAGACAACGAGGCAGCATTATCGTAACGTGTGTTTGGCATCATCAAGCTTATGTATAATACTGGAGCAATATATTGTTTTGAATTAATGGAACTACTATTTGTGTTTCATTCTGATTATTTCTGGCACCACGTCGTATGTTAATGCCAACACCATCCCCAAATGTTTTACTGGCTGCAGTAGTAGTGATAGCTGGCAATAAGTATAGGGTGTGTTAGTGGGTGTTGTCAAAGTATCTTAGTCAAAGCAACTTACGTACGAGAATCTTAGCGGTTCTGACATCATGTAATAGAGCCCATTCCTGTTTTAACCCTAACGCTACTGCAGCGTGTTTAATTAACCCTCTCTCTCTCCCTCTCGATGCAGAACGACACGGGCGTCACGGACACCATCAATCCATTTCGTGGTGACTACGATATCTTCACGACATTCTTAAAGGCTCGAATGACATGTGTGTCAGGAGGAGGAGGAAGTGGAGAAATTCCTTACTACTATGATGAACTACGTGAGTCCTCCAGTTGAAATTTTACACTCATGCAAATTTTTGACTCAAAAATCTACACAAAATTTGCTAGGGGAAAAATTTTTGTTCGCCAAAAACATTTTACTCGCATGTGTCTAAAAAATTTTTGCTATATACATTTTTTGCAGAGGATACATTTCTGGTAGAGAGTGAAAAAGAAGACGGGAGTTTGGAGAAGAAGCTTTACGCCATCTTCACCGCTCCCATGTAAGTGACCTCCCCCCCTCTCTCGAAGTTCAGGACACGACACCTATCAGGACAACATTGAATGGTGTCCTGATAAGAAAGACCCCTGCTTTGACAAGCTATGTCGATTGCTATATACAGGAACGGCCCCGTGGGCTCTGCGGTGTGCGTCTACTCATTTGACAGCGGTGACAGTCTGGTGTCTGTGTTCCTTGGCAAGTACCTGAGGGAGACAACGCTGGATCAGTTCGAGGAGGTGGAGAATACCGATCCATTCTCCGTGAGTACAAATGACACACACACGCACGCACACACACACACACAGAGAAAATGATAAATTTCCTAAAAACCAAGAACGAAAAAAAATTTTCACACTGCAAATACTTGAAAAGCCCTACTCTTTCACTTTCCCCCTCGTCCCTCCGATCCTACCCTCTCTCACCTCTTCCCCCCTCCCTCTTCTCTCTCAGTGTACGACAGACAGGAGTGCAACTGAAGCAAACGAGCGCCATCTCATGTCGGACACAGCCCACCAGACCAGCGGCGACAGACTCCATCTCCAGTTGACCGGATACTCCTTCAAGAAGATACTGGTAGCTGCTGTAACCGACTTGGCTGGAAATACTCACGATGTCATGTACATCACCAGCACCAAAGAAGGTGAGGTTTCTCAATACTCTCTCTCCTCACTCCCCTCCTTACTGTAGCACTTGTCCTCCAGTCCTTCCCATTCTAATTGCTGCACACCCACCTAAGCCACACCTACTTGCCCCGCCCACAGGTTCTCTCGTACTCCTGAAGACACTGTACGACGCCACTCGGCAGGAATCACTCGTCATCTCGGAGCAGGAGCTGAAACTCTCCGAAGACACCACGACAACAGACGCGACCTCTGGTGAACCCCCGGCTATCATCCACATGCAGTTGCTAGGCAACGGGACCGATGCGGCGAGGGACGCGGTGTACGTCGGGACCACGGAGGCGCTGTACCGGTTCCCCGTCGCCAACTGCGGACAATTCAGTGGCGATTGCTGCGCGTGCGTGGCTTCTCGTGATCCTCACTGTGCCTACGATCCTGTTGAGAATAAATGTGTGTCTGTGTATGGTGGAGTGACGGGAATAAGACTCCTGCAAGACGTTGCCAACGGCGACATCGCAGCGTGCTCTGCACCTCCAGGCAGCAACGAAACCACGCCCACCCCAACTAGAGCTGTCGACACTCCCGTTACCGTGGAAACCAAAACAGGGGATCCGTATTCCACGGTTGGAGCTAAACCGAGTCCGACATCTGAACCTGGTGAGTGGAGTGGTACATGTTCAGTTGAGCTTGACTGTCCAAATGTAAAAACAACAAAATAGCTGCTTCTGTAAGCACCTATGGGGCTACATACACACCATCAAACTCAGCAGCACGGTACCAAAATACTGTAAAAGCCCTCCAGCTTACATTACTAACCCCCCCTCCCCCTCTCTCCAGTTCGTCCATCACTGGGTGGAGTGACGGGGGAACAAGAAGCCTCACAGAGCAACTACCAATGGACCATCATTGGCACAATCTGTGCCTTTGTCGGCGGAATCATCCTCGGCATCCTGGTCATGGCGTTCGTCCTCAAGAACAAGGGCAGGTTCATTTGGAACAAGTTCATCTCCTCTTCTCGCAGACCCACCGTCCAGAGCCAACCTGCTCCACCATCTACCTCTAACAAAGGAGGTGAGTTCATTTTTATGTAGGGCGGATAAAATTTTAGGTGACAACAGTTAAAATTTGGACATTCTTCATAAAAAGTTTACTCCCGCACGCAAAGTTTTGAGTCCAGCTGCAGTTAGAAATTTGGTGATGTCTCAGTGACTGGAATGAGTTTCATTTTCAACTCTCCCGCAGCCTGTAACAAAGACACAGACGGAGCTTCAAACTTCACCGACAAGGCCGAGATGTACGAGAGGAACAACTGTGACATGAATCCCCATGGCAACGCAGCCGCCGTTGTCGTCCACCTTGACCCAATCAGCAACCTCCCGACATACATAAATCATCGTCACTATGGCAACGGGAAACAAGGGACGAAAGGCATCGAACCTCCACCTTACTCTCCTAACAAGCCGACCGTGTTGCCTAGCAACGGTGCAGCAGCGATACAATTGGAAATGACTGACGGAGATGCCACGCCCACAACCAGTCACCATTCCACTCCGGAGCACAAGAGGAACAAACCTCAGCCCAACACTCCACCGGAAAACAAGACCAACAAACCCTCACCAACAAAGAATCTTCCTCTCTCGACTCCGCCCAAACCGTCGACTCCGCCCTCCATGCAAACCATGCCCAAATCATCCCAGACCACTCCCACTAAGCCATCAACTCCATCAAAAGCCACGCCCCCAAGCCAATTGTCTCCACTGACTCTAACTCCAGCTCACAAGCACCAGTACTGCCGAGCACAATCCCACCCTCACCATTACACCTCCTCACACCCTCACCAGACTCCGCCCCCCAGCGGACACTACTCCACTCTACCTCTGAAGAAGAAGAGACACTCTTCCACATCTCATTCGGAGACCACGCCCCCCAAACGACCCTCGTCAGTCGAGGGTCCGCCTAATTTTTCCCTCCCGAGACCATCTTCGGCACAGAATCTAAACCACGTTTTCAGAGCTCGTAGTGCCACCATGGCTACTGCCATGACAATGCCGACCAAACAAAGGCCGGGGATGGTACCGCTGTCTCCATTTAGTGCCCACCACCACCAATCCCAAGGGGGAATCCCCAGCTCTCCATACAGTAACGGGGGAGCAGCTGCAGCTGGTACCCCAGTCAGCACCCCATACAGTAACGGGGGAGCAGCTGCAGCTGGTACCCCAGTCAGCACTACCAGCTCGGGGGGCTCGCACGGTCCCTCGTATTTCAAATTCCCCTCCTCCCCGGGGGGCAAGCTCCCCGAGGGGGCACCAGCTGGGATCCCCTTCATACTATAGGGGGGAGGGGTCAAAGGACCTCAACATGAAAGCGACTGGTTACGCCGTTGAAGCAACTTCCAACCAAGACAGGGCAATGTACGGACACAACGTTGCCACACAGTGCCACACCATCGACAGGAAAAACAAGTTCCAGAACGGACGCACGCACCAACGGGGACGGTCGCCGCCGGTAACCAATGGGACACACCCACACCCGGAAACGAGGTTAATTGAAGTTGCCGGTGGTGTTGTGGGTTGTACCGATTGCTGAGTGTCAGTTTGTCTGTCGATTTTTGTGTATCAATGAAAATTTACTTAGCTTTGTCAAATTTGTGCTGTTTGGCCATTCTACGTACGTATGTACATGAAATTTGTACGTTTGTAAAAAGTTTTGTACCTATCGTCACAATTTTTCTCAGTTGCAATTTTTTTCCTCCACTTCCAACATTTTTTCAAGATTTTTAAACCATGTTTTCCCACAAATATCTGTCCCTCATTTGCTGCACATTACAGCATTGAGTATTTTTCCTCTTTTGCTGAATTCAAAAACATAGTATTTTTTTGTACGAAAGCTAATCATGCAGTTCTTTTATAAACTTGAGAGAGTTTTTGAATCAAATCTTGTAGCAGTGGATTCCCTCCCAACCTCTTTATCTCGGCTAATAGCCTTGAGAAATGAGATAATGTAATCATTACATCACCACTAAAGATGCACGTCTCATTCCCGTACCTGGATTCCAGATCCTCCAAAATATGTCTCGTATAGTCCAGAGATCCTGCCTGCGAATGGTAAAAGACCCTATACACCTCTCTACCAAGGACACTTCCGTTTTATTCACCTCATACTAGTTGTGCATTATACTACATCGGAATAAGAGACACCTCTGAATAAAGGACACTTTTGATGGATCACCAAGATGTCCTTTATTCAGGAGTTCCATATGTATATATAACACCTCCTGTAGGCACCGGAGAAAGTACTTCTTCACATCGATGTCTTCTGTTCTTTGTCTCAGAATGTCTATATACAACTAGTCAAAGACAAAAACTATAATTATTACCTACGAATAAGGGACACTTTTGATGGTGTCCCTTATTCAGAGGTTTCCCTGTGTAGAGAGAGGTGGGGTCAGTAGAGGGAGGGATACTCTTCAACTGTGACGAGAATGATGTCTCCCTAATCCCGTGGATGATCGGAAACGAATACTTCCCTTCAGTCAGGTCCTCGCAGAAGCTCTTGTTCTCTGCGTACTAGACAAAAAACACTGGACATCTCCCTCTCCCTCTCTACAGATGTCCACTTTCACCTCTTCCGAACTCAAATTGGCATAGTCATCTCTGATCTGGAAATACAGCCCCAGCATTTCCACCAATGGAGTGTAGTCCCTGGATCACATGACACCAGGTGATAGTCACATGACCTAGAATGAGTGACACGACTGAAGACTTACGTTTTGTTTTCACTAAACAGCTGCATTAGAGCAATCCCGAGCATGAAAAGCCCGCCAGTTTCTGCAACAGGAAAAACAGAGAGAGGATGTGTGTGTGTGTGGGGGGGGGATGACTTACTTTCTCTGACCATTTGCATGTACTCAGGTTCAGAGGGACAGCTGTGACTGTCTCTCCAGTATATGTCTTTTCCCTGGCCCAGATGGAGCTCCACCAACTGAGCTGGGGAAATGTATCTTTTTCCTCTCTCTCTCTCCTTTCTTTAGCTTCTCTCTCTCTCTCTTTTAAACCCTTACTACCTCCTTAACTTCCTTCCTTTTCTCTCCCTTCTCACTTGTTTCAAACACTCACTAGTGTAAATGTTGACTGCATCTGGATGTCCGAGTTTCAACGTACGCTGCAGAGCCTCAAAATAGACAAAGTTTGCAGAGTTTATGGTCTGTGCCACTCCAAACACATTGTGAGCCACTGCAGTGCAGAGATCGGGTCACATGACTATCACATGATCATCACGTGATACCTGGGATCCCTCTTCGCAGCTTTGAGTTGTCCTCAATGTCGTCTATTCTATTTGTAGGGATAAAGGTAATATCGAAATGTTTGGTTTTCTCACAGTAAGCTGGCATTGTGCAGCATTTGGGTCAAAACCCCGATTTCTGCTTTCTTGTCTGCTGGGATGTGCAGCCAGTAGTCGAAGGCGTTGACGAGCAGTAAGCGAATCCCTTTTCCCTTCACCTGACTAATGTATTCATAGGGCTCTCTTATTACCTGGGGAAAGGGGCGGGGCTGATGACGTATTCACCATCGTACCGTTCGCTACTTTTTCGAGATCAGACCTTTGTGTAGTCTCTTTCCGTTGGAGATGCCGCCATTTACAGGTCGCGGTAGTTGCAGCTTCGTTTATTCTTCTCCTTTTGCGCCGTCGCCACACGGGACCTAACCCCGCCCACCGACACGTGTTGACATTTTACACGCATGCGCACTATACCCTCGCCGGTGGATCAAGATGTCTAAGCGAGGTGAGCCGGGGAGGGAAAAGGCTCGGGAATCCGTCTGCATCTCTTCCCAGAGTCGCGGGAGTAGCTCCTAGCACTGTTTATTGATACGAGGACCTCATCTGCCGCTAACTCTCTCCTCTCTCGATGCACGTACCGCAGGAAAGAAGGGAGCGTCGGGGGCCAAGTTCCGTATCTCCCTCGGTCTACCCGTGGGGGCCGTCATGAACTGCGCCGACAACACTGGAGCCAAGAACCTCTACATAATCGCCGTGAAGGGTATCAGAGGCCGTCTTAACCGTCTCCCCGCGGCCGCTGCCGGTGACTTAGTATTGGCGACGGTGAAGAAAGGAAAGCCAGACCTGAGGAAGAAGGGTGAGTCCTACCGACCGTCTGTCTGTTTTAGTTCTCGTGTACGTGTGGTGTGACTATCTCTGCAGTGCATCTTGCTGTGGTGGTGAGACAAAGAAAACCGTATCGTCGAAAGGACGGGACGTTTATATACTTCGAAGGTACGACGTAACACGCATCGTTGAAGCATGAGATACTGCGTGTGTTACTCTTTGTGCCCCCAGACAATGCTGGCGTTATAGTCAACAACAAAGGTGAAATGAAAGGTGAATTCATGCAGCTGTCAAACTCTCAGCTTCTTTAATGTCTCTTCCCCCTTCTCTCTCTCTCCCTCTCTGGAAAACAGGCTCGACGGTGAATGGACCGGTGGCTAAAGAGTGTGCAGATCTATGGCCGAGAATCGCATCCAATGCACCCAGCATTGCATGACACTCACCCCAGTCTAACTCTGGTTATAATATCGGGTCTCTTGTACATATTGTTGTTGGAAATAATACAGAGAATTGACACATAAATGCAATCTTTGGAATGGTACACGATAGTAGTCCGAATCCTAGAATTCCAGCTTTTGTTCTGAACGAGAATCAGATAACTACAATGAATGGATGATGTCACTGTTACCCTCAAGGCTGACCTTTGACCTTCCTCTTGGCTCGGGCCTGGTGTAGGGGGATGAGAAATTCTCGATTGAAGAACTCCATATATGGCTTCAGTGAGGTCTTCATGTACACTATAACAAAAGTTACCATTGATGACATAATCATACACCCTTTTTCTTGCATGTTGAAAAGGGGTTAGCTATGGATAATGATTTTCGGATCAAGTTTAGTTCACTAAGTAGAGTAACCTTACTGTGAGGAGATTTCTCAGTCAACTGATCCAACTCTGTACACAGCTGCCTAGAGTAACAGTGAAGAGGAGAGGAACAGTAACGTAGGTATGGTCACTGCGTGCGTGCGTGCGTACTTGATAGTGGGGACTGCAAAAGGATCAAATGTGTCCAAATCCCAGAATGTTGATAGGAACACATATCCTGCCTGCAAGAAGACAGCGGAGTTGAAGAAAAGAGAGAGAGAGGCAGGGAAGGGAGGTAAGAGGGAAAGAGAGGAAGGAGAGATGGAAGAAAGGGAGTGTGAGAATTAGGTTCAATTCGGGAGACCAGAGGTATCGTACCTGTCTTGGGATGAACACAAAGTGGGCTCTTGAGTAAGTGGTTTATGCCTTTAGTGACGTTGGCATCCAGTCTGGGATAGCACCACTGGAGCATTATCTCATTCTTTGTAACATCCTGCACACAGACATAAATATAAACAGAGACGCAAAAATAGTTTGTGCTAGTACGTGATGTTGTGAACCACTCACTTGTACTTCAGTCCAGAGCCTCCGCCACCTGTCCCTCCCGCTCTCCCTCGGTCGTCCCTCCCATTCTTGCTGCAACATCTTCCTCTTGGTCTCGGGGACCAGGGCCAGCATCTTGCCCCACCGCTCCGCGTCGTCCAGGAAACCCTGCTCCTCGACCAGGTCCTCGAAATACCGGCGAGCAATCTTGATCGCTGAGCTGCAAGGGGGGAGAAATGGTGGAGGCTTTGAGAATAAGTCACATTCGGACAGTTTCTGATCTTTCCATACAGACACTCCACTTTCAAAACCAGTGAGGGTGTGCAATTATTAGAATTTTTCATGGAAAACACATTGGCGGATTCATGGCAAAACAAATATTGTCCCCACCAGCAATAATATCGTAGGTGGCTAACAAACTGCCCGGCTCACAAAATATTAGTCCTTTGAAAACTTTCTGGCAAGTTGTGTTGCTCACCTAATGGACGGGTGTAGAGGAGTCCGGAGTCTGACTTTCCTAGTCTGGTGCTCCCCACCCTGAACTAGAGTGAGGTATTCCACGATGGCACAGCGGGCCGGCTGTGACAGCTGTATGGCCTCCTCGTCGCACACCCAGCAGTGGACGCCACGGCGACCACTGTACACCCACAGCAAGTGGAGGAACCCGAAATCTTCTACAATACCAAAAGGAAAAGAAAGTCACGAGCTACAGTGAAAAAGGACCCTCAGAAAAAAGACACCTCTTTATAAACGACTTCCCCATGTACTAACTTAAAATTACCTCACCTCTGAATAAAGGACACTTTCAATGTCCCCAACGTGTCCCTTATTCAGAGGTTTCGCTGCAAATACCTCTAAGAGCCCTGTCCAATATCCTGATTGCAATTGTCATAAATTTCCAGCACTTCCCGCAGATGTTAGCCCCCTGGCAGCAGGTCCTGATGTCGTCGTAGTCTGTCATATCGATGTCGAACACCAGCTCTTTCCGCAGGGCCTTGAAGCTGGCCTGCTGGACGCGACTGCGCATGCTCGGTCTCACGGAGAAAATGGCACCGACGTCGATCTTGTACGGACGGGTCTTCCGCACGCTGTCCTCCAGGGCCTGTCGGCTCTCGAAGGACTGGTACCTCACGTACACATCGTCTTCCAGGGTGAACGAAAACTCTCGATGCGAGAAGGTGTCCCTATCACCTGCAAAGAAAACCTTCTCAATTCTAAATTGCTTTTACCATAATTGTGAACGCATTTGTTTCACACACACACGCTCTGACACAAGACAAAGGCCTCACCATACTCTAACCAGTCGTAGTATTTGTCGTAAGGGAAGAGGCGACTGTAATAGATCCTCAGCAAGTCTGGCAGCTCCGCTCGGTCGTAGTCTGCGTTTCCCGACGCCTCCCCCTTATCCTCCTCCTTCTCCTTCACTTCTTTACCGTTCATCCTTTTGTTCCCGCGGAAACATTTGCGCATGCGTACTCTATACACGTGGGTGGATCGTGAGATATATCAGTGCGTGTGTGTGTGTGTGTGTAACGTAAGGGGGCGTATTTTTTCAAGGGGTGGAGAGGAAGAGGAATAGGGAATAGGGGAGAATGGCCATGAACACAGTGTTTTCTGTGGGACCCGGCGTCTTTACGGAGGACGAGTTTTCGCGCGCCGTGGGCGAGCTGGACAGCCCGGATCTCGAGGGATGGGAGCTACTGGTGGAGTCAATGGGTACCAAGGTCTATCGCAAGTACAGAGAGGTTCGTGGGTCCGTTATAGAGAACCACACCAACATACAGTAAACCCTCCCAATAAAGGACACTACATTCTATATGGGGCACCTGTTTCTGCACCATCGCTAATACATTTTCTCCGAACAAGGGGCATTCTGCATAAAATTCTCTCTCTATCTAGGAGTCAGGACTGTATGAGTACAAGACGCTGGGTGAGATGGCGGACCTTGACCCCGAGATGTGTGCGCAGGTGTACGTTGACTGGGAGTACAGGAAGATATGGGATTCATACGTTTTGGGTGAGTTTTCAATCGTACACCACACTCCCCCCTTTTGGGCATCAAGACTACTACCAGACTCTGGAACACAATGCTGCATTAGTATTATGCTAAGGTTTTTTGTGTAAGCACTACATGTATTCATCTGATTGTTGTCACAGATCTGCATCCAATAAAGGACAAGTCGAGTGGTATGGAGGGTCTCTATTGGTGTGTGGACTACCCCTGGCCTCTCTCCGACAGAGATGTATCCTCCATATTTTACCCACATACACCCACACTCTGCATGTCTCACTATCATATTATACTGGTCTGTGGGGTCGTGTAGAATATTGACAGCTATTGAAGCTTTATGTGCTATTTCCTCTCTGCTCTAGACATATATATATATATATATATAATTATACTCTGCTTAAAAGATAAACAAAGTTCCCTATCTTAGTCCCATACATCTGTAATGCTACTTATCATGTCCATCCATTACGTAATCGGTGCCAGTTATTATGCACTTTTACTGCGGATGATCTTTGACTAGTGACGTCTGATACCGTGTATATAGTACACATTTGTTCGAGACTTCAAGATCGTCGAGATTGACGGTGTCCGTACCTATGCAGTGATGGCAAAGAGCCATCTGTTCCCGGAGGAGAAGGAGCGCAGTGGCATAGTCCGCGTGGACTCATTTCAGCAGTCCTGTGTGATGAGGACCGATGGGAAGGTCGGTTCAAAAGGTCAGTCACACATCTTTTTGTTCCTCTCTAAAGCTATAGACATGCTCATGAAATCAACATAAACAAAATCCTCGCTTCAACTCGATGACTGTCAAATCTAGATTTTACAGCCGGCATTTCCAGTTGTCCATATCTTTTGCCTCACTTATACATATTGCGGTATTCTCTCCTCTCCTCCAGCATTTATGCACTACTATGACAACCCCAAGGGGATGATCCCAACGTGGCTCATCAACTGGGCAGCCAAGGTAACAATACTCCACTCCTTACCAACTGCTTTGCAACCGCCCTCCCTCTGAATTTATAACTGTCTTATGAAACACCTCTATTATTAGAACAACCCCTCTCGTGAAGCAAAATTGACACCCCGTTTGTTGGTTTATATTATGGAGCCAACTCTCTAATTTTTTTGTCAGAACCCCTCAATTTTGCACCCAATTTCCCTCCCCTCTGCTCTCTCTGCTACAGACAGGCGTGCCGCAGTTCCTGGACATGATGAGGAAGGCAGTGTTTGGCTACCCAGAGTTCCTGGAGACCCGCGCCAAGGAGCTCGGGCTGGAGAAGATGGACAACGTGGAGAGAATGAGGAGACTGTATGGAGTCGCGGCTTCTGAGATTCCTGCAGACCAACTACCCTCTCAACACTGATTTGTCGCTCTTCTTTCTTCACACTTTTCATGATTAAGTTAAAGTATTTTTCGTTGGCATAATTATTTTTATTTACACACTAAACGATTCTAAATTCACAATAATTATTATGAGATGCAATTTAAAAACTGGTGGCCCTGTACATGAAGCATCGGTATCAGACAGTTACAAGAACATTATATAGACACTTGTATATATAGAGGAGTTGACGACGGACATCTTATAATTTAGTGGGGCTCTGAACGTCTTTGAAGTATGGGTGAGTGAGACTGTTCATGGCTGACGTCCTCTTTGCCGGTTCATAGATTAACATTTGCTAGACAGGGAAAGACAGAATTTCAGGGTAAGACAGAATTTGTCGCAAAGAAAGGCATGTTTAGTGGTGATAGAGAAGATTTGGGGGAGTGCAATCTACAAATGGAGCAAACTCACAAATTTGCCCCTTCCTCCATTTTCCACTCTATATACTGTGTGCTATGCCACTATAGGGAATATGTGTGCATATGGGAAGTCGACAACATGCATAATAATATACCTCTAAGAGGTCAACAGCTAGAGGATCTGCCGTCTTGACGACCGGTTGGAGATTCCGTCGCGGCCACTTGGGGAAGGTGTTCTTGTAGTCGGGCAGGAGACTAACTCCAGGCCACAACCGGTCGTCCGGGGTACCCAGTGTCCTAAAGAGTGAGGAAGAGAGGGAGTAAGACTTCAGGGGTTTTTGGCAGTATAAAAAAGAAAGCTCTGAACAAGGGACAGAGCTAGGGAAACATTAAATAGAAGGCGTCCCTAACTTGGAGGTAATGTATTAGTATGGGGCAGAACCAATTGTCCTTTATAGAGAGGTGTCCCTGTGTATTAGTATGGGGCAGAACCAAGTGTCCTTTATAGAGAGGTGTCCCTATGTATTAGTATGGGGCAGAACCAAGTGTCCTTTATAGAGAGGTGTCCCTATGTATTAGTATGGGGCAGAACCAAGTGTCCTTTATAGAGAGGTGTCCTTTAATTGGAGTGTCCTCCTTTTCAGAGTACATAATATGCACCTGAATATTCTAAAGAGTTGGTCGATTTCCGAATCTCCGGGAAAAAGTGGTCTCCTACACAACTAAGAAAGAGAGATAAACAAAGTAAGAAACGGGGGGAGGAGGAGAGGGTCTCACCATCTCGGCAAAGATGCACCCGATGCTCCAGATGTCGACTGGTGTGTTGTAGTACTGAGACCCGAACAGGAGCTCCGGAGATCGGTACCACAGTGTCACCACCTGCCCACCCACAACACCAACGAACGGTGGGGGAAAGAGAGACATAACTTGGGGGACACAGAATGAGATAATGAACACCATTGTTGGCAAGCAAGTGCGAGTGCGAACTTTTTACACGCGTTACGGTACAACGCCATCCACGTTAAGACCAATATAATGATGCGAGGCAAAAATTGTTTGCTTCAACAAAAGTTGCAGCACCTCCCAAAGTATTGGCATGATGGACCAAGTCAACAAATTGCCAGAAATGTACAAATCAGACAACTACATAACTGGGCATTGACACAGCTTTAGCATAGGTATATGAGCCCTTTAAATAGTGTTCTTAGTTAAAAGCCATTGGTAACTGTAGATTTACCTCGTGTGTGTAAGTTCTGACGGGGACTCCGAACGCACGAGCAAGCCCGAAGTCGGCAAGTTTTACGACACCGGTGGTGTTTATGAGGAGGTTCTGTGGCTTCAGGTCCCTGTGGAGGACTCTGTGGGAGTGGCAGAATGCTATTCCATCCAACACCTGGTAGATGTAGGCCTGCAGTGTAAAGAGAACAATGAGTGGGGTAGTTGTACACAAGACAAAGGTAAGTGGAGATGTGCAGGGAACGCGAGGAGCTGTGCTAACTAACCAGTGAGGTGGGGGAAAGCAGTAAGCAAGCGAGTGAGGTCAAAGGAAGAGAAATTTTAGAGGAGGTGGACGAAAACTAACAGAATATGCTGTAAGAGAGAGTGTGGCATACTTTCACGTGCTCGGGCTCAATGTTAGGTGTTCTGTCCATGAATTTCTTGAGGTCGTAGTCCAAGTATTCGAAGACGAGGTACAGCTTTCTGTCACAGTGGAGGACCTCCATTAGACTGGAGGGAGAGAGAGAGAAGATTGATTGAAAGATTGCATGTTAGGGCACTGCGACTGACTTGACGATGTTGGGATGGTCCAGTTCCCGGAGAAGAGAAATCTCACGAATAGCTGTGGACGGCACACCCTCACACTCACTGCAACCGAGAGAGGGAGATCGAAAAATTTTATTTGCAAGAACTGGTGACAAGAGGGGAAGGGGACCAAACGTACGTGTCGAGTCTGATTTTCTTGAGAGCTACGGTTCGGCCCGAGCCTTTCACCTTTGCCTTGTACACCACCCCATACGTCCCCTCCCCAATCTTCTCCAGCCGTTCAAATGAGTCCATTCTATCCTCCAGCCCCGCTGCCATGGTCTCCCTGCTTCTGAAAAATATCACACAGGCAAGTTTCACGGCACTTGTCTATTTAGAGATTGGACCTTCTGCTAAGGATATGCACGCCGCGTTCTTGAAGAATGCACCCGGACAGAAGCAGCTAGTTAGCTGTCTACACGATAAGCGACGCCCTTAGCAAAGTAGTAGATGGCCGCGTGGAAAATAACAGGGGCTGAATATAAGCAGAAGAGTTTGAACTCACCGTCGTTTCTTTAGAGCAGCTGGTTTCTTCCCGGGATCTTGGCGCCAAAGCATCCGTATACCTGTCCGTACTCGAGTCATATTTCCGTAAAATTGGTTCAACTCTCCGCACAGTTCCGTAAACTTCCCGTATAACACTCGAGCCCCGCCCATCTTATTCCTTATTGCAGGGTTCCTCACAGCTGGGGAGAAAGAGAAAGATGCGTTTTCGGGCGAAGATGCTGGACATTTCTTGCATAACACACTTGTCCCGTGAGTGAACTGTCTCTATACAGTCGCACAGACGAGTGCGTACGCGAATTTTTATCCGTCAGCGAGTGAGGTGCGCACTGTTTGGAAATGTATGCAGAGGTGGTTTCGACGTTGGCCAGAAACGTAAAGACGTGCGTTCTACGACTCTGTCCCGACAGAGTCTGCTTCGTGATTATGGAGAGAGGACCAGCCAGCGGAGGCAATATATGGTGTGAACTAACCCAGGTCAGTCCTCTACTCTCCAGACATTACGTCACCATTACGTCATTCCACACCACAGAGCAACATATTTGACGAGTATCGTATCGAGGGTAAAGACGACAGAAACGAGATATATCTGGAGATCAGTTTAGAGCAGCTGTCGCGGGCTCTAAGAACGTCTCTCACTGCACAAGTGGTAAAGATAAAACTAGCAAGGAGGCAAGGTCCCTGCCTGTCAGTGGAAATTGCACAGGTATATATAGCAGCTGTGTTCTATTTATGGGGGATGTTGCTAAGTATAGAGATGATGTCGTTGCAGCCCACGCTGACCGGAGCCAGCCGGACCGTCACTCATGAGGTGCCGGTGTCGGTCGTCCCTGAGCGTCTTCTGGCCTGATTACCAAGAACCCAACATGCCCGACATAGACGTGAGCCTTCTTTCATCATTACGTCTCACACACACACACACACTGTTCTCTTCAGGTTAGCATATATCTTCCTCCTCTGAAGCTGTTGAAGAACATAACAGACAGAATGAAGACAATGAGCAATTACGTTGTAAGTCCTTACCTTCCATTTTCACAACCACTCCCCCCCTTCTCTCTCTCTCTCTCTCTCTCCTCTCTCTAGATGGTGGCGGCCAACATGAGCGGCGAACTGCAACTGAAAATAGAGGCAGATGACGTGACAGCCACCACTTTCTTCAGAGAACTCCAGAACCACATCTTTGGTGGGTGGTTTTTGTCGCATCGCGTGGGTGGGTCGGTTCACTTAGACTGCATGACATTAGGTACACAGCACCACTCTTATATAGGCTCAAAATTAGGAACTAAAGCGAATGGAGTATTTGTGATTTAATTCCAATCTGAATCACTTTGACATCCTAATTTTGCCCCATATATTTCTCTTCCTCTCCTCTCCCTCTCCCCCCTCCCAATCTCTCTCCAGATACATCAACTGCTGCTGATGAGTCGAGGGACAGTTCCACAATGTACGAGGTGAGGATTGACATCCGCAAGTTGGGGCAGATTCTACAGGGACAACATTTCAACCCCACCAAGGCCATCTGCAGTGAGTCACTCACTCTCCTACCCACATCTTAGTCTACTGTGTGCGGGAAAATTTTGAGGTAGAATCACTCAAAATTACACAGACATAATATTTTGTATGGCTCCCTAGTCGCAAAATTTGTGAGTTGAAAGGTTGGCAAGATAAAGTGTGGATGCCCATAGTGTTTTACTTAGCCGTGTATAATAGAGGTATATAGTGTACTGCTAGTGAGTTGCCCCTCCTAGTATTCTCCAGGAGGTATATAGTGTACTGCTAGTGAGTTGCCCCTCCTAGTATTCTCCAGGAGGTATATAGTGTACTGCTAGTGAGTTGCCCCTCCTAGTATTCTCCAGGAGGTATATAGTGTACTGCTAGTGAGTTGCCCCTCCTAGTATTCTCCAGGAGGTATATAGTGTACTGCTAGTGAGTTGCCCCTCCTAGTATTCTCCAGGAGGTATATAGTGTACTGCTAGTGAGTTGCCCCTCCTAGTATTCTCCAGGAGGTATATAGTGTACTGCTAGTGAGTTGCCCCTCCTAGTATTCTCCAGGAGGTATATTATATTATAGGCAGTACACAATCCCACAGCCAAGACCTGTACGTAACTAATGGCTCTGATGTCCATATAAGTTCCTTTGTACCAATCACTATAATACTGTTGAGCTATAGCACAGCCTCCCACTCCCCTAATTTCTGTGGGTGATCAATGTGCAATGTATCACTCACCACAGACATTACCGACGGCAAAGGTCTTCAAATATTTTTACTCCACGAACATGCGTCACTTCAGTACTACATTCCAGCCATAGCTAGGTGAACTGTTTGTATCCATGAAACCCTCTCGCTCACATTTTATCACCTCATCCTTCGTTTTTAAGTCTTTCGACTATAATTATGATGTGATTGGTTCGTGTTTAGTTGAAAGAAACGGTGAGAAACCACAGTGGTGGGTGAAGTGGCAAGCTGATAATGAAAGTCTGCACTATACCCACAAATTGCATGAGGAAACGGAAAGAGTTAAAATAACAATAACACAAAGACCTACCTGTAAATAGGAGTAAGATGGAGCTTTAAAATGAACTATGATACATGTATTTTGTGAAAAAGACTCTAAGAGATGGAAATGAGAGAGAGTGGTGGTGAAACAGACAAGAAAGCAGGGCTAGGAGAAGGCGTGGCCTTTGCCTGTAAGAGCCGAAATCTTCTCCAAGTCCCAGTGTACGTGTTCTGCTTTTGACTCTGCGCGACTGAGTGCAAGTTCGAGGAAAAACTGGTGGACTCTGTACATGAGTCGAGGGGATTTCAGCGGATGAAGGGTCAGGATGTTCTGGAGTTTCTGGTTGTGGTAGACGTCGCTGGAGTTGAATATTTCTCCCATCGAGTAATCTTGGTAGAATTTGTCTTTCAGCTGCGTGGTGAATATAAAGATCGTGGTGTAAAATAACATAGTGTGCCTGCTATATAATTATAGTGGCTTTGTAAGATTTGTATAATACTGAACAATGATCTATGTTTCTCCTGTCTACCCCTGGCTGTTTTTTTTCCACCCACCCACTAAAAACAGGGGCTTCACACAATGATTCTGCCCTGCATGACACGGCTGCCAGATGAAAGGACAAAGTATTGTTCTGTCAATGGTGGAATCCTATACCTACAGCCTGGCCTAGCCCTGTGTGTGTGTGTGCATTCATGGACCAGTGCAGCTGGCACTGAAACGGGTATATAGGAGGCATTGTGTGTGTGGATTGAGCTATAGACCGGGCACTGGGACAGTATTCTCCCCCATTGCCAAGGCGAACCACAGACGATGCCTAGTGAGAGAGGTTCAATACCACCCCCTGCTTCTACCCCTTAGCATAGGTGCAACCACCTCCTACAACTCTGCACCATTCCGTTCACGCTCTGTTAGAGATCAATACACACCTGCCTCCCCCCTCCTATTTACCCTCATCTTTCTCACATCACAGTCTAGAAGACCAGCTGGTTAGTTTACAGGATTGGGAATTTAGGCCCTATATACCCACACCAGACACTGTGCCAAAAGGGAAGGTTTACCTCATAACTCCAGGTGCACTGGATGGCCAGTCTCCTCATGATGCACCGTCCCACCTCCAAATCTTCATTCCACGACACCACCACGTTACCGAGACACTCTTCGAGATGCGGGGCCAGTTTAACGAGCAGGGACCTACTCAGAACCACACCCGGACCACCCATGCAGTAGTGCTCGTTGGGGTAGAGTTGTATTCGTTCCCAGTCGTCCGGTTTCCCGATGCCCGGTTGCCCGATATACAGATCCGTGGACGGGTCGAGAGTCGATAGGAATTCCACTAGGGGACCGACCCTGACGTAAAGGTCGTCGTCAGCCCTCATAAACCAGTTGTACTGGTTTATGAAGTGGTCGTACATGTATTTCAACATGCGGTAGACCTTCTTCTGAGGCGGGTAGGTGTCGTCTGTCCCAGGTAGAGACACCACTGGTAAGTTTGGCAGGGGGTGCGTGTTTGCAGAGGAGAAGAAGCGAATGTTTTGTCCTAGCGTCTGGCCCCATGTCTTGTTGATAGCTACACCTCTAGTCGGCAGCAGCTTTTTGGAAGTAACGACACCCACAAACAGCGGGCGCTTCATGTTCCCACCGAGCTCTTCCGCGAGCGTCTTCGGTCGCTTCTGCATGGAGATAACGTCTTTCCCCCCGGCCGTTCTCGCTCGCTGCTGATGCACCAGTGCGCTGTTTACTACCGGCGGGCCTGCCCCGGCCGAGCCTAAAACAACTTTGGTTGCCTCTTCTTCCTGAATCCACAGCTCCGAAGAGGATTCGTTATCAGGGATGGAGGCAGCGGTTATTGCTAGTCTGACGGCAGCAGTAGTGTACGTGTCCGGAAGGGCCGTGAGTCGCTTGCTGAGGGCAAGTTGACGCGAGGTCGGGGATCCGCGGACATCGAATATCGCCCGGCTCAGTAGTATCCCCATCACTGTTCCGGCCAGCAGCATCAGAGAGTCTCTCAACACGGAGCGGAGTGAGAAGCACCTTCCTGGTATTTTGACTCGCATAGTCTCTCACTTAGCTCGGCGAACGAACGGCAAATTCCTCGCACGCGCCGTCTTTATTCGGAAACCTAACCGCACGCGCGGTATACACGCCTCAATCAAAGCTCGGGTATCTTTAATTTTCCGCTGCACCTTATACATACATACCTCTGACATCACAAAACATAATATACACACAAATTAAACATGGTGGAGTCTTGTCATGCAGTGGGCAGGGCCCCTTGAGGCTTGTCTGACGTTGTTGGCAAAGCCTTTTTCCATGGGATTTGTGGTGGAAGCTTCCCCGCTATCCTCCATCCGAGTCCACTGCCCATGGTCTCCAGATGTCGCTCCATTACCACATAGTCTATCACTCTATTGGGCTTGCTTGGGTGGCCTCTCAGAATATGACCAACAGCATTATAAACCACCATAACCTGGAACGAAAAAAGTAATTCCAGTTCCAAAATATTGGGTGTGGTTTCATACCTGTGAGGAATGTAATCGCACGACGACTTGTGCAAAGTAGTTTTCCTTGCTCTCCATGGGGATGATTTTGGCATTGACGACTCGGGGCCGCTCAATTTGTTCCAGAAACTTCCACACAAATTGCCGATGCTCCACCTCTTCTTTCAGGGACTATAGCGGGAGTAATAATACAATATTTAGGCTCTCTTCCATACCTCAACTGCGTTTTCGGTCAACAAGGCCCGAAGCCTGCGTTTATCCTTGCTGTAACATTCAGATACAGAAAGAGGTCGATGGCAGGTAGAAGGGCAGGGTCAGACTCACTCTCGTAGCGCAGCATTTGTATCGATGAGCTGTTGCTGAGCAGACTTGGCAAACTCCACCGGTCGAAATGGATCCATTTTCCGCAGCCTCCTCCGTATAATGGCCAACCTTCACAACACCACTACTGTACCCTGAAATAACTCGGACGGCACGCAACTCACGAGTAGATGGTCCCAACGCTCTCTGTGAAAGCCTTTCGTCTCTGACTCAACCACTGAACAAGAGATAGTTGTTTGAAGAACAGCTATAAAAATCGAGATAGGAGACCTACCGCCCTAGTGTAAAATGGAGCTCTTGCAAACTTTTCAAATGGAGCGTAGGTAGCAACCAATTGTCCTGTGCAATAATAAGCCTCCATAATAAACCAGGGATGTGTTTATGCACCACGGACCTAGGCTGGTTGTAGTTATGGGCGCCAATCTCCGTATCTGGGATCTCTCCTCGCTCATGAGCGGGACCTTGGCGTGTTTTCGCTGCTGTTCTCGACCCAGCTTTCTCTGCAACGACTTGAACGGGTCCCTGGTGGCTCCCCCGAACTTCTGCTTACTCCCACGGACCTGGTTCCACTGGAGAGGCCCGGGAACTCTGCCCAGACCCGGCAAAAGCCGAGAAGACAACATTATGGTTGCACCACGTGGGCTCTTCTCCAATTTAGCGAAATAAATAAAGTTGATTTCGACATTTCTTGAACGCCCTTTTTTGCGATCGAGTCGCGGTGTGTGGTGGTGTGTCTCATCTGCTCAAGTTGTTTGTTTGCTTGCTGTGTACCGGCGGAAGAGAGAGTTACTAGCTTTCTGGAGTCTGAGTGGAAAGGTATGTTTGTGCAGAATGTCTAGTTGCAAAATCGAATCGCGTGTGTCCACACAGCCCTGACTGACAACACCGGACGGATGGCTGAGAACGGACTAGATCAGCCTGTGGAGAGTTCAGCCGTGGAAAACCCCGAATCGGGGGAGACGGCAGCCTGGAAAAAGGACTGTGACGGAGAAACAAAAGCCGAGGGTCGCGATACGGCGTCTCCCGTCCTTGCAAACGGGACAGATGACCCTAATGGAGACGAGTTTCCTTCCGAAGATGACAAAGAAATAGTGAAAGAGGAGCCAGTCGCGGTGAAGAAGCGGTCCATGACCAAGAAGATGATGGAAAAAGCTCTCTACCTCTGCGACGAAGATGACGACGAGCCGCCGGAGAAACTGAGTTTTGAGGGGACTACCCCTGAGATCGGCGGTCGAGCCAAGTGGCTGGAGAGGCAACGCGACAGAGAGTCGAAGAACAAGCGACTCTCCAAAACAAAAGACGGGACTTTTTTCTCATACATGTTTCTGGAGAAGATCTTTAGGGAGAGCCGAAAGTGCAAGCTGTGCGGGGCCAAGGACTCTGGGAAGCCTCAGACTGACGACGAGAGTTCGCTGGAGCTCTACCTTTCAGAGAGGGGTGTTGTGGGACGCCAGCGTCTTCTCTGCAGCACGTGCAACGGCGTTTTCCCAGTTGTTTCATGTGATGCGGAGACCGAGATTCCCGACAAGCCAGAGTATCAAATCGACGGGTCCACCGTGCGCTACTACTGTAAGAAGGCCATGCATTTTGGTGTCCTCCACGACCTGATGGAACTGCTCCACATAGCGGCTCTGGAGAGCGAAAAGTCGCGGAAGCAGAAGCACGTCGAGCTGGCAGAATTCATGCTGCACAATGCACGCAAGGTGTGCAAAGAGTGGTGTAGGCCGGAAAACGGCGACTTGAGGGCCAAACGTTTTCTCCGTTTGCGAGAAGACACACTGCTCATTCGGCACAATCCCATATTCACGATCGATCACAACGCGGAATACAAGGAGATGTACGGGATGATGGCCGGTAGCTTTCGACAGCACCGCGAGAAGGTGAAGCTTCTTCTCGAGCTGTTGAAGACCACGCTGTTCGACAATCCGACTCAATCGTCGTTCTTTCTCTGGGTTGCCATTGCCATGATCCACGCAGAGAGCTACCAAAAGTTCAAAGAGCGCTACGACCCAAAGTCCTACATGCAGATCGATTCGACCGACTACCAAGCAATGAAAGACCGCTACTTGGCGATGCACGTTGCTCTCGGCGTCAAGAAAATCCCAATTTGTTTCATTCTGTTCGAACTGCCCCGATTCTACCACTACATTGATTTCCTGAAGGAACGCGTCGGTAAGGAGAGACCGACGACATTTCTGACGGTCGACGACCAGCGAACGTTGGAGAAGTTCGATCGGCAAGCGCACAAGTACATGATGAAACGGAGGCTGAAATCGGGGAAGCTAGTGTCGGTGGAGTCTCACCTGGACATGATTATGGCGCAAGAGGAGATAGACAAGGAGCAAATGTTCAGGAACACGAAGGAGAAGGGGCGAGCGAAAGCCGAGGACAAGAAACGGCAGCGGAAACAGAGGAGAGAAGAGCGGCAGAAACGTGGAGTTGCCGTGAAAGAGCTACAAGACGACAACCGGGCTTCGAGCGACGGGAAAATCGTGGAGGAGATCAGCGAGAGTCTGGGCGACCTCGAGAGGAAGCGGTTGGAGAGAAAGGAACGCATGCCGTACCCGCCGTTCCGACAGCGAGTACTTGGTCCAATGAGAGAGCGGACGAGCCTGGAGACGGACATGGTGGCCGATATGACGCTGAGAAAGCCGTATAAGTCACGATTCGATCTGTTGCTGGAGGAGGATGACCGACAGTGGGGGCTGGAGGGGAACTGGTCTCGCAAAGACATCCTCCTCTGCGAGGAAGACATGATGTTCGAGAGAAAAGTCTGCATTCGGTTCAAGAAACCGGAGAAACGCTACAGCGAGACGATTCCATCGTTTCTCTACCTCCCCCCACCGAGTGGGCGGATGCCGACGCAGGCCGAAGTACAGCTCCTGATGGACAGAGTGTTGGCTCTGGAAATGGATCCGATTTCGTTCGACGGAGCGTGCAGCAGCGTGACCGAGTCGCAGATCAAGAGGTGGAAGAAGGAAGAGGAGGAGCCGACGACGCAGACCAACAGCAAAGAGGAAGGCAGCGGGGGTGGTAAAGACGGCAGTGAAAAAGAGGGAGAGTTGGCAAAACCCAATGAGGGAGGGGGAAAGGGAGCAGAAAGTGAGGTTGAGGAGGAGAGGGAGGGTGGGAAAGACGGCGGTAAGAAAGAGAGAGAATCGACAGGAGCGAATGAAGGAGTTGAGAAAAAGGGAGATGTGGCGAGAAGCGTAGAAATGGAGTCGAACGAGGGGGAGGGTAAGGACACCAGCAATGGAGAGTCGGCAGAAGCAAATGAAAGAGGGGAGAATGAGGGGACAGAAATCAATCAGGGGGAGGAGGGGAACAGCGATATGGAGGTAGGTTCAGAGACAAAGGAGGTAGCTACAATCTCACCGGAGCTGGTGCTAAATCCTCCGGAGCGTACAGCAGAATCAGTCCTTGAAGAAAGCCAAAACCTCAAGAACCTACCACGAGTGACAAAGTTTCAGAAAGTGTACATGCCACTGAGGACAGCCTCAAACCATCGGACGATAATGCACCAACAACACCGCCCCCCACTGCAATTGTGGAAAAAATGGAAAGCAATATCACAGCGGAAGAAATAGCTATCCCACAAGCCAGGGAAATAGCAGCAGAAAACAATATTACAACACCAACAGAAGAGAGAGAAACTGCACCAGCTGAAGAGAGCAGTATTGCACCAGCAGAGGGGAAAGAAGAGAAAGAGCCAGCTGACGAAAACAGTCTCACTCCAGCTGAAGTGGAAGAAGTAGTAAACACTGAGCCAATGGTGGGAGAAGATGAACAGGGAAAAGAAGTTGGACTGAATGTGGAAGAGAATGACACAAAATCCACAGAAAATCACGAGCCAACGCAAGAAAAGCCAGACCCTGTACCAATTGCGAAACAAGAGAAAGAATGCGAAGAAAAGGAGGAGGAAGAGGGGGAGAAAGATAACCAGCCAATTGGGGAAGACTTGGACAGAGGTAGCAATTCAGAGCAAGAAGACAAGCCAGCCAACGTGAGTGGTACAGGGGAAGACGATAGCAAAGCAGACCGCAGTCGGTTATCTAACGACAAAGACGACTCTGAACTGGACCACAACAAACACAAAGAAGAAGAAGAAGACGAGAAGGAGACAATTCACAGAGAAGTGGCAGAGGACATGCCCCAAGAGATCCAGCAGGCTCAGAAGGATTTGGAAGAGCGAGAGATGGGCAAGGACCACATAGACCCGCCCACAGAAGATCCCGAGCCTTTGGAGGGCATTGCCAACTCAGTGCGGACCGTCGCCATGGAAGATGAAGACCAACCTATAACATTCACCGCTCCTGAAACCGCTCCGGACTTACCACCAACTCTTGCCGAAAACACTCCCGAGCCTCTCCCTGATAAAGACAGTTCCTCAGAGAAAACGGAGAATGAGGGAGAAAATGAGACTAAGCCAGAACTGGCCGGCTCTACAGCTACCTCCAATACCAGTGCGGACCCCAGTGAGTCTGCAGCAAATGAGGACCATATTGAAGTAGAGGAGGAGGAGAAGAAGGAAAATGTGGAAGATGAAAAGCCAGCTAAGGAGGAGTCGAAAAAAGAGAAGAAAGTTAGCAAAAAGAGAAGCAAGAAGATGGAGAAAAAGGCCAAACAGCTCGTCGAAGCCGTCCAGCGACGCAAGGCCATCGAAGAGAAGTATTTCCAGCATCGACTCCTGAAGAGAACACCCAGCGAAGAGGCATTTGAGAAACTGATGGAGAAGAAAGACTGCACGTTGGCAGAGCTCACTCCGGAAGAGAAGCAGGTCCTGATGGACCACTGTCACAGGAGAAAGAAACGAGATCCTATCGACGAGGAGTGGGACCGGACCATGTTCGCTCGTCGCAAGCCAAAAGGCCCCGCGTTCGTGAGGAGCAGACTACGACAGAAACTCCAAGAGCGTCAGAAGGACGACGACGATGACTATCTCTACTCGAGGGCCTACAAAAGGAGAGAGCCAACTCCAGAAAGACCCAAAACTCCCGAATACACACCACTCAAGTCTTCCGATTCGCCAAAGGCCGCAAAGAGGAAATCGAAACGTGCGAAAGCTGGCGAGAATGAAGAGGTCAACGGAACCCAAGAGCCTCTGGTGCCCGACGCAGAGAAAATGAATGAAGTGAAGGAAAAGTTGAATAAGTTAGGGATGGAGGCATGCATGCCTAAAACCGAGGCCATGAAATCGAAAGTGGCGGATGCAAAGATGGAAGACGAAAGCAAACTACTAGAAGACACGAACCACTCACCTTCTGAGAGCACGACTGATTCGTCTGGCGTGCTCACCGTCACTATCCCCAAACAGCAGAGTGAGACAGACTCTGAGCGTCGTCTCGTCTCTCCGGACGAGTTCCACAGTCTCCTGGTAGACCACCTGAAGGCAAACAGGGAAGCCGAGGAGAGAAATACTGAAACCCCGCCCCCCACCACACCCCCAAGGATCCAGGCCACTGAACAAGAAAAACAGCCCGAGTCTAGCGAGGCTTTACCAGAATTGGAGAATGGCGAAATCGGTGAGCAGCCTGAAGAGAGGAAAACAAGCCCACCTAATGATTTAGAGGGAGAGGAAGAAGAAGCTGGAGCGGATGAGAAAGTGAGTCAGCTCGAGGAAGACAGAGAAGCCGAGAGGAGGGAGAAAAAGAGGCGTCGCAAAAACGAGAAAAAGAAGGCCATCAGGCAGAAGAAGGAGGAGGAGCAACAGGCCGAGCAAGAGAAAGCACGGTTGGAGCAGGAGAGGGCAAAGATAGAGCTGGAAAAGGCCAAAGCTGAGCTGGAGAGAGTCAAGGCTGAACAAGAAAGCGAATTGACGGGCAGAGCGGCTCCGGAAAAGAAAAAACCCGAGCCCAAGAAGAAATCAGTGCGAGGACCGACTGTTCCACTGAGACTTCAGTTCCACAATCGAAGGAAGCCCAAAAACCCCGAGTTTAACCCGAAGGACTACACCGAGCACCAGCCCCTCGAGACCCTGGGAATGATCCCTCTCATGCTAACAAAGGCCCCGTGCTACATCACCCTGGACGACATGATGTCCGTCGAATCGGACAAAGACGACGAAAATTCCTCCCCCGGCTGCTTCGTCTACCGGACCTCTGTGGAGAACGGCGGGAAAGAGCACCCGTTTGTGGACATCTACCTCTTTGCTCGGAAGCGGCGCGAAGACCTCGATATCATAGTGGAGGTGTCGCCCATCAAGGCCTACAGGAACCACGAAGACGTGCTGTGTCTGGCTGGGAAACCAGGCAGAATCTCCTACAGCTGCAAGCTGGAGATCTCCCAACTCTGGACTCCAGTCGGTGAGTAAACCCTCCTACTGGTTGCCTTCTCCTTCCCTCCATTTGTTTGCTAAAGTGCACTGCATTGCCCTGCTATACTGAAGTTTTTCAGGATGGTTGGTTGTTCTGTCCTTTCCCCTACCTGCTTGCTAAAAGTACGAAAGCTTAAGCCACACCCTTTTCTCCACAGTCTGCATTGCACTACAATCTCCTGCTATATATTGTGTTCACTTTTATTTGTGCATCCCCTCCTCAGGTAAGGCACCACTCTCGGTTACTCTTCCCATCAAACCAGGATACCCAACCTTCGCCATACTCGACTCCCTCTTCAACGAAGGCTCCGCCTCCTTTCGCGAGGTGGCGGCCGAAAACCCCCAATGCTCAGACAAGAAACCCCACACTTTCGATTTCGGAGTGAGTTTGGACGAATCCGAGCTGACCATGACCAAACTGAGTCGCCAGAAGCTGGCAGAGTTCATGGACAGTGACCCCGATACGGTCCAGAAGCTAATGGAGAGAGAGTTTGCCCGGAGCAAGGAAAAAGCCAAGCTGAAAGAAAAACGAAGAAAACCGCTGAAAGTTAAGAAACTCGCTGAGAAACTAGCAGAGATGAAGACGGCTAAAACCCCCGCCGATAAAAAGAGCGAGGAGACTGATGCGAAAGTAAAATCGAGTGATGCGACGTTAAAAGATAAAGTTGGAGTGACCAACAGCCCGACCAAGACCCAAACCACTGTAGCTACTGAGACCGAGTCTTCGAATGTGTCTACTTCTGCCGTCCCCGGCAATGGGGGCCCTGCAGTGCCAGACACCAAACCAACTAGGATCAGGAAAACGGCCCGCGACAAGTTCCGCTTCTGCGAAAACTGCACTCGAGAGATCGCCGATCGCATTCAGCTGTGTTCCGGTTGCAAGAAGGTTGCCTACTGCAACATGCACTGCCAGAAATTGCACTGGAAACAACACAAAAGGACGTGTTCTTACGTCCAGAAATCCAGCGAGCAAGAGAAAGGTACCAGAATCTGCGCAAACTGTGATAAACAGAGCGAACGCGTGATGCTCTGTGCCGGCTGCAAGAAAGTCACCTACTGTGACTCCACCTGCCAGAAGACACATTGGAAACTGCACAAAAAGACATGCTCCTATGCAAAGAAGAAAGAAGCTGAAAACCAAGCAGAATAATAACACTAGTTTTGACTCCTCACATTTTTCATTTCCCACATCATTGCATAATCATACTGTTCTGTTCTATAATAAAGTTTCAAGTGTTTTGATCATTTTTTGGAAGCACGAGATCGCAGAATGAAAGGTCCACTTTTTCTTTTCTTTTTCCCTCTCAGCAGTATCCTGCTCTTGACTGTCTCCTTCTTAGCTGCAACAATGAAATGCTCGTGTCATTATCAGCAATATTGAAAGGGGTCTCACCGTGACTAGCTACTTCCATTATAGCACTCATCAGTCTCCCGCTCTTTCGTCCTGCGGATTTTAGACGTTTGTCCGTGGAATAGGGCCTCGGACCCGCCGCCGTCGGAGCGATTCAGAAGCGGATTGATCTTCACGGCATCGCAACCGGTTGACGACGGCCCTGCCGCTGCTGCATGCAATTTCGCAGCGGCAGTTGCGGCGTTGCAGTACAGTTGCGGAGCCTCCCGCCGGTTCTGACGTGGCGCAGCGGTATTGTTGTCTTTCAGCGGAGACTTGAGAAGGTACGTCTGTCGACGGAGGTCCGCCAGTCCGCCGTACATGTAGGAACATTGCGGCTCGTTATGATTTAGCTTCCCGCTCGGAGCTGACGAAGAGGATACTTTCTCCTTTATCGAGTATTTCTGACGCTTATCCATCGCTACTTTCTCCTTGATCGAGTATTTCTGACGCTTATCCATCGCTCTTCGGTGGTGGTGTGTTAGTCTGAAATGACATTCGTATACTTCGCGGGAATTTATGATGCGCGCTGCGTCCCAGCAGCAACGCGCATGCGTGTTTATGACGTAAGCGTAAGTACACATGGTGTACGCATGCGCGTTTATTAACCCCGCCGCAAAACGCGAACAACGTGCAGCAGTAGTATAGTGTCTATAGCTAGCTAAGTGAGGGAGAATGGAGAAATCCAAGAAAGACAACGAGGCTAAAGACGTGGAAATGACGGTGGGGGAGGAAGAGGCGGGAAACGACAAAGCCGAAGGCGGGGACGAGGCAAAACCCAAGCAGCAGGCCCAAAAAGACAAAGACCTCCTGACATTCGAGGGTATGTGAAGAACGAACAGGGCGGCTGCGTGTAACTAGACCCCTTGTTTCTAGACGTCCGGGAGCAGATGAAGTTGATAGAGCGGGGAGTCAACCAGAAGGAAGTGCGCTACATAAACAGAGCCCTTCGGGGCATCCAGAGCCTCAGAAAAAAGACGAACGACGCCATATTGAGGAGAGTGACTGTGGCTTACTATCCAGCTAGTAAGTACACAACTAGAAGAAGGAAAGATGGGAGATGTAAATTTACCTTTTTTTATTAGCCTCCCCGTTGAAGGAGCAGCTGCTTGATTACCTTGATGAGGTAGGGGCTCTCGAATTATCGTTCTTTTGTCACATGGTCTCAATGTTGTCAGCCTATGGATGGAGAAGAAGTATCGCAGTACCGGCCGCGCAGCTCGAAAACGGGACAGCCCGTGATTTTACCCGAACTCGACATTTTTGTACATCTGCTCATTCTACTGAGAATGCTGGATCAGGAACGCATGGAAAAGGTGAAAAATTCTCCCAGTTTGACTTTTAGGATAAAAAAATTAAGATAGTCTTGCAAATTTTTCAGGCAAAGAAATGTAGTGATGCGCTGATGGAGAAAGTGGTGGCTGAGAATCGACGGACGTTGGATGGTCTGAGTGCCAAATGCTATTTCTATCACTCGAGAGTCTATGAGATGTGCGGGCAGCTGGCCGGCATCCGAGGGTTTCTCCACGCACGTCTGCGAACGGCCACGCTGCGACACAACGAGGAAGCACAGGTGGGTGTGGTCTGTTAATTAGTAGGTGTGGTCTCATTGTGGGTGTGTCGTCACATCTACTCCAGGCAGTGTTGATGAACCTGTTGCTAAGGAACTATCTCCATCATAATCTTTATGATCAGGTGGGTCTCTAAGCTGGAGAACGCAATGTGAGTCAGTTTCTCTTTCCTCTCGCCCACTACACCAGGCCGACAAACTTGTTTCCAAGTCAAAATTCCCCGAAAGTGCCAACAATAACGAGATTGCAAGACAGCACTACTATCTCGGTCAGTTACCACACACACACACACACCCACACACACACACTGAGTAATTCTGTCTTTCTCCTTCTCTCCTCCCTCTCTCCTCCCTCTCTTGCTGGCTCCAGGAAGGATAAAAGCAATTCAACTGGAGTACTCTGAAGCATACACACATCTGGTCCAGGTCAGTGGACAAAAACTGGTAGAACTGGTTCACAACCTGTTTCCAAAACCTGTTAGACCGGTTCCTATTGCCTCATTTAGGCAATCAGGAAAGCGCCGGCCTCGTCTGCAGTCGGGTTCAGGCAGACTGCCAACAAGTTTGCAGTGGTGGTCCAGCTCCTCTTGGGCCAGATTCCAGACCGCTCAACCTTCCGGGATCCCATTCTCAGACGACCTCTTGCACCCTACTTCAAACTGACCCAGGGCAAGTTTATATATACCATAGCGCTAAATCTCTATGGGACATATTAATAAATATGCTGGTGGTGCATAATTTTTCCAGGTTGGCAAGTTTTTCGTGCATTGCCAGAGACACCCATACTTTTTGTAGAGCACAATTGATAGGCTGTGAAGGCCCCCTTTAATTTCGGTCCTCATTACATACAGCGGTACGGAATGGAGACCTGGAGCTGTTCAGCAACACCCTGGACCTCTATGGGGCCCAGTTCCATTCCGAGAGAACGTACACCCTCATTGTGCGTCTTCGTCACAACGTCATCAAGACTGGCGTCCGGATGATCTCTCTCTCATACTCTCGGGTGTCGCTGGAGGACATTGCAGAGAAATTGAAACTTGACAGCAGTATTGACGCGGAGTACATAGTGGCAAAGGTCAGTAGTTAGTGTCTGTATTATAGTGGAAGGGAAGGGGCGTTGTCTTGTCAGAAAAACACTTTACATTTCAAAACTGTATACATAATATACATGAAGATATCATGCATTGTTTGCACATTGGGCCCAATAGAAGTTTTGCCAGTGATTCTATATAGAACTTTCTACGGGTCGGTTCACTCCATGTTGTATACACACACAGGCTATTAGAGACGGAGTGATAGAAGCAACCATTGATCACGAGCAAGGATTCATGCAATCCAAGGTCAGAAATGAGAGAAGCGGAGAAGAGAGAGAGAGAGAGAGCCCCACTTACACGGACAAGATTGAATCGGTTTGGAAACCGGTTTATGTAAACTTACACGTAAACCAGTTTCGGCTTACAAACCTGTTCAAAGTGTCGCGTGCGAACGGGGCTAGAGAGAGAGAGAGAGGGAGTCACTTATTTTCCTGCAGGAGAACATTGATATATACTCCACCAAGAGCCTCAGGAGGCCTTCCACCAACGAATCAAGTTCTGCTTGGAACTCTATAACACCTCAATAAGGGTCAGTGTCCCATTCCCATACTCACACGTTTCCATTCCCATTCCTCCATTCCACAGGCCATGCGGTATCCTCCGAAAGCCTACAGGAAGGACTTCCAATCTGTAGAGGTACGAGCATACGTCATTACTCATTAGTGAAGACGTGTTAATTAGCAGGGTTTTCCCCTCACAGGAGCGAAGGGAGAGAGAACAACAGGACCTCGAATTGGCAAAGGAAATGGCCGAAGAGGATGATGAAGAGTTTCCATAGCAACCGTTTCCTTGGCAACCAAGACTATTACTATAATTATGTAGTCTGACACTTGTGTACAATCAGTCATAGGCATAAATACATTACAGCTGCAGTGAACTAGCAACAGTGATGTACAAGATAATTATAGATAAAGATGATAGTGTGACATTTACTTAATGGAAAAATACATCTAAACATGTGAGAAAAGGAGGGAAATAAATTGTACATGACGACTGAAAAATAATACCATCTAGCGCAAAAACAAACAGCTAATGCTCTCAGAGATGATGTAATGTAGTCTGCAGTAGTTGCCACGGTGATGTCATGGTCCGGATGGGAAGCTTTCGAAGGAAGTGAGATCCATGTCACCCAACACGCTGAGTCCAAAGTCCTGGCCTCCCCCCGGTCCATTCTGCACATGCGGGGGGGGGGGTACCAAACATGACCAAACACGACCAATAATGACCACAAGCACAAACACTAAACTCACTGGCAACATTGGGAAGGGGTAATTGGGTGGAGAGGCTGGGGTCTGTAGGGAGAAAAATATCACGTGATAGTCACATGACATCACATGCTGATCACGTGACCTCACCCCTAGTGACACAATGGAGGGGGCGGGGCTTGGGTAGGGGCTTGATGGGTTGCTAATGACACCTCCGAGGGCACTGAAAGAAGAAGACAAGGTGAAGAGGCAGAAAAAAGGAGGGGGAGAAAGAGAGGGGAGGGGTGATGAGAGGTATCTTACGAAGCAGGTATGGTCTGTTTCAGGTCTCCAGCCAGATATCCGTCCCTCACTTCACCTGCAGCTTGGAGACAAACCACAAATCATTCAGGTCTCTCTCCTTCCTCTCTCTCTCTCCTCTCTCTCTCTCTCCACTACCAGCGAGCTGGCGTAGTATAGTACGTTGCAAAACACCGGTCTTTGACTTGTGTCGGGGTAGAGCATCAAAAGATGCGTCAGATCGTGGAGTCTAAAGGGTTAAAACAATGCGTATGCTCGTGGAATGGAAAGGGTTAAAACAAGCTGTGTGGTGAAGGGGTTAAAATGGTATTGGGATCACATCTTGAGAGGCTAACCATGCATCCGTGGCATGGTGATGTCAAAGAAAAAGAGTGTGTGAGGGTGTTAACAACCGTGTTGCAAAAGGGTTAAACAGGGGTGTGGTAAAGGGGTTAAACACGAGGTGTGTCAGACCTGTCGGCAAGGGAACGTATCCCCAGGACATGTTTGTTCCATGGAGCCAGACTCAGCACTTGTCTGTCAGAAGTAATTTATCGAGGTCCCATCTGAGATAGACTAGTGTAATTATGTAACGGGCGAATGTGGAGATTGTACCCACCATGTGCCCAGGCCACGGAGCTAGCGCTCCGGGGTCACCCGCGCTGAACGTCTGTATGAGGAACGTTCCGTTTAGACTCTGGAGAAGCATCTTCTCCGCATCTGTCCTCTGCATGAACCCTTGGATTGCGGCAAGCTGAGCGAGAGTCAGGCTAAAATTTACAGCGAACCTCTCTAAGGACCCCCCTGATATGAGGACACCTATTCTTATGTATAGGGGTTCAATAAGACCAGCAAGTTTAATGAGAAACAAAACCCACCCCTCAGTCCATTCTCGTTTGAGCGTGGTCTTGATGAGATCGAGGTGCTTGTAAAACCACTCCCAGAACGTGAAGTTTCTTCCTCGCAACTGGTCCTGTAACACACACACACACACACACCAGTAGACATCAGTACAGCTGTATGTAAGGGAGAGAGGAGTAGATCGGAGGCACTAACATACCCTGCACAGCTGCGTTCTCGTTATTTGGCTCTGACTCAGGTCTTCTTCAGGACCTGCATGATGTGTGTGCGTGTGTGCATGAGAGAGAGAGATTTGGATATTTGCCATCTTGATACAGATAGTGTTCGACAGTTACACTGAATATGTTAAACTTTGAACTATGGTATGAAATGAGAAGGATAAAATGCCCACGTTTCATTAGCTGCTGAATCTCAATTTTTGCCTCTCCCTATAAATTTTAAAGCTTAAATTTTTCACTACTCTCATTCCCCCGTATGCAATTTCGCAATTTTTCTCCTCACCAACTCCAAGAAGTTTCCGCCCGAGGTAGTCCAGATTGGGCGGAGTCAGGCCCCGCCCAGTGTTGGCATGGAAATAGCAGTTGAGGGCCTCCGAGAGGCGTGGCCATGGGATACTCTCTGGAATAACAAACGGCTCTCGATCCTGGTGGTGTGTGGGGAAATAAGTTGCAAGAAGTGAGTATGGACGTGTGTGTGTGTGTGTTGGCTTACATTGGCAGCAAAGGAGTTGTCCCAGAAGATGGTAGCTTCAGCTGGAGGCTGCTGAGTGACATGAACAATCACCACCACCGGCAGGGAGAGGGCCTGAGGGAGAGAGGGAGAATGCCGATAGAACACACACGATATAGAAACTTAGGAAGACAAATTGGAAGAAGTGGAGGAAAGAGAGAGGAGGAGAAAGAACTAACATTGAGAGTGGCCTCCAGCTCTCCTCCAATGGTAAAGTGAGTCTTGAACAGGAGAGAAAATTTTTCCTCCGTCACCATCTGCATATAAAGAACCCTCATGGAACCCCGCCCACCTAATTAATTATTCATGAGCCACTCACCTCGCTCGCCTTCTTGTCTGAGTTTCTCTTTATCCGTCGTAGCTGCATGAAGTTGAAGGCACACGACAAAATCCCTGAGGGGGGCCAAAATTAACAGAGGGGGTCACGGTAAACCAGGGGGTCTGATAAATAATTATCAGGGGGGTTCCCTTACCGGTTGTAGCGTTGAACTCCATACTTTTCTGGTGGTTCAGAATTTCTCCACTGCTCAAGCTGGGAGGGACTCTGGAGCAAGGGAACCGAACAAGCACACGTGTAAACAGATTTTAGCACGCGCATAAATGCATTTAGCACGCGTGCTAACTAATAAGAGGTCTCAGATTGATTTTTGGTATCATTTGCATCAGCTCCACTTTCGAGCTCCTGTTTGCCCGGGAGACACGGTTGCCTGACAACACTTCTCCTAGCAACCAAACAGAGTCTCCCGGGGCAACGGTCAATGTGGGATGCAGGGAAAACAGCCAACTCGGCACTGTCAGTTGGCTGCACTGAAATATCCGCCCATTCGGGAATTTAAAAAAATCATTTTTAGTTGGCGGAGCTCGTTGGAGAGAGTCAAACCTTTTACCTCTCGTCATTGACCTCTTTAAAAAAATAATTACTCCCCCAAACCCCTCCCCCCTGTCTATTTCCATCTCTTACGATTTACAAGGATCCGCAGCCACCGTCTTTGCTTGCTTCTCGCTGCAATCAGACGACATCATAATTACATCATTCGAAAAACGACCCTATAATTAGCTCACTTTATGATGGATACTTGTACCTCGGGGAAACCGAGATGAATCTGCAACTTGCTGCCCACAAGGAGCCTGTGGGCAAAATAAATCACACGTAAACACTTCCTCATCATAAAAACCTGAAACTTGGAGAGGTACATATATACAATCCCAAGTCTAAAAAGTATGACTTGTGTGCGCATTTTTCACTCCATGTGCATAAAAGGCATGTCTCCTTTCACGGCCGCTACATTTGAAATGCCAAAGGTTGGTTGGCTAAGCAAGCAGTGTGTGTGTGTGTGCTGAGTACAGTGGCTGGCTGGCTCTGTGAAATTGTCTGGGCATGCATGGCTTGGGCGATAGTACAATTTGTCCCAAATCCAATACACTCACTAGCCCACAACTCTTGAAACCAATGGCCAAGTGTACAAGACAGACATGCGTACAGCATACAAATTAACATGTCTACATGTACGTATGTACAATTACATGCAGATAACATGTACACATATGGCATACAGATAACATGTACACATATGGCATACAGATAACATGTCCACACACACACACACACACACACACATAAAAACGTGTCTATATGTATAGACATGTACATACACATGAAACACATGTGGACGCATGTTTTCCTGTAGAGCCAATGTTTACATGTATAAACTGCAGCCTCGTCTGTAAACAAACACATATCTATGGCTAGAGACCATTATACACCCATGACAGCCCTACACTGTCAATTTCTCGCAAACTTTGGACTACAAGTTTAAAGTTGGGGTCAGGATGCATAGGATGGTTGATTGGTTGTCCTTACACATGCTCACATAACATTACACAACCATTCTACGATGTGCTTAGACAAAAGATGAGGAATTAGGACTCCTGCTATACAACACACCTGACAGTGGAAGAGAAGCGATTGGCGGTCTTTATGACTTGCGGCGGCTGCTTCTCTAGCACAAAACTCCTGCACACACACACACACACACACACACACTGTGTTACTGGGGGGATTGTTCTAATTAACGCACATCTGGATGACAATGAGCAGCTGCTGGGTGAACTGGTGAGTGAGACTCATAAACTGGTCCCCGGCGATCAGGTTCTGGGGCAGAATGGTGGGCAGCTGCTTGCTCACTTGTCTGTTGCGCCATAGCACCTCGGCCAACGTCTCAAACCTTGCACGAGAGATATTCATTAACCACTGGGTTTAAGGGGGAGGGAGGGTGCCATTTGCCTCCCCTTTTTAAAGGTTTTGCCTCCTCTCTAGTATTGTCCTAATTCTTAAAGATGCCCCCCATAAAGGGTTTCCCTAGGTTATGAAATAAAGAGAAAGAGACCAAAGAGATGAGAGAGAGAGAGAGAGAGAGAGAAGAGGGGAAGAGAGAGCACCATTGCTGGATGCTGTTCAGTTCGGTCTTTCCTCTGTCGTCGTCCGTAATAAACATCCTCTGAGTCTGCTTCCAGTTACTCAGCTCGATCGCAATCAAGCTCTGGACCGTTCTAATTTGACCCAGCGTGTCCAGAGACCTCTGATTCATCTCCTGCACAGAGAATATCAAACAACTAACACCTTTCAAGAGAGACAGAGAAAGGCATTGAGAATAACAAACAACTTTCGCAAATTGGTAAATCATGTATCGTATCAACAATGTCAAGGAAAGCAAGAGATTGTGTGTTACAAGTCAACTCTAAAAAAAAACCAAGGGTAAAAAAGAGAGAGTGGGGGAATATACCATGCAGGTTCTCTTCATGGCGTCAGCGTCGCGATTGCAGATCTGGTCGAGCAGCTGTTTTCTCTCTTTGCATTTGGCTACCTGCTCTGGCGGAATCCTGTTACCCTGTCTCAGAACACCTTCGAGGGGAGGGGAAAAGAGAGAGAGAGAGAGAAGTTGTGTGTACGTGCAGTGTTGTGGGTGTGGTGTGTGGGTGTGGCTTACTATCCAGCTGGAAAGCCTCGTGGTATTGAACTTTGAAATTCTCCAGTTTCGAAGAGAGGTTACGGAAAGTGGCTTCTATGGCCTGTATATAGCACGTATAATTATACAATAATAATGGCGGGCTACATTACACCCATACACATACCTCGGTCTTTCCAACAATGTTTTGGAGGATCTGTTGGACCTGAGACTTTTGCGAGGGGGTCTGGGGCAAGGGAGATGGGGCCTGGAGGAGAGGGAGAAGAGGGAGGAGAGGAGAGGTCAAAGGTGCTGCGAAACAGGCTGCCCAGCCAGAAACAATTAGCTTCAAATTTGGGCTGCGATTCAATAGCGAGATCTGGTTAGTGTGAAATATCTCTTCAGCTCGCCTTGTTTCCATGCCCACAAACACATGCTCTCACACACAGCCAACAGGCCAAGCTGCCCCGGCTCACCACGTGTCTTGCAACGCCACAAAAACTCTTACTTGTGTCACAGGGCGTGCAGTTGAAAGAATAATTATGCAGTACACAAATGTCTCTCACTTGCAGGTGTTAGTATAATTATACCTTCGTTCGAAATCATGGGGACACAACATAAAGTGTACGTAGTGGTGCCGTTGCAACTTTTACGCGAGTGTGTCTCACTTGCAGATGATCCTGCTGGTCGATGAGCTCGGCCTCTCTGAAGAGATTGTGCTGTATCACTCTCACTAGACTCAGAGGTTGGGATACGTACTCGTTCTGAAGGAGAAACAGGAGAAGGAAGAAGGGGAGAGAGGAAAAGGAGGAAGAGAGAGGCAGGAGAAGGAAGGAGGGAAAGAGTGGAGAAGGTGAGGCACACTCTCTGTCTCACCCGCATGTGAATGTAGAGAGCCTCCAGCTGCGTCTTTGTGATGAAGTTTTGAGTGTGTCTCGCCATAAGCTGAAGGAGAAAGAGGAGGAGAGAGAAAGTGAGCGGGATTCGGCTAACATCAACCCCTTCCTCACGTCGCTGAGTGCCTGCAGCATCCCTTCAAAGAGTCTCCTGGCGTCAGCCTCTTGGTGAGGACTGTCAGGGTCAACTTCACTCCTGGAAATCAAGACGGAGAGATGGAGCGGTAAGACCGAGGTGACAAACAGACATTTGGGACTTTTCAACTAAACCACATTACGCCCACCACCTTTCTCCATCCCTACCCTCCTTCCTGCCACCTTGGCAGCAGTGCAGACCTTCATGGACGGTGGTTTATGTTATTACGTGGCCCTGCCACAGTTCTATACTCTTGAACAGGAAAAACAGAAAGTTCTAGAACCCGAGACTTTACCAAACAAACGAACGCTTTATCACACTCAATACCAGGGGTTGTGTCTAATAAAGGCACCAGTGGGGAGCTGTACATACGTGCAGTGGCACACACGGTCACTCCTTTTCAGGAGTTGAAAAAGGCAACCGGAGTGGTTGTGGTTTCGGCTGCACTTGGCTCACCAAGACTGTGCCTCCATCCAATTTGCCAGGTAGTGGCGGACTTCAATTGGGAGACGATGCCCGTAGAGCGACTTCAGCTGCTCCAGAAACTGGCCGTTCAGTCGCATGCATTTTTCCCACTGCGCCATGGCAACCTGAGGAGTGAAGAGGGTGAGAACTTTGCACAGACACCAGTGTGTTATGGTAACTGGATATTGTTTAGATATATCAGAAAACTGTCTCTCTCTCCTTCTCTCTCCTCTCTTTCTTTTTCCCTCTTCAATTCACACATGCACACATTCACTGTGGTTGGTGACTGCAAGTGAAAACCAGCCCATCATCCCACACTTACAAGGAAAACAGTGTGGGAGAGGTTTCAGGCTTTATGATTGCCATTTTTTCTCTCCATTTTCCCCCTACAACAACTGCATACTGCCCCTCTACATATGAACATACATACAACAGGCAAGGCATGCGAGGATCTACACGTTTAGACAAAGCAAGGACAGATGGGCATGAAGCCAGGTCCAATTTTAGCCCAGACAAGACCACCCTGAGCGCACCTACAACTATTCAAAACACGTTGTGTGGTGTGCAGAGAGTCGCAAGAGAGCGCGCAAGGCACGAGCTACAGGCTCACCTGAAATAACCGCTTTGTATGTACATACAACCGAATACATATATGTAGCTACGCTAACAGCAAGAATACACAGCGACAACAAAACAAACGTGGACGTACACAAAAGGCGGTTTTTTCACAGCGGAAAGTAGTAACTACTAAACGTGCGAGCGAGCGCAGTTTCAGAGAACCCGGGGAACTTTACTCACTTTCGCTGACGTGAATTCCAGGGGATAGCACACACACACACAGCACGTCCGTTCCTTCTCGTTCCTTACTCCGAAACTGCCGAATTATCCACTCGGCAGCAGCAGCAATAGCAAAACGAGAGCGGAGGTGTGTAGAAACGAAAAGCGTGTACCTCCCAACTCGCAGAAAACCGGGCAAGTTTTTCCCGAGCTCTCGTCTCGTGTTTGCCAACCTCGGTCGACTACTGGGAAAGCGGGGTTGCAGGAACTACCTCCTTCTACGGCTTGCCGCCATCTTCTAGGAAAGGATAGTAGTGGGGAGAGAGTTTAGCTGGAACATCTCTCGCCGACACACGCTCGTTCCAAGAAAAAATTCCTTCCGCTAATTTAGAACACAGCTCCTTGGAATTTCAATATTGTTTCGTTATATTAGAGGGCAAGGAAAGTGGGGGCGGGGCACGCACAACTATTATACACGAATCTCGCACTCACAGTTTGTTCGCAAACAAACTAGCTAAGCAGCTACACGCTTCACTGGACACCACAGCTGAGCGACTCGAGATCTAATGATGGTGAGTTCACTATCGGTGTTTGCGGATGCGTTACACTTGGCACAATTCGCAAACTACACAAGTTTTTAGATTGGGAATTCGCGAGCTAGCTACTTAGAAAACCGAATTCTCGTGGGATAGATGGCTAATGGTGATAAAGGACAGGTCTCGATCTAGCAGCTCCGATTTGCTATGCAGCGACCTGTGCATGACCGGGCATTCCTTATATGTAAGGTGCTACTAGCGACTATTTGCCTTACAGGGCTTTTGTGTGCGCTCCTGCCGGCTCTGCAAGCACGGAGCGAGTTGTTATTTGACCATATCCAGTGTCAGTATATTTAACAGTTTAGCCAACTCACACGGAAGGTTACAGTAGCTTGCAATCTATGGCTTGTCTAGCTAACACCAAAATCCCTACAGGAGTTCTCTATGAGTGGCTGGCTGGACAAGAGGGGAGGGTTGGAAGCTACTAAGGTTAGAATAATTAATGTCTCCCCATCCTTATTCAGACCTGCTATCATTCCCCTGTGCAGAGGTGGAAGAAACGATGGTGCATACTAAGCAATCACCTACTACGCTACTATAAAAGTGACACGGTAAGTTCTTATGCCCACACACCCCATAGTGGCGCCATGTGAACCAGTTTGTATAGGTACAGTGACTGCACACAAGCTGACTCAGTGTTTATAATATCGTCACAGGATAGTAACCCAGCAGGGACTATATTTGCAGAAGACATTGCGGACGTTGCACCTGACGAATATGAATCCAAAAAGGACTCAAAAGTTGGTGTTTTGTTTGAAGGTGCTCGGTCCTCACAATCAACAGTAGCACTTTCATTTTCCCCTCAGCACGGGTTTGTGTTTAAAATCTTGACACGCGGAAGGGACTATATCTTGAATGCCCCCAACCAGCAGAAACGGGTAAACTCTTACCAACCGTACTATAAGTATTGGGTACAGTTTTTAAAAGTGTGCAATTTTTTTACTATCAGGATGAGTGGATCAGTAGAATACGATCTTTGCTGCAGGCCAATCGAGAACAAGGTATATATTATTCTCTGAAAAGGACGCACTGAATAAAGGAGACTTTCCTATAAAGAGCGTTGGTTTTCTGGTGGATTATTCAAATGAAGGACACCTCTGAATAAAGGATTTTAATGTCACTAGGTGTTCCTTGTTTATAGATTTCATCTTATTGTAGCAAAAGTATGAAGTTTGATTTTTGCTGTGTGCTCCTATTTCTGTTCAGATGCTGCAGCGCCAGAGGTGCACTATGCGACGGTGGAGGTGTTCCCGACACGGGGCATCAGGATAACGGGAGAAGTCAGCTCGGTCCTCATTGGGCAACTTACAACCACCACAGCCAAGACCACCAAGGACGAGAGAGGATGGTAAGAAAACTCTGAGGCCTAAAATGTTTGCTCAGAAGCTAGTCTTACTTACCCATGCATTTTGAGGAATAATTGTGATGTGTGTTCCCCAGGTTCTCAGACCAAGCGTTGCCGCATGCGTCGATACTGAACCTGTTCACACAGCACGGCTGGAGTCTGGCCACTGCCTTCCAATCCAACTCCATTCCTCCAAACTCCACCTCAGCCACTCCTTCTGACACCCTCATCTTTACCCACTCCTTCAACACCCCTCCCATCTCATGATCTTCGATACTTTTATTTATATATATAACCTTTGTTGTGAAATTGCTATGTTATTATTATAAAACCAAATGCACTATCTTGTCGTCCAGCCACCATCAATGGTGAGAGTTGATCCAGTGACTTGTCTGGCCTCTTCACTGCAGAGGTATACCACCATGGCTCCCACCTGGCACGAAAAAATCACTTGTACATTGCAACGTTTGCTTACACACACACGATACACCAGACAATGTCATACTTCATTTGGCATCACAAACTCTTTGGAAGGCATTTTCTCTTCCAGTGTGGACATCTGAAAGAAAAGCTAGTCTGGAAGAGACCTTAAGACTCGCGTGTTAGTCAAGCACCTTTGCTTCGTCCACAGTGATGCCTTCTTTTTCAGCCCTGGCTTCCAGCTGTGCTTCCACCACTGGAGGTAATGGGGAGATGATGTCACTATGACGTAATGGGGTACACTAACGTGGAGTTAGGACCCATCCTGGGCATATGGCGTTACATGTTATCCCGCTGCCTGCAGTCTCCAATGCAACCACCTCACAAATCATCGAAAACCGAAAGAGAGTATCTTTAGGAAAGGAGGGAGACAAGAAATCTACACCTTTGTGAGTCCCACAAGGCCGTGTTTAGAGGCGACGTATGGTGCCTTCATTGGAGACCCAACCAGTCCATGAACTGAAGAGATGTTGACAATTCTTCCCCAACCTATAATTATGAGCATGTAAAATAGTCACAATACTTGCCATATGACCTATATACTGTGCTTGCATTGGTATTATGAAAGACATGGATGGAATCCATAACATGCAAACTTCGTAAAGTTGTGTACATCACAAAAACCCAAAAAATGCAGTATTTCGCGAGTCTCAAACCTCGTTGCCTCATTCCGGGGAGGGCCAGTCTGATGGTATGGAACGAGGCCGAGAGATTGACAGCCAGAACCTGGTCCCATTTCTCAACCGGCATCTTCTCAATCGGCTCGACATATTGCATCCCTATAGACACCAATGAACAAGTATAGATATGAGATGAGGCAGAAGTGGCAATAGAAGGTGTGCTGTGAAACAGTTTTGCAGATTGCATTCGTAACCGATAAAAATGCGTGGACGAAACGTACCTGCATTATTTACAAGGATGTCTGGACCTCGAGCATATCGTGACTTTATGAACTGAAACATGTCTGAGATCTGGGTGGGGTCACAGAGGTCGGCACCATGGTGATAAAACTCTCTCTGTACGCCATCTAAGTACACCAATGACGTCACCAGGGGCGGATCATGGCAGAATGAAACCTGGGAGAGCCTGGCGACAGGTTTGGATCGCGGACTGGACGACCTCCGGCGTCCCCAGACCGTGCAGCACCACGTCGTGACCTCTCTTTACCAACCCCCGAGCTATCCCCAGTCCGATGCCGCTCGTAGAGCCCGTCACTAGAGCAAGTTTACTCGGCGGTTGTTGCTCTTCTGCCATAGCTTTTTCGCGCACGCGCAGCTATCCGGTGGTGTTAGCGCATGCGCACTGGTGCTCCATTTCATCAAGCAAAGGCCATGTGTAATGGTTTTTGGACTCGTTTCTGCCGTCCGTTGCCCTTCTGGCTGGAGAAGTAACGATGAAGCCGTTTCTCATTGGGGCCGTAGGAGTTTGAGGTAAGTCAGTTCGAGTTTCTTACTCTAAAGCGCGAGAGCCGGCGCCCGGATTCGCGTAGCTAAGCAGCTGGAACCGTTCACGTTTGAAGCCTGCGATCGCATGCAGCTCGCTCCCGTCTAATGGTACGTGGGCCTTTGCGAAGTTGCCGATCAGGTTTTGTCACATTTACTTTGATCACTACATTACGGCACATGCCTGCATACCTACAGTTCGTGGTGTCATGGCGACGGCGGCTGGATATGTGGTTGTTCCTCTAGGCTGGGAGCGAGACGTGCTTGACGGCAGAGTCATCTACAAGAGGTAGTCACCCTCTCTCTCTCTCTCTCTCTCTCTCTCTCTCTCTCTCCTTCTCTCTCTCTCTCTCTCTCTCTTTCAGCAACATACTTTCAGCATCCTGGCAGTGACTGTGCATGCAACGCTGTGCCAAATCACATCATCAGTCGTTGCATGCCACTATCTCCCACCTCTCTATACCTCTCAGCCCAGATCTAAAAACCCTCACAAACAGGGAAGAATTGCTCCTCTATCTCACCTCCGACGGAACCTGCAAATGCGGGCTCCGCTGTCCGTTTCAACTCGAGGACCAGTTCAATTTCGACCCTCTCGTCCTGGGGCTCCCGGATAACGGAGTTCCCAGCATTGCTCAGGCTTCGTGTAGAGTCGGCCACGCCCTCCGGACCAACGCCACATCTCCCGCTAGTGTCGGGGCGGTGTCTGGAGGATGGAGAGTTCCTCAGAGGATGGGGAAACCCCGGAATTCTCGCCCGAGTAGACACTCCACACGACGTAGTGGCGAAAATATCGGTTCTCTATCGGTGAGATCGCTCGGTACACGGATGGTTACCTCGATTGACGCAGCAGTTTCTCCCGCAAACCAACTGTCGATTTCTTCAAACTGTCAGGAGGTAAAAGACGGAGGAGAAGGTGGGGGAGGAGTTTCCGAAGACGGAGTCAAGAAAATGGAGCTCGATTCGCCAACAAAATTGGTCCAGAGTATCCCCGAGATGAGCGTTAGGGGTTTGTTGTCACGGCTACCGGGAAGCCACTCCCCTTCCCCGCAGCAAACGAGGCAGAGTGACGATCGGAATTTGTCAGAGGAAAGACAGGGCGTTGCAAAGATGGCGGCTCTACGGTTGATGCAGTCACAGAAGGAGGCGAAACAGAGCGAAAAGAGCTCTCCAACTCTGTCGGCCGTTTTGACTGGCTGCAGTCAGAATGACATTGTTGGAGAGGAGAAGAAAGAAGGAGATGGAAACAAGGGAGGAAGCGAAGACGTAGCGAAGGAGAGAAAAAAGTTAGAGTGTGAACTCACCATTTCCATAAAACTCAACGGTCATGAGGAAAGTAAGGATGCAACGCCAGTAAATGCAGATGGTTTAACCGGGAAGGAAGTAAATCCCACGGAATCAGAGTCAGGGAATCGGAGTACGGGGGATCGGGGTATGGGGGATCGGGGTATGGAACTCGGTGCGCCCTCTGGGTCTACTGAGACAAGATCAGACAGGGGATCAGAATCAGCTACACTTGATATCAGCTCTACCACCACGCCATTCTCAGAATCAGCTCAACTTGATCCTACCTGCACTACTAACACTGCTCAGCCTCGTATCGAATCAACCATATCTGAAACAGATCGGCCTGTTGCCAACGTTACCGCCGCTGAACTGTTGCTCACAGGCGATGTGTCTCACTCTCAACCAAATGTAAGCTCTCCACCCTCCCCACACCCTCCCCAATCTCACACACCCTCTTACCACCAGGGAACCACAGAATCAACTCGGAATTCTCCGACCTTCCTCCAAGTCAACTCCACTACAACGACCGTACAATCTTCCCCCCTTCAGCCCTATGAAGTGCCCAACACACTCTCTGTCGCCAGCTCACCTGATACAATACTGCAGCCGCTGCACCCTACTCCCCTCACTCCCCCTCCCTCCGCCCACGTTCCCTCACAAACCAGTTTAACCGGTTCGGAGCCAGCCATTGCGGGCGATTTTGAGTGCGCCTCACTTCAGGAAGGCATTTTCCCCCAAACACCTCCCCGTGTTCCTGAAGATGTTCCGGTGACCAACTTTTCTGAGGCATCGTCGATACTGCACGAGGATTGTCAGACTCGCAACGTGTCGTTGAACTATGACCCCTCTTTGTTCGGAGTGGGTGTGGCTTCTGCTGTCGAGGGAGCGAGGGAAGAGGATGTAGGTCTGATTCTCGCTGAGTCGTGTGCAATAATCGAAAGCAGTTCCTTCGATTTTGCCCCAAGTGAGTGTCTAGTTGTGAGCGTTCCAGATAAGGCCCACCCTCTGGGGGCTGTTCCAGATAATGCGCATCATGTGTCTGACAACTCGTCGCTTGGTGGCACGAGGGTGCCTGTGTTTGAGTCCCATTCCCATTCCAATGGCTCTGAGTGGTTCCAGAATGGGACCGAGACCTTGCCGACTGTCGTACACATTCGAGAGGCTCTCGCTGTGAAACAAAATGGGTGTGGTCACATAGACGAAGGGGGTGTGGTTTTAGACGTACATTTTCCTCAGAAAACGGTGCTAGTTGCCCACGAGAATAGAGTTTACTCCGACCGTGACTCCACTCCGTTGCCTGTACCCCAAACGAAACTACCCCGACCCCTTCAATCACTGTCACTCCAACTTGTCCCATCTGCCCTTGACACGCCCACCTCTCTGGTTGCTCCCGACGACGACGGGTGTTCCCCTCCAATCAGCGAACTCTCCTCCCTCACGCCGGACTCTGCCCACTTTGGTCCGAGTGGCACCAGCAGTTCGTCGATGGTTCTAGTGAGCCCGCTTTCCTCGCCAGTCCCCCTCCCCTCTCTCCCCGGACCTCGCTGGACTCCGCAACGATGCGAGGTAACTCTGAGAGAGTGCCGCGTGAATCTCAGACCGCTCGGTAAGGAATGGACACCCAGCAAGAAAACTGCTATCACGGAGAGCGAGACTTTGCTGCCGAACCGAGAGGAAGAGAAAGAGGCGGAGAAGGGGGAAGGAGAGGTTGGGAGAGGGGAGGAGAAAAAGAAGGAGGGAGAGAGTGAGCTGGAGGTGGAGGTGAACAAGAGGACGAGGGGAGAGGTTGAGGAAGGACCTGGTCTGGTACCAAAGAGACTCAGGTTCACAGTAAGGGAGCAGGACAGAGAAAAAGGGGATGGAATAATTCCGGATTCTGTCCCGTTTCAACCCGTTGACCGATCGGTTGTGGAAAATCACCAGCCTCCAGTTTTTCCCGATCTTGAAATTGCGCAGCCCAAAATCACCAACATTCCAAGTCCTGCAGAAGAGAACTATTCAGAACAAACTAATACTGACAAATCTCTTACTGCAAAAGAGGAACACGTGAATGGAAAAAATATCACAGTTTCCCTAGCTGTGGAGGCAGTAAACTTTTCGCTCCCTTCTGAGCCTGGAAGTGAAGGGTTAAACGGAGAAAGCGAGTGTTTAAATGGAGGAGGAGAGGGGTTAAATGGAAGTAGCGAGAGTTTTAACGAAGGTGGTAAGGGGTTAACTGGAGGGAGTGAGGGGGTAAACGACGGAGCTTGCGCAGGTGTCAAACAAGCAGACCAAAGAGAAGTGGAAGGCGAGATTGATGAAGGACTTACTCTGGAAGAAACAAGGCCCGTCTCAGTGGAACATTTCAATACAGTGGAACCTGACGTGCAGAATAATAGTGTGGAGCCTTCTCCACTGCCCAGTCCCCCAGCTGTAATGGAGGTGAATGAAGTGAACGCTGAGCCTGAAAACTCTCCCTTGGTCCGTACGAACTATTCGACCGTCACCACCACAGAGAGCATGGAAAGCAGAGACTTTGAGTTGGATGAAGAGGGCAGTGCAGAAAGTATGGAGAGAAACGATGTGGATTTTGGTGAAAGGGGCAGTGCAGTGACTATTGAAGGCAAGGAGCAAAGCCGTGATGAAAGAGGCAGTCCAGAGCGTATGCTCAGCAGAGAGAGAGAGCTTGGCAAAGTATTTGGTGGAGGGGTGGTGGAAGACCCTGCTCACAAGATTCCTGAACTTGGAGGAGGCATTGGTGGTGGAGAAGAAGAAGGAGGAGGAAGAGGGATTGATGTTGACACAGAGAAGGCGGGAAGAGACGGGAGAGAGGGGGGAGGAGAGGGAGAGGAAAGACAGGTGCATGGACAGCAATTTGAGGGGGTGGAACACAATATGGTGGAGAATGAAGAAAAGGCGGAGATTGAACCAAATGTGATGAAGGAGAAGGGAGGACAGATGGAAGGGGTGAGAGAGACGGAAGAAGAGTTTGGACTTCTTCATCTCTTGGCACAGGTTGCAGTTGACTCTTCGCCTGAAGTCGACGAACACACTCGTCCAATGAAGACCAAGCAGCTGACAAACCAGTGGTAAAAAACTCGGATGAAGTCTCACAGAACGCTGCGGAAAATATCTCCACTCAACCTATCATGAAACCGGAGAACCAACTGAAACGTGCGTGGAGGAAGAGAAGAAATGCAGGTCACGAATCGGACGGCTCCTCTTTTCTTGCAGTTACGGGAACCAGAAGAGGGATGGAGGGAGGAGGAGCGAGGCGGAGAATTCGTGTGTGGAGATCGACACGCAGCGGTCGAGGTAGGCGAGCCACGAGTAGAGCTCTAGCGAAGGAGAACCACGGGAGATTGGTCGGAGACACTAAAGTTTCCCTGGTGAGCGGAACGGAAGAGAGAGGCGAGGTAGACGTGATGGAAGTGTCGTGTGAGAGAGATGGTAATAGTTTAGAGCCAGCGTTGCTAGACGTTTCACACAACGGTTACTTACCGCAGTGTGGAGGCAAAAGATGGTGAAATAGTTGTGGTCGGCAGTGACAAGGCTGCCAGCATTAACACCGAGTCGGCTGAACAGAATTGTAAATATGAAACCACTGGATTGGAATATGGGACTGCAGCAAGCAAGGACGGTGCTAAAGAGGGTAATTTGGCAGAGGACGGGACCAAAGAATCATCAACAAATGAAATTCCAACTCCCATGAAAGAGAAAGAAGAAACGATACGTGGTGACCAAACTGTTAACACTAGTCGTTTGGAAAAGTTTGAAATTCCAACCCAGCCACAAGTTGACCAACCAGGCATCAGTACGGAGCCACCTCAGGATGCTGATGCTGTAGTAACCACCACATTGGATCCGCACTCGCCCCCTAGTGTGACACCTGATACAGCTGTGGGGTCAGAGTACAGCGCCCAGTCATGTGACGTACTAAATACCACTAGGAATGCCGTTGGTGAGAAATTTGCTCTGCCCACCATTGATAGCGGGTCACATGACACAGGTAAAAGATCACATGACATGTTTGTCGAAGAAAACGATACTACAGGGGCTAAGAAGGATTTGGCGACAAAGAGAGTGAGGATGTGGAGGGGGAGAAGAGGGAGGGGGAGAGGGAGGAGAGGGGCCGGAAGAGGGAGAGGTAGTACCGGAATGGGACCAAACTGCATGGAATCAAGACCACAAAATGTAAAACTTGACCCCACAAGTGAACTAGAATCGACTGAAGTGGCAAATGTAGACAACGAAATGACTGAACCTATCTCTAGAACCAATCATCCGCCATTACCGAGTCAGACCCCTCAATTACCGAGTCAGACCCCTCAATTACCGAGTCAGACCCCTCAATCACCGAGTCAGACCCCTCAATTACCGAGTCAGACCCCTCAATTTCCGAGTCAGACCCCTCAATTTCCGAGTCAGACCCCTCAATTTCCGAGTCAGACCCCTCATTTACCGAGTCAGACCCCTCAATTTCCGAGTCAGACCCCTCATTTCCGAGTCAGACCCCTCAATTACCGAGTCAGACCCCTCAATCACCGAGTCAGACCCCTCAATTTCCGAGTCAGACCCCTCAATTTCCGGCACTTCCAGTTAAATATTCCCCGGAAGACGCCACCACCGACGTTGCCACTGAGCCCAACTCTCCTTCTTCTCCAACTCAAAAACCTCAGACGAGGTTCATCGTGTCTTTCCCTCTCTTGCTGGTGAAGTTACCCCACCATCAACAACTAGAGTGTTACTCTACGAGTCAGTTTCAGCCGGGCGACGTGGTGTGGGCCAAGGCACCGCAGCTCCCCGGGTGGCCCGGCCTCGTCATCAATCACTCGCAGTGGAAGAGAAACAGACTGCAGCCAGCACCTGATGGGAAGGTAAGCCAACTAGCTTTGGGGGTTTCTATTTCCAGAGCCATTTTTGAGGATTGTGTGTCTGTAAACACTTCTTTATTGCATTACATCACCTTTGACCTTTGAGCAATGCTAAATATACTCATTAGCAGGTGAAAAGTTCAAAAGTTTTATAAATCACCAAAGTTTTCTCCTTTGAATTTCCCCCATAATGCGATACTTGTCTGCGTGTGTGTTTTGTGTTTCTCTCTGGCAGAGATGGGTCAAGTGGTACGGACATCACACGGTGAGTCTTGTGACCGAGAAATCGATGAAGCCACTGAGCGAGGGGCTCAAGAGACGGATGATACGAAAAACCAACAAAGACCTCCAGAAAGCCGTCAGTCTGGCTCTGAAGGCACAGCAGAAGAAGGAGCACCAACAGGTGTGGGGACCCAAAATGCTATTTCGCTAACTGCATTTTGTTTTACTTTCTGGTTTTTTCAGTTGCAGAATGTGTGAAAGACGACTCTAAACTTCCCTCTCTCTCCCTTCTCTCACTCTCTCCAATGTATATGTGTACACAAACCACCCATACTTCCATTTATTCACTGGTCTTAATGTTTTCCACCCTCCTTCAGTTTCCATTATTACCCAACCACGCCCGTTAGTTTACGGACGTGAGCGGAGAGGTTCGCGGAGCTATCCAATAGTATTCAAAGCGTGCACGCAATTCATGTGAACCGACTTCCGGTGAGTGCCATTCCGCCCCGTAAGCGGCTTGCAAATGGCGCACAATTCCCCGAGACTACACCGAGAAGTGTCGCTCAGAGAAATGGCCGTAGCCGCCCAGTGAACCGAGCCTCCGCCGTTTCGAGGCCACCACTTAGAAGCCGAAAGCCCGCTCTATCCACGCATGAGAGCCAAGGGCCACGGAGGCTGCAGAGAGGGCTGTATTCGGTGCCGGTAGGGGCGCTACTTTGAGCGCTCGGGACGGCCATGAGTAAGCTGTCTTTCCGGGCGCGGGCCCTGGATGCGTCAAAACCGCTGCCCATCTACCACGCTCGAGATGTGCCCGACCTCTCTGACTACCAGGCCATCAACAGGACCGTTCCCCAGATGCCCACGGGCATGGAGAAGGAAGAGGAAACGGTGAGACGGGTTATTTGGGCACCGCCGTGCTGACTCAGTTCCAGATCGGACGCCATTTTAAAAATGGCGGACGGTCAGAGTGGAACGTTTTGCCGTTTCTCTCGCGGAGCAGGCTCTACTGGGCGGCAGTTTTCCCATTTTTAACCAAAGTTACCGTAAAGATTGGCGTTTTTGAGGTTCGTGTAGCCTGTAGAAGTAAACTCAGGCGAGAAAAGCGAAGTGTAAAAACTGTTTTTTGAGGGATCACGTGAGACCGACCGCCCGGGTTGCTACGCGATTGCAATAATGGAATTCATGGCTCAGTTGTAGAGAGGGGTGGGTTAGTAGCCTGAATGCGTGCAATGGGCTAGTACTGGCTTCTATTTGCGTGTAGCCTAGTGTACACTGAGGCATAAGGAGTAAGTAAGTATACCTGAGAATGTGCCTGTATCAACTACTAAGTACATACCCCATCTTACCTTCCCCCGCCCAATGTAGGAGAGACACCTGCAGGAGGTTATACTGGCCCAGCAGACCAACTGCCGTCGCGATGTTTTCATCCCCACTCCCGAGGTGGCCACGGACGACGTCAGTCACTACGAACAGGTCTACAGCGTACTGCAGCATCGACAGTCGCCTTACATCAGAGTACCAGGTATGCATGTATGTGGGAGGGGAGAGGGAGGGTGAAGTAAGTAATGCGGAGTAGCTCAACAGGGGACACACTTCTTACAACAGTGGTTCTCTCAATACGGAAAGGGAAAAGATATTTGACGAGTTTTATGTTTTCGTCCAGGTCTGGGTTTGGAGGAGGAGGTGCCGGAGTATGATTTGGACTCAGAGGACGAAGAGTGGCTCAGCGCCCAAACCAAAGAGAGAGTAAGCCCCTTTAATTCCGTCTAATAGCACAGCTGTTACTCTGTACTCCCCCACTCTCCCTTATTATTCCACCCTCAGCCTCTCTCCCCCCTCCACTTTGAGAAGATGATGGACAAGCTCGAGAGAGGCAGTGGAAATACGGTCAGCCCCCCACTTATTACAGGGTCTCCCCTTCGTCACCAGTGAAAGGAAAATCCTTGTCTGTGGCTGCAGGTTCTGAGTGTGCGAGATGCGCAGAGTCTGCTAAAGGATGAGGAAGATTTGGTGATAGCTGTGTATGATTACTGGCTGGCCAAGAGACTGAGGCTGGGCAGAGCTCTCATCCCGGCAGTCAAACACGAGCGGCGAGACGGGACTTCGTCCAACAATCCCTATCTCGCCTTCCGCAAACGCACAGAGAAAATGCAGACCCGAAAAGTACGCATGTCCACAGTACCACTATTACAGAGTTTGATGTATGGTGTATTTTAGAAATTATGTCTGCTTTCTTTTCATACTGTAGAATCGTAAGAACGACGAAATGGCGTACATGCAGATGTTGAAGCTGAAGAGAGATCTCACCAAAGCAAAGTGAGTGTAGCGGTTCTCTAGTCACAAAATGCGGTTATAGTCACCTCAATACATGTCAGGCATGAGTAACTCTCTCCTCTTCTCTCTCTCTTCCCTCTCGTCTCTTGTTTCTCCTGCACTCACACACACGCACACACACAAGAAACCTGGCGGAGTTTGTGCTAGAGAGAGAGAACAAGAAGCACCACTTTGCGCAGATCGAGACGGACATCTTCAAGCGGCGCTACCAGCTGGAGGACTGGAGTGGGAGCATATTGTCCAGTCTGAGACCAGTCTCCACACACACTGACACAAGACACCCTGCTACCGTGGGGGATGGCTGGGAGTCAAGACACTCCCTGATCAAGGTGAGTAGGAAATGGTTGATAAGACGCACTAGCTCTCCTACTCATTTCTACTTTGTGTGTATGTGTGGTCGTGTTTACAGTGGAACCCCTCTCTAAAGGCACCCCTGAAATGTCAGATAAGGACACCTTTTCTTCCCCCAAGAACAGCTTCTTGCTAACCCCAGACCCATAAACCTCACTAATACTGACCCTTTCTTCTGTCCCAGTAGGGTCCACACTAGAGGGGATACACATTCTCCCATTTTCCACTTATTGACCCTTCACCCACACAACCCTCTCTAACTAGGTGGAAACTGATGATCAAGTGCAGGTTATTGGCAGACAGCCTGTCCTCCTATCAACTGGGTAAAACCCCCCCTATCTTCATCTAAAACAATGGCTCATTTTTCCCCCGTTTTTACGATAAAGTTTGAAGAAGAGATCGAAGAAGAGGAAATTCTATTTCCCTCACGTAAGCTCTATTACACACACACACACAGCTCTTAATCATTCGTACTTCATTTTTTCTCCTCCGTCTCTCGTCCACTATCTATTTGTTCAGGGGACGCCTGAGCCTGAGCTAGTCACTCCTGCTACTCCAGAGAAGTCAGTGAGAGACGTTCTTCAACCGGCAACTGTTGAGGTGTGTACAATGCACATGACAGCATTGCACCGCACCGTCGCTCGGTCCTCCAGTAATGGAGAGATATAATAAACGTGCTTTCTACAAATGGAGAAACTTGACGTGTCTTCCGTAGTGGAGAAATTTAATGTGACTCTGTCTGTGTCTGTAGAAGTCAGAGGAAGAGGAATTGGATGGCATTTTCACTTTCAAGAGGCGACCACATGTGCGATATCACAAGGTATGTTCATACTACTGTTGAAAATTCCTTTGCGAGAAGTTTTGAATTTCGAACAAGTGAGTGATAGTGGAAACATACATACATGCTCACTGTACCACCCCACCATGGCTAAACAACGTGAAATCCTAGGATATAATGTAAAATTATCATAATTCTCTTTCACCGCAACAGAATCTGTCCAAAATACCATATACTCTATCTGCAGGTGGATGAGGAAGTTGATTGGGACGTTGCCCAGGGGGTCCCCCTCTCTCTCCCGCGCTCCTGGAAAAGATATTGCTACAATCAAACTGCTTTCGGTGGATGCTACATCGGAAAAGCTAGACGAAGGATCGGTCGTGGAGGCAGGTGGGTGGAGACTGGGTGTGGCCAGGGGGTGTGGTTTAACAGCTCACCTATTTTAGTAGTCGGAACACCGTGATTGCAATATAGTCCATAATCATCGAGAAAGTTTAGTATCTCCATGTCTCTCCAGGGTCATGTGGGACAGAGAGTGTGGGAGTGAGAGTGAGGAAGAGGAGGAGATGGAGGAGCCACTGGGACCCTCTGGACCCGCCGAGGGGAACAAGGACAGTGAGGTTCTCGACCCTAGCCTCAAACGGTGGGTGAACAACTCCCGTAGGACAGGGTGTCCGGAAGAGAAAGAATCGTTAGCCCAGCCCAGTTTGTCATATGAATTTTGCGCATATTTCGTTGTGGATTTGTATTGTGGCAGGTGGTTCTGTCCGTACCGTAATACTTTCAATATTCGTAAAACTGCTGTTAGCTCGCCAATAATGGCATTTCATTCATTCTAGTTATATTGTTGTTTACCCTCAGTTGTCGCTACGTCTCTCGCTCCCCCTCTCCCACCTCGAACTTTGAGTTCCAGTCGTTTCCGCTGATTGAGAACACCAACCCCTCTTCGCAGCCCGCTGACCCAGTGAACTCTATGGCCATCTTCGAATTCAGCGGTTTCACGTCTGACTCTGAATTCCCCGAAGACGCGTCCTCCTTCTCCTCTCTCCCCACCTCTCAATTCGCTCTCAAACCAAGTACGTCTGACGTCGAATGCGAGAATTCTTCGTCACAAGGTGAAAATATGGATACTTCTACTGATCCTCCGCCATCTTCTTCCACCACCGCTCAACAGCGCCTGTTAGAGCGAAACAGTGGGCCTCAGAATCCCAAGACGGTTACGTTAGTCAACAGCTCCAGAAACAATGTATCTAGTATAGGGCCCCCCCAATCGGGGGGTCTGATGAAACAGAATTTTGTTCCCCAGAATCAAACTAATACGTTCGCACTGAAACCACCGCCTACAGAGCACATACGTAAACCGCAACAACAACCCCCCGTGTCTCAAAATTCCTCGACCCCCCTCTCCTATGTTCAAAATTTGGCCCCCGGACCCCCCTCTACCAGACCCCCTCTTCTTGTCCCCTCAACAACTGCTCCGCCCCCTACTACAACATCATTGCTTACGCCTTCTCTATCATCACTTCAGAAACATGTTCCCGTTCCAGAGCAGTCTGGAATGTCGTCAGCTTTAGCCACACCCACTTCGGTTACCTCATTAGTGGCAAGTGCGAGTGATGCTATGGTAAGGAAACCCAGTGGTACATTGAAAAACCATCCCCTCCAGCCCTCTACCAGCGGGCTTGTTGACCCTCGACTGAAGCACGGGCATTCTCATGAACACGAAGTAGCCAGTGATGGTAGTGTTGCACAGAAAGGACCTTCAAAACACACTGCGACAGGACACACTACAACAGGGGCAACTGGTAGTGACAGTTTGAATTTGAAATCCGACAGAACACCGGCTCCAAACGGTCTCACGAGCCCAACACCGGTAAAAACAGACACTTCCACCACTAGTGACACCACTGTACCTCCCACCTCTTCTTCTTCCTCGTCCTTTCAAACTTCGTGGTTAATGGACGGTCCTTCGTCAAACGTTCAACTCCTCAGCTCTCGCAGCTCTGATTCTCACAAGCCTCAGAAACCTTCCTCGGTTGAGGGAGACAAGAAAGAGGTGAAGTTAGGGTCTTCTTCGATGGTTGACGCAGCCTCGGCGATCACGTCTCAGTTTCTTCAGCACTCCGAAGGTGCAAGGGATGAGACAGGTGGAAGACAAACGGTGGAACAGATTCAATCCACTCTGCAGCAAACGGCTAGGGGCATCCCCCTGGGAATCGGCAGGGAAATCCCCCTTCCCCTAGTGCAGGGGACAGTCCCTATGACATCGTCTCGGTTGCCCACTTCGGCTTCAATTGCCGCTACGAAATTAGAGGGGCACCCCCAGCAGATTTTCAACAAGAGGGCTGCGTCTGCGCAGAATCTGGTGACACGTCGAGCGTCAGCCACTGCAAACGGTGGTCCGTACCCCGAGCTCTTCCACACAAGTGCTCGTCGCTTTTCAGAGACGACTGAGAGAGGGCTCAAGCAAGCCTTGGCAGGGTGAGAGTGACCATCCACCATTCTCTTTGTATAGAAATCTGCCAATAATCTGTGATTTATCTAGCTGCTTTTCTTTCTCTCTCACAATAGGATGAACCACAGCGGTCTGCTTGATGCAGCAGCTAATTCAATGGTACAGCCTCGAGCCAAACCTTCTGAGGTGTCCTAATCTCTACATCCCAACACATCACTGTCGTCCATCTTTCTCCTCTTCTTTCCTCCCTCTCTCCCTTTACTCTCCTACTCCCCAACAAATGTACTTGGAGCTGTTACCTCTCTCTCTTTTCTCTCCCTCTCTCCCTTCTTTTCTCATTGTGTTCGTATTTATACATCCCTCCCTTCTTTCCTCGCTCTGTCCTTCTCTCTCCTCTCTTCGATTATCTCCTCATCTTGTGTGTGAGTGTGTGTGAATTACGTGTGTGTTGCTGTACCCTGTCTTAATGACACAATGATTATTAGTCGCACAGCAACGATTAACACACCACCAAAAACTATAAATATGACAGAGAGCGCGAAAAATGATTGTTACTGCAGTTGCTGTACGCTCACAAGATGTGGACAAAATTTTCCAATAAAAGAAGCATAGCTAACTAAAGTGTCAAACCCTCGGCACACTATATAGAAATGTGGAACCCATACGCAAGTGTGGCACCACCACAATTGATGGTCTTGACCATGCATCAAAAAGAACAGTCATGCATGGATTATGTTGAAAAAAATGGCAGGCCCTATTTCTGTTTGAGGGTAAAAAAAATATTAGGTTGAAAAATTGCCAACCTTTCAATTTCTCTATTAATTTTCGTATTACCCGTGGATTGTTTAGCATATTGGCTTGTTCACTTGCTTTTCACGCCATAACTTTAGAACGCAGTATTTTAATGAAAATCGCCATTTTTAAATGAAGCCAGTGTAGCGCTGAACCTGTTGGTGTCGCTTTTTGGCCGGTTTGTTGCGCGTGGTGGCAGAAAACGTGGTAACAGACACACACAGACAGACAGACACACAGAACGACTACTGTGACCCTCGCTGCGCATGCGCACCGAGGGTTAATGGCGACCATGTCTCTCCAGTAATGTTGTGGCCACAGCCTCCACAACTCTGTCACTGGCCAACACATTCACCCAGTCACGGTGACTAATGAGGGGGTGTGGTTTTCCAGTGGGTGTGCCATGACTGATTATGGGGCGTGGCTTCTCGGTTGGCGGGGGCTGGCACTCGGCAAGTGTCATTGAGAGTAGGTCCAGGTTCTTCTGGTGTGAGAATATCTCCTGAGGAAATAATTTTGAATTTCTGAGAAATTATACTACACTTTTAGATCTCTTCCCTTACAGCAAGGTTCCTCGTTACATACCTCATTAGGATTGACCCATAGACTGTATGGTGACTGTTGTTCTGAAGAGTCACAGTCTGAGTCACTAGTATTAGAGACAGTGTGTTCAGCAGTGGGGATCCATCGAGCTATAGTGGCACGAACCACCGCCTCTTTCACACGCTCTCGGGCATCACTATCCTGAATCATAATACAGTGGAACCAGTGAGACTGAATAAAGTGTCTTTATTAGTGAGGTGTCCTATTTCAGGGGTGTCCTTAGAGATGGTAATATACTGGGGTGGAGGCAATAAGATAAACTGTATGTACCAGTGAGATCCATGTGTTGATGCTGACAGAAGTCTCTATACATTCGACAAAGTGCCACCACTGTCTCGGGACAAACAACACATCTCCCGCTTCTAGCACCACCTGACAAGAGAGAGACTTTCATGGGAGGCAACTTTCACAACTTGTGGGCAAATGAGAATAATAATAGGGCTGACAAACTCTTGTGCATGCAATGCTCTCCCACAAAATTTAGCAGACTCCTGCCAAAAATTTCGAAATTTGTATATATACACCAGTTTCCTGCTGGTGTAGCTAGGAGAAGGGGAAGGAGTGTCTCACCTCACACCTGGTTGCAGAGGCAAAGTCTGGATGCCGTTCCAGATCCGGACAGGCCACGTTGACTTGACTGAACACACTCGACTCTTCGTAGGGGACCCGCGTCGGGTACAGGTGGGGGGAGTCAGACGGAGGAAAGAGGGTCCATTTCTTCCGTCCCCAAATCTGAGCCACCAGATTACAGCCGTAGGTGTCAAAGTGACACGGAGTGTATGCCTCGTCTGACCCCGCCCACAGGGTGGAGTCGGCTCCGCCCCTTCCCTCGAAGCCAAATGGACCCCAGTCTATAGCTCGAAGTAGTTCTGGGCGGTCCTCACAGAGATTGATCATATACTTGTAGTCTGCATATATCCAGTACTCAGGTGGAGGGTAAGCTAGAAGTCGGTTAGGCGGAGTTTTTTGATTAGTTTTCGAAGCATTTCCTTCTGTCTTGGGCTTTTTGACGTGAGGTTGTTCTAAACTAGATTCTAGCCATTCCGCAAAGTCCAGGAACGTACCTCGCACGTGCAGACACTGTGTCTCGAAAACGGTCTCAGTATCGCGGAACCTCCGGCGATGCTCGGAGCTATCTCGTCGCGGGCACACCTTGAACGTCGTTTCCCCGTCTCCCAGCAAACGACCCAGGCCCGCGGGGCTCCACTCCCTAACAACGTCCGGCCAGACGTCTGCTAGACACTGCCTGAACACCAGCGGCCGATCTGCTCCTGACAACAAGTGCTCCTTCAACTCCCTACCGCTCTCCCATCGCTGCAAACCCGATTCTTCGACGACGGAAAGTTTTGTTGCCATGCTTTGATCACGTGACTCAAGTTACTATAGAAACGGCATAACATCATCTGATCCGCACGAGAAAGTTGTTGGTTGTGTGTTGGTTTATAGCAATGGCTACTGCCTCGGTGGACCAAGCTACGCTGAAGCGGACGATAGATACGCTCAGCAAGATCATAAAGAAGCCGCCACTCACCGAGAAACTGCTGAACCGCCCGCCGTTCCGCTACATTCACGACATCATTAGGGAGGTCCGTGGTGTGCTCCATGTGGTGCAGGGGGCGTAAAGTCCGAAATCTTTACTTCTCTGCAGATATCTAAGGCCACTGGGTTCTTTGATGGACTCTACACAGGAGCAGAGTTGGACGCAAAGAGCTTCCAGGTATACATGTATAGGAAGTTGCAGTCCGTAATATAGCTAGCTAGACTTGAATTTCTATTCCTTTGAAGTTCTGTTTACTCTCGCCTGTTTAGGACAAAGAGTCAAAGATAGCCTTCCTGCAGAAAACAATAGACGTTCTGTGTGAGTGTGGAATCTTCTGCAGTAAATGGCATTACGTCTAATATCTGATTCTGTCTGTGTGTGTGCAGCGTTTGTCCAGGGAGAGGTGGTGAGAGTGAGAGCCTCGAAAATAGTCGCCGGACAAGAAGCCGAGAAGACAAACGAGCTCTTACAACTGCTCTCCATCGCAATCCTCAAGAAAGTCAGCATTATTCAGAGTTTCTATTTTGGGTATAGAGTAGGTATCAGTCAATATGCATAGGGGGTATATAAGCGATGTTTTGGAGCTAAGGGTAGAGAGTATAATATGGTATATAGAAATGTTAATGCATTCAATTTCAATATGGCGTGTCACAGTCGGACTCTGGTGAGGCAATACGAAGAATTCTGAATGGTGAGAGACCGGTGCACAAGAGGAGAGGTGGAGGGAAGAGGGAGGGGGGAGGGGAGGGAGGGGAGGAGGACTGTGGAAAGGAGAGACCACGTGAGGCAAAGGGACGCTCGAGAGGCGACCGACCAAAGGAAGGGCGGGAGAGAGAGGGAAGGAGACGAGAGAAAGTGGGGAAGAAGGATGACACACAGCAAAAAGTTAGCGAAATTTGTGAAGACCTCTGAATATGGAGACATTAAAAGGGTTCTTATTCAGAGGGGGTTTCCCCTGTTCAGAGGTTGTGATTAGATTGTGATTATATACACTGATTCGTAAGTTTAATATGAGCAGAACCAAGTGTCCTTTATAGAGAGGTGTAATATATCCTTTATTTGGAGGGGCTTTTTTAGATGTTTGATATATACCTGAATTTTTTTATTTCTTAGACTCGTTCTCAAGAGGAAAAGGTTGGAGAGGTCAGAGAAGAAAGAGAAGGAGAGAGAAAGGAGAGCGGACGAGGGGGAGAGGTGGCAGAGGGATCAGAGGTCAGAGTTCAAGGGAGGAGAGATGCAGAGAGTGGGGAAGATGAGGGTCTGGGGAGTGAGACTAAACTAGACAGACCGCCGTCTGCGAGGGGACACAGACGTCATGTGGAGACAGGCGAGAGAGAGGAGGGAGGAGACCAGGGGAGAGAGACAGAGAGAGGAGGAGAGGAGAAAGTCTTGGAGCCCACTCAACAGTCACCTTCTCCTTCTTCTCCTCCGCCCACCAACACCACTGTTGATCCTCAGCCTCACTCCTTGGGCCTTGTGTAAGTCTGTGTGTGAAGCACAAAACACTTTGCAGAGAAGACGATTGTTAGCTTATCTGCAAAACATTTAGAATTTTGCGGGCCGTGGCCCATAATCACTTTCTCTCCGAAATTATTGTCTCCCACGAGATTTTAAAATGTGCATGTTATACTATTTCTCCTACAGATCAGGGAGAAGGCCCGGCAGTGCCAGACCGGCCCCTCCAAGAGTTGTTCAACATTCCTCTACTGCCAATGACAGGTGGGAGGTGTGGATTCTGCATACAGTCAGTGTAGCACGGATTACATTCATACACGTAGCAAATTCTACGATTTAGCAACACCCAGAACAGCATCAAAGAAACAAGCTTCCCTTGGCCGGAACTAGAGCTAGAATGTACGTGCTGTGCATTTCGTCAAGCAAATACCTCAGTTGCACAGTCTTCTGTGTCTTTACATACATTTCCCTCCATAGTGATGATTACGCATTGTTTTTCACGATGTGCGTATGTACATGTAGGGGTGTGGTTGAGTCCAGTGTGGCTCCGCCCACTGTTATCATGGACACACCCGGTGGTGGAGACAATGAAGACGATGAGGACGAGGGAACGGAGGAAGGAGAAGATAAAGAGTACGTGGTCGGAGACTCCGCCCCTTTAGCCCCGCCCACCAGCGAGGGACCAAACGGCCTGCCACCAGTAGACAGCGCCAGTGACGAACCTGAAGGTAAAACATACTTTTAAAGTGGCACTAATGGTGTTCAAAGGGTTAAATATTACAGGAATGTTGACAAAGACGATAGTTGCGACAAAGGAGCGGCTGGAGGGAGTAAGAGGAGAGGAAGGCGAGGGGGCACTTGAGGCCGTCACTCCAGCCCAGCAGAGGAGGGAGATGGAGCTGGTCAGGAAAGAGGTATATATCTAGCCTCTATCATGCTGTTCCTGTATTGATATGTAGTGTATATATGACTCGAAGAGTATGTGTAGGAAAAAAACTGTCTTTCTGGCATATTGCAGATGGAGAGGTTGAGGGGAGATATTCAGTTGCTGTGTCGATACACCAATCCCATGGGCAGAGTAATGGACTACCTTCAGGTGTGATTGAACAGTGAAATGTCTCCGAATATGGGGGACATTAGGAACATTAAAAGTGTCCTTTATTCAGAGGCGTCCCTTACTGAACCATTATTCAGAGGATCCTTGTTAAAGATCTAACAATGCCACCTCTTACGATTTCTTTCTTCTCTGAGTTTCAACAATCAACCACCTTTATATCATTTCCGATACACTCACTGCTGTCACACACACACGCACCCAGGAGGACACCGACACGATGATACAAGAGCTGGAGAGGTGGAGGACAGAGAACAGCGGCCACAAGGAGAGCCTTCGCAGAGAGGAGAGGTAGGTATATTCCCGTCTCCTCAATACTGTACTCTGACTCTCTGTAACAGTATAACAGAGAATGAACTGGTTCCTCTCAAGACCCAGCTAGAGGATGTTGAGCTGCACATTGAAGAAGAGGTGAAGTTCTATCACCAATAGAGACCCTCAGTATTAACTGGCTGTCTTCCTCTCACAGAGAGAGAAGATCAGTTCACTGAAGGCCACAATCATCAGGCAAGATGACTCCATAAGACAATTGATGAGGTCTATCATTCCTCACAGCTAGTTCCTCTTCTTGTCTCAATATATATAACAACTGATAATGACAACAAGTACAGAAGTGGGGGGAGGGAAATGTATATATACAGTGTGTGATGGGCTACATTTAGAGAAGGCTCTAGAAGTGTGGTTGCTATGAAAGTAGGAAAGGTCTAGCTGACAATGGAGTCAGGGAGTTCGAAATCACTAGAGTCATCTCTGACGTCTTGAATACCTCCAATGAGAGATGTGTAGGTCACCTCTTCCCCCACTGCAGAGAGAGAGGAGAGGAGAGGAGAGGAGAGGAAAAAATTAGAGTGAGACAGATATAATGTGTGTTGTGTGTGTGAGAGAGAGAGAGATCTCACAGGATGAGTTATCAGGGTCCACGGCAGGGTCCATGCACACTGTGGTACTGGTGGGTATAGGAGTGGGTCTCTTGTACGAGGGATCGATCATCCAGCTGGGCAGCGAGATGGGGGGCTGGCTGGTGGACGGAGCTCCCACCGCGCGATCTCTCTTGACCGTCGATATCTTGGTGGTCTTCAGACTTCGCTCATAGCGATTGTCCAACTTCTGCATAAACTGGTTCAGAACTAGTGCGGGGAAAAAAAGAGAAAAAGAAGAAGATAATAATTATAAGAATGTGTTTGCATCAGAAAAATGCAGAGAAAGGTTAGAACAGAAAGGTAAAGAGAAATAGTCACGTGAGATCACGTGACTATAATGAGAAAGTCATGTGACTCACATTCTGATCTCCAGAGGAGGGAATGGAGGACAATTTTCTCTCCATTTTCAGAGTCACTTTCTTCCGTCATACACGCCGGGGTCACGTGCTCCCAGTAACGAACCTGAGGAGTGGGTGTGGTCTCACCCCAAGACTATGACATCATGGGGAATTCCCTCACCTCGCTCTCACGGATCAACTTCCGGCGGCGATCGTACGCACGCTGTTGCCGCGCACGATACTTCCTCTTCTTCCTCTGCTCGGCCGCCTTCTCCTGTGCAGACATCAACACCACTCAAAACCCAATTCAAACTGGTTTTCGAGACTCGTCAAACCTGTCTCTCTGGCATATCCTCGATGCCGAGTCGTCGACGAGACTCGTAGTAACGATGCGTGGCTCTCTTGATGTCTTTAGCAGTGTAGGCTCCTCCAGTGTCGTTGTACACATTGTCTATGAGAGAGTCCGTCACCCTCTGATTGGCGGGACTTAGGAACCTGACACACAAACAGAGCAAATGGCAGTAAGAACAAGACCCTCTGAAAATCACGCACGTGTCCTTGCAAAAATTTTCGCCTGTGTTGATTTGCGTCATTTTCAGGCTTTTACAGTCTACAAACTGTAATCAGTTACACGTGACCCACAGGCAAACAATCACTCTGCATACACGCACACAGAGATCTGTGAACAACGCTAATTCTGCCCCTCGAGTGGAAAGAGGAAGACACAAAGTATACGTCATCCGTATGTACCTCTCATCAATCTTGAACTCCAAATTGAGGGAATGGTAAGTAGAGCGCACCTTTGCCTGTGTAGAGGTTAATACAGTGAGTATAGAAATTGAGTTCTCTCTATGTATGCTCTCTCTTACGCAGAGCTCCCTCGGTAGTTTTCTCTTCTTGTCCAGTTCAGAGAGATCGCTGGGGGAAGACGGCACCTGCTGTGAAGGCCTCACCGGTGTAGACTGGGGAGACAAGGGTTAAGTATTAAAGGGAGTAAGAAATATTTACATTTGAACCTCTCTATAAAGGACACCCCTGAAATGAGGCACTTCTCTAATAAGGACACCTTTTACTTCCCTACTTGAACCCCTGAAATAAGGACACCTCACTATTACGGACACTTTTTTGTCCCATTAGTAAAGAAGTTCCACTGCATTTCCTCTTACAGTCAGTCGGTCCACTTGCTGCTGTTCTTGCTGTTGCAGGTGAGCTGCAGCGACGGCAGCTTGCTGCTCGGCTTGCTCCTGCTGTGCCTTCTTCTCCGCATCTTCCTGGGCCTTCTGCTGAATGAGACTGTTCAGGGTCCTCTCGATGGCGTCCAGTCGCTGGTTTATCGCCTCCGTCTGCTGCGCCAACTGCAGCTGGCACTGAAACTGCTCCAACGCCTGTTGCTGAGCGTTCAGGATCTCCGTGAGACTCAGAGAATTGGAGGCGAGGTTCAGGAGAGCGGTTGAAGAGCGCTCCACGCCGCCCGAGGTCTCCGGGGGTACGGAGATGCTGGCCCCGACCGCGTGGGACTCGCTCACGACAGCGCCAGCAGAGAGCGGCGTAGTCCCGATGGATATGGTGGCTGGCTCGGTAGAGACTTGAAGAGTCTCCGCCACTGTGCTGGGGCCTCCGCCGGTGTGGATATCCGATAGTTCTGGCGACTGGGAAGCGGACATGATCCGGTGATGGTGGACGGGGAGAGGGAGGACAAACGACGGAGCGCGGGCGGAGGAGGCAAGAAACACGGCCACGCAAAAAATGGCGGTTTATTCCGTATACTTGCACTTCGCGGCACGTGAAAAACACGTGATTTCGGTTCAGGCCACCAATATTTGCGCATGCGCGAATGTGTAAGCGATGGAGGCCGGATCGGGCGTCCGGCTGAACAGAAGTCTCAGTGAAGGCGAGAGTCTTCCAGGGAGGTCAATAAGCCATAGGAAATCCATTGTAGGGGCTCTCTGGAGCTACCTTACTCCTCGAGGGCGGGGCTCCCTGGAGCAACTCACACAGCAGCTGCATGGTGGAGAAGACACGGACCATGGCGTCGTTGGAGCCGGCCCAGCTCGACAAGACGAGGCCTGGCTGCAAGCCTACTACAACGGAGTCACACTTGTGGTCCTTGTAGTCGCAGGGTACCTCTGCTGGGCCGTCTACTGCGTTCTGGGGCCGTTTCTCCACCCGCTTCTTTGGGCCGTCCTCACCGGTCTACTCTTGCACCCGTTCAAGAAGACATGGACGGAGAGAATCAGCCAGTGGCTGGAGCTCTTGGAGAACAACTCCATCCCTCTCTCCGCTGGCTTGGTCCTCTCTCCTCTCTTTCTCTTCAACCACATCTCAAAGACACTCGAAACTACCGTTCTTACTTACTGGTTGGCAATGCTTGGTTCGACGGTTGCAACAATATCACTTTGGTCTTTGTATCGACTTAGCTTGCCACTGCATCTCTATCGCTGCCTTACAGCACTGCACTCTTTCCTGCTCGCATTTGAAGACGCGCTCACGAGCTACAAGTTGTCGTTTCAGTTGCTCACCGTTTTCCTCGCGTTTCTCCTGCTGGTTGTTGTCGGCAGATCGAATATGAAGTATTTCACAGTACTCGCCAGTCTATCTACGCTGGTGTGGTTCCTAGCTCTCGTCAACGTTGCTGCGTATGTTCTGGGGAGTGCCCTCGCATTTCCGTTGGTAATTGGACTCTTTATGATAGGAGGCGCGGTCTCGTTTGCAGCGAACTTGAAGAGACTTTTGAACGGAGGCAAAAAGTCGACGAAATCGGCAAAGTTGAGAGGAAGATTGGAGGAGGACGAGGAGGGAGGTGAGGTTGCGAAAAGGGAGAGAAGAGAAGGGAGAGAAGTGGTTACTCTAGAGGAGGTAAAGTGTTCAGGTGATCTCAACGAAGCCAGAGAAGGAGAAGAAGAGAGAAATGTGGTTGGTACAAGGGTTCAAGTTTCAGATGAGGAATTTCCCCCGGAGAATATGAGGCCTGTTTTCGAGGGTCCGGAAGACGAGGGGGACGTAACGAAATCTCGCGTTTCGTTTGGTTCTGTGGTGAGAATCAGCCCAGAGAGGCCAGCCAGTGAGGGAGAGACTGGGAGATTGCAGGCCGGGGTTAAGAGGTCCCCCTCCCTTCCCAGAGACTCGACGTCCTCCGTGGAAAACGAGGAGGGGCGTTCTCAGAGTTACTACGTCTTCCTCGGGTTGTACGGCATGTTCTTTGTAGTTCTTTTCTGGACCTACCCCTTCTTGTTTCTCCTTCTCGTCCCGTTTGCCGTGTGGGGTGGGCTGAGAGCCGCATTTGTCAGTATAAACTGGAGAATAACTGACAGTCGCGTGTGGCCTTTTGCACAAAGAATCCAGGGGTGGGTTTGTATGCAGCGAGCGCTTCTCTTCCCTGCCCCTCTCCCCACACTGTCTCGCCTCTATCTCTCCCTCGATCGAACCGTTCTGAAGTTTGCAAAGGGGTCTTTGGACTCTCTGATGAGTCTGGTTATCATAGTCGGTCTCCTGGTGAGTGGAGTTGGGCTGACAGTGTTCCTGGTCCTCCAGATACAAGTGGAGTTGTCGCACTACGTGGCCATCATGGCGGCCGTGTGGGAAAGAACGTTGGAGACGAGTCCACAACTAGCCGAGTGAGTCTGGTTCAAACCTAGCGTGGGTTGATTGCCTTACCCCCCATCATAATGATAGTTACGATGCTGTAGGTACAATACCCATGTTAAAGTACGGTGGAATCACTCTATTCAGGATACCAATGTAACTGAAGAACGTGTCCATATTAGTGAGGTTTCAGACCTTTTCTTTGGGTAGTCCTTATTCAGAGGTTTCCTTATTCAGGGATGTCACTAGAGATAAGTATTGCACGTCACCAGACCGAGAACTGTCTCTCCTTCTCTAACTGCAGGTGGATAGGAGGAGGAGAAGGAGGAGGAGGTGGTATTCATGAGACTTTTGGTTCATTTGCGACTCAGGGGTACATGTATGGCAGAGAATGGCTGGCCGGACAAGTAAGATCCACACCCACTTGTCACTCTGCTACCATTACACGCAATTTCGAACATATAGAAATGGGACTTTCATGCACATGTGTTCATCTTTACTTGTGGCATTATATGTGTGTTTAGGGTTGCTGTGTTTCGTGTCGTGTGCGCAGGTGCAGTCTGCACTGGGGGACACTTCAGAGAAAGGCGGAGCCATAGAGAAACAGGTTCTGAACCTGTATGACCAGTTGTACCAGTCGTACGTCTTGGCCAACTCGACCACATCCTCCGAGAGCCACTTTGGCTCCGGGCTGACTAATAGCGGGGACCTCCTCAACGAGATGCAGATAATTGTCATGGAGAACCTGGAGACAGTTGTCTCTGTGAGTACATGCTTATATCGGCCTCTGATACTTACTGTCTTGTCTTTTAAAACATGAATTTCAAGAACAAAAGTGCAAAGGTTTTCTCCACAAACTTGTGTTTATTCTTCAGAAAGTCTCTGTGCATTTGGACGTTGTGTTATGTGATTGAATCTGCATGTACACAAACTTGTACTCAATTTGCCGAAATGTTTATGTGTTAACTTTTCTCTCTCTCTCTCTCAAAAGGTGCTCAAGTCAATGTGGGTCGTCCTTGCAGACAATCTCTCACTCGCCCTCTCTCTCCTATACTCTGTACTAGGCCTCCTCCTCAGTGGAGGCACAGCTCTCATCAATGCCGTAGGTTTAGGAGCTCAATTATCTGCCTTATTACAGGGACTTACCCTCTGTATCAGGTCGTGTTCCTGACGACCCTGTTTTACCTGTTGTGTTACTCGTCAGACGTGTATCTCCCCGTCAGAATTGTCCTCGATATAATCCCCAGTGTCACCCAGTCTGACACCGCCGGGCACTACACGACTTCTTTCTCCCGTGCAATCAGGTGACTGTCACATGACATTCACATGAGATCATGTGACCTAGAGAATTTCTACCCCCAGGAGTGTGTTTCATGCATCGTTCAGTCGGCTGGTATTCTACGGACTGTACACGTGGTTGGTGCACACGGCCTTTGGTCTCCCTGTGTCAGTACTACCAGCTGGTGAGTGGATCTCTCTCCTTCATTTCTCAACCTCTCTCCCTCATATATATATACACACACACCGAACCTCTGATTAAAGGACACCTCTCTATAAGGGAAACTTGGTTCTGCCCCATACTAATACATCCGTGTACCATTTCTCTTGCCTCGATCTGAATAAAAGACACTTTAGGTTACCCAAGCTGTTGTTGGACTGTACGTTCCTCTCCTCTCTCTCTTCTCCCCCCAGTTCTAGCTGCCATAGCAGGAGCCCTCCCGTTTGTGGGGACCTATTGGATAGCTATCCCAGCTGTCCTAGAGCTGTGGCTGGTGGAGGGACAGACGGTGTCGGCCATTACCCTACTCCTCCTCTCCCTCCTCCCTCTCTTCTTTGTCGACTCAATCTTATACGGAGAGGTGGAAGGGTGAGCAGCGTTTCGTATAACTTTTTGCAAATATTTGCATTTGTGATTTGAGATCATAATGTTGGCCCAAGTACACACTCACACACTCTCTCTTTCCTCCAGAGGTCATCCCTATCTGACAGGGCTGGCAGTGGCTGGAGGAATCTACTTTGCAGGTTTAGAGGGGGCATTAATTGGACCCATCCTACTCTGCTGTCTCGTGTTTATCCATGAACTATTCGATGACCTCGGCTCCTAGAGACCTTGGTTATTATTATATAGCTCCTAGAGCCTTTGGTCAGTTGGCATCATCATCTCATTGAAAACGTGTATATACAGCATTTCATGTATTGTATACTACTGAAGGGAAACGTGTATATACAGCACTGCTTTAGTAAAGTGTTGATGGTGAGAGAGAGGGAGGTGGGAGGAGAGAAAGAAGTGATAAGTCTACACCCTAATGCCTTGTCTAGCCTTGTCCATAATGTCTATCTGTATCCTCGGGTAGTGAGGATGCTTCTCCAACACTGTGAGACACACGTCTATGGCTTCCACGAGCCTCTTTGCCTTCAGGTAATTGAACGCCAGTCTGTACCCTGTACATTTGGTGTCATAGAGGGAGGGAGGAATGGACAAAATGGAGGCAGAAAGACGTTATAGTGGAACCCCTCTAATCCAGACACCGGTGGAACAGATATTAGTGAAGTGGAAAACAAAAAGGTGTCCTTATTAGAGAGGTGTCCTCATTTCATGGGTGTCCTTAGAGAAAGGTCCCACTGGAGTTGCATAGTGACTGTCTTACCAATTGATGGGTTGGAGCGGTTGCTGTGTCTCCATGCCTTCTCGTAGCTGGCCGCGGCATCTTTGTAAGCCTGCTCCTTCTCACTAATGAACCCCATATACTCCCAAGCTCTGCTGCAGGACTGACACACACATTGACACGACACAATTCAGCAGTCAACTTGTCGGAATATATAGCAGCTTCCAAAATACGTGGGAAAAGCTTCTGAAATAGGGTATTAGCCAAAGCAACGTTGCTATTGTATAGGCCTCTTTAAATAAGAAATGTCCTTGACTTTTGAAACTCATATCACTTTGTCTATTTACCTGATTGTACTGGAGACATTTCTTGAGCAGTTCAATGGCCATGTCATACTTGCCTGTCTGTACGTACACATCGGCCAGTAGTAACCAGCCCCTCTCAAACGACTCTGCCTCCTGTAATAATCAGCCTTGCAATTACACCCTCTCTGTTGCTGTTTGTGTGATCACCTGGGAGGTCCAAGGTGTCTTGGCGATTCTCTTGAGCTGATTCCTAGCCCGCGGAGTCTGTTTAAGGATCATGTGACCCGTGGCCACACCCACAAGAGCACCCACATTATCATTCTATGGATGATGATGTAATGTGTCAAAACGGAAACCCTCTTGAAAACAAGGACACCTCTCTCATAAGGACACCTTCAATACTCACCGAACTAGTTGCAATCTCCATAAACCTGCTCAGAGCCTGTTCGGCATCGACCTTTGACCTCGTGGCTAGCAAGACCCAACCCTCTAGCATGCGAACTTTCACCTCTTCTTCTGCCGTTTTCGGCCGCGCCTCCTGGATGGAACAAACATGACTCGTCAACATCAAACAATCCCCAACACCATTATATACACCTTCAGAAGTTTTTGAGCTGTGGCAAGAGCTGTTGATTGCTCTTCTCGTTGCGAGCTGTAAGAGAAAAACGGAGGAAAAGGAGAACGGCATTAAAAAAAAGAGTGAAAAGAGGGGGAGGAGGGTTAAAAAAGGGAGAGAGAGCGGAAAAGGTTAATTAGGGAGGAGACTCTCCGAGGGAAAGTGACAGGACCCACCTTCCCTCCCTCTCAGTGACTCTGAAAGTCTCTCCTCCGATGACATCGGAGTCAGGGTTGACACAGATGTCCACCATACTGACGAGGGCCCCGTGACCCCACTCTGTGTCTCTGCGAGCCTTGTTCAGCAGCCGGAGGGCCTCTCCTGTGTTACCCTGGTACCTGCACATTGTTGATTACAGCTAAGAATGGATGGTATGGTTCTGGTGGTACATACAAACAAGACCAGTGTGGTTCTTGTGGTACCATGAATGTAGTTCTTGTGAAACAAGACCAGTGTGGTTCTTGTGGTACCATGAATGTAGTTCTTGTGAAACAAGACCAGTGTGGTTCTTGTGGTACCATGAATGTAGTTCTTGTGAAACAAGACCAGTGTGGTTCTTGTGGTACGAGGAATGTAGTTCTTGTGAAACAAGACCAGTGTGGTTCTTGTGGTACAACAATGTAGTTCTTGTGAAACAAGACCAGTGTATTCTTGTGGTACGAATGTAGTTCTTGTGAAACAAGACCAGTGTGGTTCTTGTGGTACAACAATGTAGTTCTTGTGAAACAAGACCAGTGTGGTGGTTCTTGTACTACACAAGACCGTGCCAGTATATACATTAGGCAAAACGTAGTTAGAACAAACAAGACCACGCCAGTACACTAGGCAAAACGTAGTTAGAACAAACAAGACCACGCCAGTACACTAGGCAAAACGTAGTTAGAACAAACAAGACCACGCCAGTACACTAGGCAAAACGTAGTTAGAACAAACAAGACCACGCCAGTACACTAGGCAAAACGTAGTTAGAACAAACAAGACCACGCCAGTACACTAGGCAAAACGTAGTTAGAACAAACAAGACCACGCCAGTACACTAGGCACAACGTAGTTAGAACAAACAAGACCAGTATAGCTACGTATTGTGTGGTTCAGCCAAGGTACATACATACATGATGAATCAGTATGTAAAAGGAGCAGGGTTGCCTACCTAGCCAGGAGTCCTCTGCAGTAGTTGAGGCCAGGACTGGAGTCAGGTCTGCTGCACACACTGGCGGCCTGGTCCACGTAGGGAGCTGTGCTGTTCAGCTTCCCCCACCTCCTACCCACCTCCACCAGCTGAGCCAGCGCCGGGAAATAGTCTGCAAAGGTCAGAGAAAAGGTAAGAGCTGTTTCTATTGTGAGTTGTTCATTACCCATCCACCGAGGTGCAATTTCACCCACCATACCTCAACCAAATGCATAAAATCTTGAACAGTTTGAATAAAGTCAGTTGCAGACCTGGAGTTTTGTGTAATAAGTTCTGGTAGTGCTCCACAGCCTTCTCGTAGTTAGCCTTTCTGAACATCAGCTCTGCCATCAACTGCCAAGACACAATCATCTCTCTCACACACACCTTGGCTTCCTCTCTCTTTCCCTCAGGCACACGTTCTATCTACCACATGCTCTGTGCTAAACACACCATGCCGGCCTCTCTGTGCTGTGGATCAGCTCCGAGTACAGTGGAGCATTCCTCCAGGCTCTCCTCCTGCTCTCCACTGGCCAGCAGGGCCTCAGACAGAGCTAGTCGTGCAGTCAGGTCTGTCTCGCAGTGCAGTAGAGCCTCCCTACAGTACTGCAGTCCTGTATGGAGAATGGCATACACCAATGAGAGAGCTAGGAAGAGAAGGTATTCAGAATGGTTGGTTTGTCTGTTCTTCAACTTGCTTGCTAAAACTTTAAGTATATACAGCCACTCATGAAGGCTGCACTCTCCAACCATGGTGAGTTGATTCAGGACAGTTATATTGATCATTTTCCTCACTTTCTCATTTTCATAGGTGTGTATGTACTGCACCTGTGACCCAGTCTTTGTTGTCTGTACAAGCCTTGGCCAATTGAGACGCAATACTGAGAGATGTAGGAAAATCAGTAATAGCGATATCGAGAAGTGCAGTGTCTTACTCTGCAGCTTTCCTCTTGTGCTGTGGCAGTGAGTCTGGCTGGTCTACACTGGCTTTCTTCAGCACTCTGTGACACAATGGTTTAACACTTAACCAGCTACGGACACATGATTTAATGTGTCGGCAGCCTCCATACTCCATAAGAATTTATATGGGGGTTATAATACTAGGCGCTAATCTGCTTATTTAAGCAGATACCCATAGTGTCCAAATGGATAAAATACCCAGTATTGTAAGAGGCCTCCTAGTACTGCATGTTTGTCCAGTAATGTCGGCTGTGTTCTTACTTGGTCTGTGTCTCCCTGGCCTGCTCCAGAGCTTGCCGTGCCTCCCTCTCTCTCCCCGCCTTCTCCCTCACTCCCGCCAGTAGCTGGAGCAACTCCACACTACCACACATTGCCCCCACATCTGTTGACCCTGAAATACAACAGATTGGTGTAGCCTTTGTCTTATTGGTACAATGTACAGTGATGGGAACCCTTCACGTATTTCAGAGTTCCACTTGGAAAAATAGTGGAGACAACGTTTAGAAATGGGATTTGACTGCAAAATTCAATAGTTGTTCCTCCTCAAGGATTTACTACTAACAATGTTACATACGTAGAATGAAAGAGGGTTTTCAGATGATGAATTGATTCTAACCCTCTCTCTGACTTAGAGCGGTGTGGATAGTTTTCTCTGCTCTGTCAAAGTGGTTGAGTCTCAGGTAGAGTCTGGCCAGATCAGCTCTCAGGAACTGGAGACCCTCTGATTTCAGTGCTGCCTCGTAGTAACTGATTGCCTGTGGATGATGACACCATTGTACATCTCACCTTATTTCCTCTAGCATACACACACTTGTCATAGTAAGTACTGATTCACTAGACCACCCAAATTTCCACCAACACTCTAGCATTTGCACACTCATTTCTGCAACACATTTGCCTAGCTTTACTCTGCACATTTACTTTAGCTAGTTGTGTTCCATCACGCATTTGCCAGAGCTGTATATTAGGACGATGGGTGGAATTAATGGCTTACTTTGGTGTACTGGTGTGTCTTAACCAGAGCCTGGCCCACTTTACTGGCAAGGACACTGTCTTTTGGACCTCTCTTTAGAGCTTTTTCATACACCGACAGAGCTTCTTCCGGCTAGTGAGAGAGAGGGGATATGTATGTATAGAGGTGCATGCACTCTATATCACATCCTGTCCGTATTTCACAGGACTATCGGACGGTAAAGTATATAGATAATGCCCGAAGAAATTTATCACCTCTTGAATATTCATGAAGGCGTCTCCCAGCAGTAGGGAGGTGGAGGGTCCGGGCATCTTCTCTGCCAGGTCTCTGAAACAGGAGATGTACAGTCTGCGGTCTTTGCGGTGGACGAGGTAAATGTCGGCCATCTTTTGCTTGGCTTGGAGGAAGTAAGACTTGTCCTCTGTGACCGTCTTCAACGTTGCCAGTGCACCCTCCAAATCTCCCCTCTCCACTGACAGGTCAGCGTTGGCTATGGATATGCTGCATAATTATGGAGGAGAGATGTATATAACTATCTTTTTTAACAGGCTTAAAAGTTTGTAAGTCGGTGTGAATTGTGGAGCTCACCGAAATTCTTCTGAAGTTCCCGAAAACTCGTGAATTGCATCTTGCATTGTCTTAGCTGCCTCATGCTGAGAGAGGGGGGAGAAAGAGAGAGAGAGAGAGAGAGAGGGAGAAAGAAGATAATCCAGCAGTGAGCATATTCCTTTGTCGTATTATGTCTTTTGCTGGTCATAGTGTGATTTTTGTCTCTGCAGAGAAAGCTACTGATCTCACCTTTCTCCCTAGTTTCGTCAGTACATCCACCATCTCCAGGTACACCGTCACTCTCTCGCTCAGTCCAAGCCCCGCCCTCCCTCCCCCGGCGACGCCCACCACTCCCCGCGGTGACTGGCTCGGCTGGGCTCGCGACATCTTCAGAGCCGCTTGCAGCGAGGCTAGGGCCTCAGGGACATGGCCTAGAGCTCTCTGGACACACCCACTAATCAGTTGGAAGATGGGATGTGTCTTCACTTCGAAGCTGTGACTCAGAGCCATTTCCAACGAAGACTGACTCTGCATAATACACACAGAGAGAAATAAGAATAAGATAAGTAAGTCGGGTGAATTTTTTGAAAGATGCAAAACGTTTTCACAAATTTTTTACATTTAGCCTGTAGGCGAATAAGTGGGAGATGGGTGAAATTTTTTGGTAACTTTCATGCTGTGAAAGTGTAGACCCTATGGATATCTTTCTCTCTCTCTGAGTTCCAATTCTAAGCTGGAGACCTGTTGGGGGTTGTTGGAGTGGAGCTGAATCTGGGCCATGAGGAGATGAGCCTCAGTTGAACTGGAGTCCAGTCTGAGGCACTTCTGGAGACATGACTGAGAGCCCTGCATCTCTCCTGAGTAGAGAGAGAGAGAGAGAGAGAGGAGAGACAGAGGGGAGAGAGAGTTTAAAGCATAAGGTCGAATAAATTCCAAGTACGTAGGAATGTGTGAGTATGCACACAAAGGCTAATCATCACCAGAGAGGTATTTGACTCTGGCCAGCAGGAGCAGAGCTGGTGTGAGAGCAGGAGCTGCTGTCAGGATGGACTCCAGTATAGCTGCTGCCTGGGGCAGTGTGGGGTGGGCCTGGGCTGGAGTGAGTGCTGGCTGCAGGAAATTTAATGAGAAGATAGTAAAAGGTGTGCCTAGAGGTTCCACTGTACCTCTGTGGGAGCATATTCTACGAGGCACTGGGCAATCCACAGCAGAAACTGTGGGTTGTAGAGTTCAAAGTATCGACAGCTGAGTGGCTGGCCCTTCAGTCCCCTGATATGGAGGTCCCTGGCCTCCAGGATGAGCGGGAGCACTTCAGACTCTGCCCTGGCTCTCTGCTGCCCCAGTAGTACGTTGAGATAGAGGACGTTGGCTTGTTTACCAATGGACGACTGGACCTGTACAGAGAGAAAGTTTGTTTTGGGTAGCAGAAAATTGCAAACAGACCTCGGCTAGGAACTCCAGTTGTTGCTGAGCCTCATGAGAGTGTCCCGAGAGAAGCTGGCAGTGGATGACCCCCGCCAGACCCTCCACACTCGTCTCGTCCACCGAGAACGCCTTCTTGTAGGACGCCAGACTTTCTGCCACCTTACCACACAGTAGCTGCTGGTAGGCCAGCTATATACAGTGGAGGGGAGGGGGAGAAACAGTGATGAATGATAGTATACAGTCTCTATGGAGGCCTCTAAGGAGTGTTTTAACATTTAATGCATCCAATATACTCCCGAAAGAGGACACTAGGACACTTTCTTCAGGCCCATTGGTGTCAAGATTAAAAAGGAGTTCTACTGTACCTGCTACATATATACCTCGTTGAGGTAGAGAGCTGAGTGTGGGGAGAGGGAGATTGCTCTCTCAACTAGAGCAATGGTCTGCTGCAGAACTTGAGGGTTCCCTCCTGCCTACATACATAGTAACATTGGAGGATGAGTTATACAACGCTTCTTTATAACAGCTATATATGTAGTGAGCAGTCCAATAGCCATTGACTACGATGCTCTACATATTGCAGGCTTATGCAGTTAATCCTTGCTCATTCTCTCACCAGTCTAGCTGGACTGAGGGCGGTATCGTGGTAGATCCAGTGTGCCCTAGGTTCACACTGGTCCAGCTGAGTCATCAGGTCTCCCAGAGCAGTGACAGTCTCCTGATGGTCTCCCCTCCTGGCCAGCAGCTCCAGAATTAGAACTCTGTGGGCTTCCACGCAACTAGCATCCTGTGACAGACACCTGCAAGACACACTCAACTTCTTTATCACACGATTTCCACATGCTAATCAACTCAGCACGTGTCACATACACCTTGGTTTTTCTTTCTCTCTCTACACCCATGTTAACTTCAGTCGAATATCCTAAAAGATATTCGTACCTCTGAGCAGTTTCCACTGCCTGGTCCCAGTCCTGTAGGGCCAGTTGTACCCTCATCTTCTCCACCAGAGGAGGTAGGAACCTGGGGTGAACTGCCACTGCCTGGCTGGCCAGCTCCAGAGAATGACTGAAGTTGTGTCTCTGGTAATAGTAGCAGCACTTTCCCAGGAGGACGTCTACCGGTGTAGGAGAACCAGGACTGGGGGGGTATGGGGATTGGGGGAATGGAAACATGGGAGAATGAATACATCGGATCATGGGGATAGGAAATGATAGTGTGAAAGAATGGATGTGTGAGTTTTGGAGTGGCAGCGATGTTATTCTTAGTGATGAGTTTGCCGTTTGATAGGAATAGGATGTGATATTAAGCTCTGACTGCAAGCAGTAACTGTATACCTCTGCTGTGAGTGAAGTGTGGCAGCCTCTTCAAAGTATTTGATGCTCTTCTTCACGACCGCATCTCTGCCACTCGTCAGGTCAATCCACCCTCGCAGGAGTTGGCCAAACTCTGACCCCGGTGCCAGCTTCAGGAGTCTGTCGCAATACTCTCTGGACTTGTCGGATCTTCCGCTCAGCCACAGGAAGAGAGCTGCGTGGTAGAGCGCTCTCTCACCACTCTCCGTCCTCTCCGATCGTATCTTGGATTCCAGCTGCTGAACTGCTTCACGATCTGGGGAAAGAAATGACTTCTTGTGAACAGTACAAATGAATGCAGCTACTGTTAAAAAGTGTTGTCCTTTTAGTTAAATTTGTTTTATATGTTTGCTCTTTCATTGACATAGTATCATTGAGTCATGCATGTGATGATTGTCAAGAGATTAACTATCAACTTGGGTCTGCAAACTCACCAACAATTTTGCATTTCTTGTGTGCGTAAATCAGGAGCAACTTTGCTGCTAGTGACAGTTCCTTAGACTCCTGGACAACCTCCACTTCTCTCATTCCCTCACTCTCCCTCTCTTCCATCACCAGACCTGCACCGGCGGCGGAGATAGTGTATAGCTAGCTACATTGTATGACGGACAGTTTCAGAAGAGCTAGTAATAAAAGGCTGTAGAATTATTGATGACATGTGTTTTCCGCAGCGCGTACTGTAGGCCTTCCAGAACACGAGCTCCGGCTGCGACCCGTGTCGCCGCGTCAGCTCCAGGGCACTAGTGTAGATGTGTCTGTACTGCCGCTCTCGAGCGTAGTACAGAATGCCCGCCTGCAGTGGTGTACAACAGACGAAGAGAGAGAAATTCTCTTTGCAGGAGCTGAGGTTTTGGCTCACCCTCTCAGTGTCTTGCATGTCTCTTCCCTTACTTTGGCTCACTCACGGCTTTGCCCCAGGCTAAAAACTCGCCTTCTTTCCTTTCTCTAGATGCACCGCATGGATGCGCGCCTAAAGCGATGTTTATCGTTATCGGTTGCCTAGCTACATAACGTAAATTTATGCCGACGATCCGATAGAATTTACATGTGCGTCCGTTAAAATTTAGAGGAAACTCTATTATTTAGCGGGCACCGGTGATCTTTGGCGCGGGGAAGAGGTGGGCGCTAGTTACTGGAGGGTGTGTTGGCTTTGCAGCTTGCCTACTCAGTTTGCAAGGATCACAGCTGCAGAAAATGTCAGTACGGCCTGGGAGAACGGTGAGGTCTACTTAGCTAGCAGCTGGCACCCTTTGCCTCCGTTTCTCTCGGTGCCGCAGAAGTCGAAGGAAATGACTTGGAGCGAGAAGGAACTCGCAAAGCATTTGCTGAACAAGAGGAGAACGTCGGCCACTGCGGACGGGTAGGCCTAGATCACCATCATTTGCTTGCAAAAATATAGAGACTTGCATTATTTTTTGCTAAAAGGAGTTCGAAATCATCACCAAAAGTCGGTCAGAAGCTGCAGGCAGGAACAAGTGGAGCTGTGAAATCAGGCCTCAGCTCCACTGTGCCTGCAAAGAGAGGGGCAGAGGTGAAAAGGGGAAGTGGAGGGAAAGATAGACTGTCGTCGACTGTGGCAGCTGGCTCTTCATCACCAAGCGGTAGTCGTGCCAGAAAAGGAAGGAGATGCGAAGAAAGGAACTGCTAAAGATTCATCTTCTCTGAGCTCTCAAGCCAGAAGTAAAGAGAAGAGAGGTTTGGAGGAGAGACGAGAAGACAGAAGACGAGAGGACGTAAGGAGAGGGAGGGAAGGAACTAGAAACGAGAGAGGTGGTGGTAGAGACAGCCGGAGAGGGAAAGAAGAGGCTGGGAAGAAGGAACGTGACCCAAGAGAAAGGGAGAAGGAGAGGGAGAGAGAGAAGGAAGACAGAAGACGACGGAGGGATAAAGAGAGGGGGAGGGAAAAGGAGGGGAGAGGGAAGGAAGGAGAGAAAAATGCAAGAATCAGCAGCAGCAGCTCAACTGGAGAAAAACCGAGGATCAGTCCAGAAAGGGAGAGGAAACCACCAGCAGGTATGGGTATATATGGTCCGATGCAGTGCAGTGTTGTAACTCAATGTGTCCTTGTGTTGGAAGGACCCTTACCCCAGCCAATGGAAGAAGTGAAAGATGGAGATGCCATCGAAGAAGATTTTGAATACGATGAGGAGTTTGAGGTAAATTTAAAATGGCAGTATTATGCAATATTGATACTAAGTGGTCTTTTGTAGGAAGATGATTATGTCGATGATTTTGACGAAGATATCGAGGAACATACCGAAAGTGAAGATTTTTCTGATGATGTCATTGCTAAATCACCCCCGGCAACAAACCCTGACCCATCGTCTACTGATGGTATCGACCTGGTAGAGATCATGCAAGCCATCGATGCCGAGAATATGGACGTAACACGTCCACTCCATTTGGAGCCCACCCCCTCCCTTGGCATTGGAACAACTTCCTCGCAGGGGTCACAAAGGTCAATGGGTCATCGGAAATTTGTCGACTTCTCGTCAGCCAAGAAACTGAGGAGAGAGAACGTGTAGCCCGAGTTACTAAGAAACGGGGACAGGTACACATACAATTCACTCTGAATGAAGAACACTTGGTTCTGCCCCATATGATAAATCAGTGTTCTTTATTACCTCCGAATAAGGGATGGCTCTGACACTTCCACTTCCCCAAAGTGTCCCTTATTCACTAGCATATGGTATTGTTTCCCTAGGAGTTGTTGTCAATGATAGAGCTGGACGTGGTGACCTTTGACCTGTTTGACCTGCGACCTCTATCGGAGTACGAGGTCTACATGAGGAGTTTTGGGTCGTCTGGTACGAGGCAGGCCGGGAGTCAGACTGGGGAAGATACAGTTGAGGAAGGCACCCAGACGGAGGAGGTTGAGGGGAGAGAGAAATGGGTCCAGTGGCCGCCCGAAGATCTCAAAGGATTCGGAGGTTAGGCTGGGATCATGTGATGTCATGTGAGAGTCATGTGACAGGTCCGGATGGTGAGGAGAGAGAGGAGACTGGTGTTGATGGGGACATGGGCAGTGCTGTTAGATTGGCTTCTTTCTTGAAAAGGGCCTCGCAGGTTGGTCATGTGACCATGCTATAATGTCATGTGACTTTGGAGGTCATGTGATCATCAGGTGACTGTTTTTCCCAGGTTGTATCGGTGCTGCTGGAAGAGAATGCGGCACAAAATGACGTGTCCCAGACCCATTCCAATCAGTCCCCGATTCCATTCTGCTCGACCAGAATGAAGATAGAGCCACCTAAAGAGCTCCGAGGCTGTATCTTGACCTCTGTGGAATACAGCCACGCCCACCCTCACCTCATAATGACAATCCACTCTCCGGCAGCGGGGCGGGATGAGGGGGAGGGGCCTGTTCCAAAAGGGGGAGGAGCCATTTGTGTATGGAGCACAAGGGAGCCTTCACAACCTCAGTTGTGAGTTGTGCTATAATTTTGAGAGCCCCCATTATTAAAAATTCTCCTACAAAAAAACCCGCTATAAAGTACGACAGTTTCTCTTCTCGACACTCCCTCTTTCTTCCCCCAGTTACCTGGTAAGCCAGTCTCCCTCGGTCTGCGGCAGTTTTGGACCAATCAGAACGCCTCTTGTCTTCTGCGGGACAGAGGATGGGTGTGTCCTCCTCTGGGACCTCCGAGAGACCGTTACCATGCACACCAGACCTCCTGGTGTGACCACACCCACCAGCCACACCCACATTCCAAGACCACCAACATTCAGTACAGGTGTATACTTTCAAATTTTTTGACATTTTGTCCCAAATTTTTCGACATTTTTGTCTCCCTGATTTTCAGCTGCTCTGTCCCAGAAGTACAGTCACCAATCTCCCATTGTGTCCCTCTCACCTATCACCACCTCTACTCCTCACAACTCTCCCTCCTCCCACCTTCTCACCGATGATGAGTCAGCAACTATCGGCCTATCATTTCAACTAGCTTCACTTGACAGGTGCTAACACTTTCCGTTTGAAAATTTCCTCTGAGCAACTGACATGTTTGTGTGTATGTGTACATTAGGAGTGGTTTGTTGATTATCTGGGTTGCCGTGGAGACCAAGCCACACCCACAAGGCTCGGAGAGCGACCTGGGCCTGATTCCAAACGGCCGAGTTAAATTAGTCTGGAGTGCGGCCCTAGATACTACGAGGTACACAATTAGTGTCCTGATTAGAGGAGTTCGACTTTATTGTGTTCCAGGTCGAGTCCCGATTCCATTCCAGTTCAGTCTCTCTGTGTCCGATTCCATTCCATAGACACCAATCACATCTTCTTTGGAACTGATGAGGTACTAGATTTCTCACATTATTAATTTTCATACCATTATTCTTTATTGTCAGGGAACAGTAGTTCATTGTACTCGCTACAGTCGCCGTCCCATTCCCAGACTGTACAGGTCCCACGCACACGCCCACTGCCCCTGTGATGTCACCTCGTTAAGTTTCTCGCCATGGCAACCAGACTATTTTCTCGCGAGTTATTCGAACGGCAACATATCACTTTACAACATCAAGAAAGGTAAACAATCCTGTTTTTTACTCGTGTGCCGCAAGCAATGTCGTCGTTCAATATTTCAGCTAACCCGCTGGTGGTGTGGACGGAATCAACCAATGGGATTGCAGTCAGTAAGGTGGAGTGGGCGTGGCACATTCCTGGAGTGTTTCTAGCACTGGACGGTCACTCCACCCTATACCTCTGGTTCGTTACATACATTTATATTGTACATTACCTTTTGGTCAAAAAATTGGTGAATTTTCTGCAGGAATTTGACAGAGAATGACAGGGGTCCTACCCATTCTTACAGCCCGGCAGAGGACACCCCAGCTATCCTCTCCTTCTCCCTCTCTCCCTCCTCCACCTCTCCTTCCATCGCTCTCTGTCGCTCCAACTCAACCATCGAGATCCACCAACTATCATCACTCACTGGTGCCCCGGCAGATTCAGAAACTCCAGAGAAACTACTCTTACCTAACTTTACCAACTACCTCCACAGTCTGTAGCTCCGGTCTGTAGCCAACACTTTGGCAGATAAAAATTTCCTTTCAGTTTTACACAACAGTATAATATACAATTATAAAACCACCATAAAAAGACGTAAATCACTATACGCAACAGAAAAAGACGAAAATTAATGATTAAAGGTTTGTATAGCAGATAGAAAGAAAGAGAGAGGGGGTTGTTAGTCATCAGGAACATTTTCCGCTTCTTTTCTCCTCTCTTCCTCGGCTATCTTGATCCTGGCTGTGAGATCCTTGGCAGGGTTGAACACTCCCCCAGTCTGCTGGCTGCACACCGCACACCGCGTAGTCTTTCTGTAGTTCTTGAGCGCACACGACTCGCAGAAATAGTGCTTGCACCTGTGGTGTGTTGAGATCACGTGATAGTCACGTGAATAGGGGTGTGGTCACGTGACCCTACCCACCTGGTGACTACGGGGTTATTGAAGAATTCCCGGCAAATGTAGCAGGCAAACGGTAATTGCTCCTCTTCGTCGCTGCTAATCTCGTACTGCTTCATGTCTGTGTGTGGATCACATGAGGTCACATGACCCACTAATGATAGTCATGTGACACTGACCCTCCGTCTTCCCCTGGTTCTCCTCAAACTCTCTGTCAAGCTGCCAACCACTCTTATAGTCTCCCCGGTCGTGAAGAAACTTGCAGCTGTCTGCAACAAACACAAAATTTTTCGTGCTGACACCAAAATTGTGTGAAGTTGCACTATATACATGTGAAAATGTTCTAAACCATGTCCTGAATTTGTAAGTGTCCTAAATTTGGCATGAAAGTGTCCCATATAATTTTTTATATACCTCCAAATCCGCAGTAACCAGTTTCCTTGTAGTCTTTGCAGATGTCAGGCTGGTAGTCCCATCTCACAGTGCTCCGCAGATAGGCCGGCGCTCTGATTGGTCCGTACTTCCTGTGTTAGAGAAACTCCGCCCACTTAGCCACGCCCACTGAACATACCCCCACGACACTTACTTTGCCTTCTCCTCCTTTCGCTCCTGCAAAATTAATAGCAGAGAGAGAGATCATAGTTCCATGCTACATTCTATATATGGGTATGCAATGCAGCGAAGAGTTGCGCCCTACAAAGTTGAATTAGCTTTTTAAAAAAAGTGTCCAACTCACCCGTACTTCAGCCTCGGCATCAATATCGACTGTGGCTCTGGTGTCACGCGACTCACTAGCCACTTCTCTCTTGGACTGGTAGGACATCGTCACCCTACTCTCCCCCTTCCCCTCTCCCTCCTCCTCCTCCTCTTCCCCACCACCTGTGTGTTCATATAATATACAGAGTTGAACCTCTTCCTATCCAAACTCCAATAAGACAGAAGAAATGTCCATGGAAGCATCCTTATTTTAGGGGTTAATTTGCACGCAAGAACTGTTCTAAGAGGTGTCCTTATTATAGGGGGGTCCTCATTTCAAAGGTGTCCTGTCTCACTCTCCCTCCGTCTTGCCTTGAGGTTTGTTCTTGCTCTTGGTGTTTGTTTTCTGATACAGTTGTCTGTGAACTGCCTTCTTCTCCTTCCTCACCACCACCGATTCCTCGTCACTGCTCTCATCTGTTCAGGACAACCTTAGTTCAGGACACACACTCCTAGAGTTGTCCTGATACCTTCGCTACTCTGTTCCATCTTCCTCTTCCGTGCCACACCTCTTCTGGCAGATTTCTTGAACATACACGGTTTAACCCCTCCACTACTACCCTCTTTAACCCCTTCATCACCAGCCTGATTAACCCCTTCTTCACTGTCGGCCATTTCCAGGGGTACCTACTACAAAGTTCTAGCTGAAATGGTTCTCCCAGCGTACAGAGTGAAGCCCCAGGCAATTAGAGAGAGAGATATCCAGAACTAGACAAGAGAGAACGGTGGAAAAGACAACATTTAAACGAGGACGTTTGTACGTACGAGAGTGAGTGTCCAGTCGGCGAATGCCTTGCTAACTCTCATCTTACGAGCTCACGAGCGGGTCCCCCTTTTGGCGCCATTGGCTATAGGTCAAAGGGACGAGGTTCAGAGGGCAAGAGAGCTGGTTGTGACGTAAGAAACCGCGTGCGTTTTGCGAGTTTTTGCGAGGGGAGAAGAAGGAAAAGAGGCGCGGCTACAAGACATGGGAAACAAGGGAAGCACGGACTCGGCGCCGTCGCTGACTCCCGTACAGCAGAGAGAGGTGAGAGCTGCCTGCGATCTAGCTAGCTGCATCCCCGCGCTTCTGCTCGTCGTTTTTATTTTTTATCAGGAGAACCTCTACGAGGATTACGTCACTCCCGCTCTGTCGTCCGTCAGCGGTGGTCGGGCCCCTGGTCCTGCCGCCACTGGGGGTTCTGGGACCCCGCCCATTTTGACACGTCCACACACGGAGCACCGAAGGCCACAACAGGGCCTCGAGAGACGTTCCATGACAGTTGTTGGACGAGGAGGAGATATCGTACGTTTATACGCTGAAAAAAAGGACCCTCCAAACCTAGGACACCACTCTGGACACTATTACATTGTATCTCAGAATAAGGGACCGTCTGAATATAGAACACTTTAAATGTCTCCAAGGTGTCCCTTATTCAGAGGTTTTCACTGAAACAACTTTCCCGAACGTTTGTTTTTCCTCTTGCTCAAGCAGCGAAGGAGTGATGCAGCACTTCGTCGACAGTCAACTAGCGATTCGCTGCCTTTTGCTGAGCTTCCAGCAAAGCAAGACACACTTGAGGTGTGTAACAGTTCATGTGGAAGGTACACACACACGCTAACTTTCTCTCTCTCGAAGGCACACATTATCGAGAGCTCGCCCCAGCAAGGAGTCAGGGACGTGGAACTTGCCACAAGCATCGCTGTCACTTTTGACCGAAATGTTTTGACCGTCAACGCCAGCAAACTTTTTGAGGTAATTCTCTGATTCTTCTTCGTTTTTTCCCTTTCTCTTCCTCCATTATTTCTTCCCTGTCCACTTTGGAACCTCAAAAAATTGAAGTGGTGCCTCTAAATTTTAGGTCATACTGTTAGTGAGGTGTTCATGTTTCAAATAAACTGTTCTTGGGGAAAGAAAAAGTGTCATCCATTATACCCCCACGTTCGACAGGTGAGAAGTGAAATGGACGTGAAACCGGTGGAAGGTCACGTGACGTTCGACCCTCGTGCCCTGAGGGCGGAGTTCAGCCCCACCCACACGCTCCACCCCGGCACCACCTACACTGTGACACTCTACGGGAGAGCCATCACTACACCGCAATGCCCCTCTTCGGGCGCCGCCATTTCCAACGCCCTTCTCTCCTTCCACACCTGCACCCCGCCACCGAAGAACATTGGGATCAAGTTGAAGGGGGAGAGAGAGACTGAGAAATTGCAGATTGCGGATTTCTACGATTTGTACAATTCACTGGTGGTGTGGAGCACGAAACAGTGGGGCTGTTCCGGGGAGCATATTGTTGGTGGGTTACAGACAGTGAGCCTCTGAATATAAGGGAAACATTGAGTGCTCTTTATTCAGAGGGTCCCTTAGTTGTAGGTGGCATGATGTGTATACTAACTAGTATGGGGCAGAACCAGGTGTCCTTTATTCAGAGGGCACGGTCCTTTTTCAAAGGTTTCACTGTATGTTATGTAGATGATGTCATTTTTACATGCAATGATGTAATGTTTGTCTTGTCCAGGGATGTATGTTGAAGCGGAGGACAGAGGGAAACTGCAGCCGCTAAAGGCCGATCACGATGTTTTGCGTCTCCGTGACGATGACATTGTTGTTGTTGACATCAAAGACTAGCAACATTTCATTTTTTACATGTATATATAAATGTACACACAAAGGATTTTGAAAATGAAACAAGATGTGTGTTTACAACAACACAATTTCTGTTGAATTTACATGAGGTAGCTGAAAGCTTTTGTCTAAAGTAGAGGGAAAATAGAGTTGCTCGGAATTTAGGTCATGTGACTGTCACGTGACTGTCATGTGGGTGGTCTAACCCACTGTCTGTACTGCAGCCTCCTACCTGAATACCTGAGAAATTGAGGCAGATTTGTATAATTATGTGAAAAATTGAGGGTACAATGAAAGCTTATAGTTGTGGGGCACATACAGTATCAATTTTCGGTTGTGAATTCCCTATAATTATAGAAAAGACCTGATTGTGGAGATAGTGCATTGGGACTGACTTAGAATGGCAGTTGTCGAATCTCAAGATGTAGTTGCCCACTTTCTGAGCCGCATATTCTCCCGAGAGAGCTGCCTTGTGTGAGACGCAGCGACGCAGCGGGAGGATCTGGAGAGAGAGAGAGAGAGAGAGTATATTGGGAAAGTGCCTGAGTAGAAAGGTGGCTCACCTGCTCAATTTTAGCTCCTTCAAAATCCTCAAACGAAAGTCCAAAGGCCAAACCTTTTGGTTCACTCATAAATTCCCAGGCAATGGCTGTTCCTTTCTTCTCCACTTTCACTTTCACCGTGTGAGCACTTCCGCCTTCCAGCGCGACCTCTGTGAACCCTGTCAGCCCCTCCCTCGGAATTTCCCTGCCCCCCGTTGCCCCCTGGAGGGGGTCGGAATTGTCCCCCCCTGTAGTTGCGGGGTTCCCCTGTTGTCGTACTTCCAAACTAGCCAGTTTTGAAGCGAGGGCGTTCACGTCTAAAAACTTATTCCCGGGGACGTCGACCCCCACGGGGAACTGGGGGTTCGTATCGATGAGGTAATAGCTATCCCCCAGGGAATCCCCCTCCACGGCAGCGATGTGATATTGGACCGCCTCAACCCCTGACTGGGGGCCGCTGGAACGCTCACTCTCTCTCTTCCTCACAGCAGGGTCCACAGAGTATTCGTCCAGCGGGGACCAGCTCCACCTACCTGTCTCCCCCGCCTCTAAACGACATGCAGAACTGTGGGGTCTAATATTGTTCCCGGGGGCCGAGTCGAAAGTTCCGGACCCCTCAAAACTTCGCCCTGACCCCCCAGGGACGGGGGAACCGTTCATCCACTTTCCGTCGTAACTACTGGCAACACTCGAGTCGTCGTTCTGTACCCTCAACTTGGCATGGAGACTGGGAGAATGGAAATAATCAGCATGAAAAACACAGGGATAGAGAAATAAAGTATAGATGTTGGATCCAGAATGGAGCAATGGGGTATGGGAATGGAAATATGGGAATGGGAGTATGGGAGAGAGTGGCACACCTGTTCCCTCCAGCCTCCAGATTCCTCTCAATGTTGAGAGAGTTACTGGAATTTCTCCAGCTGCCCCCCGCATTGGGGGTCGGGGTCCCCTGGGGGTCGGCGGGGTCGGAGGAGTTGATGAATTTCGAGACGAAGGGGGTCCTCATTTGAGTGATTCTCTGGTGACATTTCTCACACACACGCACCGGTTCTCTGGTGGCATACAATGATATATACAGTGCTTGGAAATGAAGACACCTCTCTAATAAGGACACCTCCTTCTCCAAGAACAATTTCTTGCATGCAATTTAACCCCTGAAATGAGGACACCTCTCTAAATAGGGACACCTCCTTCTCCAAGAACAATATCTTGCATGCAATTTAACCCCTGAAATGTGGACATTACACTCACTAAAGGAGTAACGTAAGTGTGTAAGTGCCGGCACGGACGGTAAAGCTATGTACCTGCTGAATGGAAGCTGGGCTTTCTGGTCACAGCATTTAGCACAGCACACTCTACCACATGACCGACAGTGGTGCTGGAAAAAACACAGGAAGGTAAAAAAAAAAGATAAAATTTTTTTCTTGGAAAGAAGATAACATTTTTAGTTATTTGTGCAGCTCAAACCTTTCTGATTCTGAGGGTGAAGGTGGCAGAGCACTCCATGCAGGCGGTGACAGTTTTACTGTTGATCCACATCCCCATGGCCTGGTGTTCGTGTTCTAGTTCGTCTGCATGCTGCCACAGCGTAACCTTCTGTCTGTACGACACGCACACACACAATGATGAATTCTAAGGACACCCCTGAAATGAGGACACCTCTCTAATAAGGATACCGTTTCTTTCCCAAAGAACAGCTCTCGCATGTAATTCAACCCCTGAATTAATAAGGACACCTCACTAATACATGGACACTTTCTTCTGTCCCATTGGTGCCTGGGTTACAAGAAGCTCCTTTGCCAGACATACTGCCTCAAAAATCTCCCGGCCGAGTAAGAAAATCTGGACTCACTCTAGGAGACGGCGAAAGGCTCTGCGGATGTCGTTGTTCTCCTCTGTGAGTCTGGCGGCCTCCTTGGCGAAGCCCTGCTTCTCAATCTCCAGCTGAGACTGGAGGACATCGAGCGAGGTCTGGGCCCTCAACAGCTCTGCTCTCTCCCTGTCTCTGCTGTAGGTCTTCTGTGAGGAGAGAGAAAGATACGACGCGTTTGAATCGTCGTCCACGTTGCTTCTCTCCCTGCTGGCCACTCGCAAAATGAAAGATAGACCAAATGCCTATCTACAACTGAACACTTGGACTATCGCTGGAGAGTGCAGTGCAAATAAACCATTGTTTCCCCGGTACACCATCAATTGAGGCTGTATGTATATACCTCAGTGAGTTGCTCGCTGAGGGTGCTCATCTCTGAAGACTGGTCCCCAACCTCTCTCTCCAGTTCCCTCAGTTCCAGTCGCAGGCCCTCGGCCTCGGCACGGGCAAGCTCCTGCCCCTCTCCCGCCTCTCTCAGCAGCTCCTCCTTCTGAGTCCACTTGGAGCGGAGCGAGTCCAGCGACTCCTCTTTCTCTGCCAGTAACTGGATGGGGGCAGGACAGGAAATGGACTGTACTGAACATCTGGCTCTGCTCCATTCTTATGTACTGCAAACCTCAGAACAAGGGACACGTTGGCAGCATTGAACGTGTCCATTGTTCAGAGGTGTCCCTTAGCATGATGTATTAGTATATATGGGGCAGAACCAAGTGTCCTTTATAGAGAGGTGTCCTTTACTCAGAGGTGTCCCTTATTGAATGGTAGCATGATGTACGGCCAAGCGTCCTTTATAGAGAGGTGTCCTTTATTCGGAGGGTCTTCTTTCAACTGTACCTCTTTGGTCTGCTGTAGTTCCATGGTGGCCGAGCTCAGTTGGTACTTGAGACCTTTGACCTCGTCTCTGGCCACCCCACATTCCTCGGTCAACCTCTCCACCTCTCTCTCCAGACCCTCCGCCCTCTCTCGTACGGCGTCCATGTCTTTGCAGCGTCTCCTCAGATCCTCCAACTCACTGGCAAAGTTCTCCTGACGAAGTTCCAGAATATACTGAGGAGATCGTGAGAAAATTCACAAAGACGATACACAAGATTTGCTCTAAGTGGAGATTGGGAAGTTACGCATATAGGGCGATATAAAGCAAATACCGACTTATAGCTACAACATATAGTGCAATGGGATAACCCCTCTCTAAGGACACCCCTGAAATGAGGAGCTCGAATAAGGAAACTTTTCCCCAAGAACGGTTGCCGGTGTATTTACCCCCTGAAATGAGGACTAATCAATGGACACTTTCTTCTGTCCCATTGGTGTCCCGATTAGAGGGGTTCCACTGTAGCTACTGCACCAACTACACCTGTTCTTGAAGAGCAGAGAGTTCAAAGGTGACAGTGTTGAGAGTGTCTTGAGAAGTGGCCAGCTCTTCCTTGGTCTGCTGCAACTGCTTCTCTTTCTCACGTAGCTCCTGGGACAGCTCCTCAGCCGTCTACAGTATATAGAGAGGGAGAGGGAGAGGGAGAGGGAGAGGGAGAGCAGTCTTCATCAAGGCTAAAGGAAAAGTGCACCGTTTCTCAATGTATGGTTTGAACAACAAGAAATTAGCCTCGGGCACTTTCTTTTAAATTGCTTCTTCACTTCTCAAGCATGTTTAACGATAGAGAGGTAAATGAGCTGGATTGTAGCTAGTCAGTGTTCTAAGAGAGGCAAACCTTCTGCATAATGTGTTAGCACTGCAGGATATATATAACTGACCATCTATGTATTATATGCACTCAGTGCAAAGGTGTTCTACGCATCGTACAGAGAATGTTTTCCCTTCTTTACGTAAAATGTACCCACCTCTTTGGTCTGCTGTAGTTCCGTGGTGGCCGAGCTCAGTTGGTACTCAAGACCTTTGACCTCGTCTCTGGCCACCCCACATTCCTCGGTCAACCTCTCCACCTCTCTCTCCAGACACTCCGCCTTCTCCTATTTATAGGAAGAAATTTCAAAATTATGTACTGACTATGAGAGTGATACCCACATGAATCATCGTCATTATTGACGATTGAATGGCTGTTTTGAAGAAAGAAATTTTGAAACACTGGACGGAAAAGCAATCTGGGTTTTTACGCATGTGTCAAGTGCAGATACACAAAAAAATGTGTTTACCTCGACTTGGGCCAGGGTTGACGAAACAGCTGCTTTCTCTTCAGCTTCAGCCACAACCTAGTTGTGTGTGTGTGCGTCACGTTTAGTAAATAGTAGCACGTGTAGAGTTATTTTGAAGATTGCTATGGGTTTTGCCTTTCTAAACAGCACCTCCACCTGTTCCCGAAGAGCAGAGAGTTCAAAGGTGACTGTTTTGAGAGTGTCTTGAGAAGTGGCCAGCTCTTCCTTGGTCTGCTCTAACTGCTTTTCTCTCTGACGTAGCTCCTGGGACAGCTCCTCAGCTGCCTAGAAAAAAGGAGAGAGAGAGAGAGAGAAAGAGATTTAAAAAACTGGCTTTGGCTTGAAAGAGAGAGAGAGAGAGATAACTTTGGCTCGAAAATTTTGTTGGCGCTCCAAAGCACATGGGTTAAAAAAAACCTGGGCACTCTGGAAAAAAGGGGGCGGGCAGAACTTGAAGCAAAAAGCTGGAAAGAAGAATTTTCACCTCGTCTTTTTCCTTCAGGGCAGTCTCGATGAGAGTGGCCGACCTCCCTCTCCTCTCCTCCCTCCCCCCGTCCACCTCTTCCCCCTCCTCCCCCTCCTCCCCCTCTCCCTCCTTGGCCTCCATTAGCATCTCCTCCAGCGAGAAATTGACACCTTCCAACTCTGAAATCTGGACACAAACAAACAAATAAACAAACATCTCTTTAGTAAACCTTTGGTGAAAAAACACCTTACAACTCAAAATGTGGAGTACTAATAGGGAGATGTATGGAGAGTGTGACACCCGGAGGCATGGCTGACCTTGGCCCTTCCCCGGCTCAGACTGGACTTGAGTGTCACGTTGTCGTCCAGTAACTCCTGGATCTGATTGGAGCACAGCTGCAAGTCGTCTCTCGTGTCCTGGCAACACAAACATCACCACACTCTAAATCTCCCTAATCTCCCAAATATTTGCAACCAAATGGAAAACTGGTGTGCAGGTTACGAATACATACATCATATAATTTCCTCAGAATAAGGGACGTCTGTGAATAAAGGTCACTTTCAATGTGTGCCTTATTCAGAAGTTTCACCACAAAAGAGTATTAAAAAAAACGGTTCCAAAATTATTCAACACGGTATCGTTTCGTTCAGCAAAAATGCTACCATAAAGCACGAAATATACCTGAAGCTGGTTGAGGAGACTGTTCTCCACTCCCTCGCTCTCTTTCATTGTCTCCTGTAACTGCATCTCCATGTCTGCCATCTGGACCCTCGCCTGCCGCACCTCCTCCCGGAGCGAGTGGCTATTCTTAGTAACGTCACATGACCAGGCGGTGATGTAATCCCTCAAGACCGTGAGACAGGAAGTGACGTCGTCGAGTTTGGTGACTTCCAAGTCGGGGCAGAGGTGGGTGTGTCCGCCGATGGTCTCAGACTGACCAACCAGATTGCAGCGTATGTCGTCAAGGAGACTGCTGACGAGGGAGATGCTGAACGGGATCTCTTGTTTCACGTAAATCTCACTCGCTTCCTCCTCTATCCCTCTCTCTAATGTCACCCCCTGTGGAAGAAAAACGGGACCTTTTTCTAAAAGTGTGTGCTGTATATTATAATGTACAGTACAGTGTGCTTTAATAAGAACATACACGAGAAGAAGAGGTGGCGGCAGATGAGGCTGCGATGGCGTCCTTAGAACCAGCTGGAGACATGAAGAGAGAGCGACGACCATCACTACCCTGAAATGACTTCCTACATGTCATGAAAAATAGAGCAATTAATACCAGTCAAAAATTGAGCGAAAAAGATTTGAAAAACTCGAGACTCACAGGACAAATGAGGGCCACGTTTCATCAAGATCGACACCCTCCGAAGGGAGGTCAAAGTCCACGTCGGTGAGGTCATAGAGTGCACTAATTAGTCTCTGGCAATGGGCCGGGGACAGGAGGACTGACGTGGGGTGGTACCACTCTCTGCGGGGGAGATTATGAAGACGAGAGGAAGGAGAGAAGTATATAAGAGATTTAGATTACATAGTATCCGGACTGGTAGACTACTGATTATGTGCATATATGGGTTAGGGTGAATGCACTGCACTCTCCAGCTATAGTCACCAGATATTTAGTGTGTTTGGTTCGAATCCCTCACCACACCTTCTTGCTAAAAGTACGAGAACTTTAGCGCTCTTCACCAAAACTAATGAGGATTATTCCTCACTTGGTCCTCTTGAGGTTGCTGGCAGCAGTCTGGACGAGGTCCCCCAACATATGCTGCTCCAGACACTCCCTGATGAGACCACGCCCCCTCCCCTGACTGGTCGCCAGCTGCATACACATAATCCACAACCCCATATCAGATTACACTGTTACACACAAGTAAACTGAACAGCTCACGCTTATACATGAAGAAAGATAATTATAGCAACACTGTGTTGTAAAGTGTAACAATACACATTAACAGAATTCTGTGCCGTTGCAGCAGAAATTAGAATATTGGTGTACTAGAGTGAATGAAATGCATGTTAGTGAGCAAATGGAGGCTAGTCACAGAGCAGAGGCTTTGAACTACTTTACATGATGTTTTAGTATAAGCGACAGCGTCTGTTACAATTGTGCAAATTCAGTCGACAAGCTCAGCTATGTAGTACACCTCATTCCTACCAACAGAGAGAACGAGTGTTAAATGTCACATGATAATCATGTGACTCAAGTGCATAATCATGTGACTCACATGTGCCAGTGTCTGGACCCTCTTGACGATGGTCTCCAGGGTCTTCATGCGGCCCACACCTTCACTGAGGTAGTTCCAATAGTCCCTCCTGTCACCCCAGAAACTCAGCTTCTCTGTAACCATGACAACATCAGTGAAACCGGTAACCATGGAAACGTTAACCACGGAAAATATTTGCAAACACGTCAAACAAATTACATCGTGTTGTTACGTTGTTGTTGTTGTTGTATTCACCTCGTTGGTGGTGGCGGAGGCAGCATTCCAGACTGACGCAGAATTGGGACACTTCGCTGACGTCGTCCGTCAGGGCTGAGGTGGCCTCGTTGAAGATGACCTTTAACCTCTCCACCTGACCTGTGTTCAGTGAATATCAGTGGACAGAGAGGGACTACAGCAGAATACAGTGGAACCGCTCTCTAAGGACCTACACCCTCTCTAAGAGACACCTCTCTCACATAAGGATTCCCCAAGAACAGTTCTTGCATGCAATTGAACTCCTCAAATAAGGACACCTCACTAATATGGACACTTTCATCTGTCTCCTTGGTGTCTGGATTACAGCGCAGCCCGTAATAATATCGAGTTGCGGTTTTTTCGTATCTATACAAACCTTCAACAGTTCTGACTAGATCTTCCGGGTTGTCCATGACCGACACGCCTCCTCAGTATGTTTCTTCTTCTCACAACGGTGGGCGCTGCACGCTGAGGGAGGGAGATGCTGGGGGTCCTAGCCAAACTCGCAAAGAACACCGCCTTAGTTTCTCGCTGCCTTTTCTATTACGTCATAATTATACGTTCAATTGAGCTATTAGCTATATAGACGCGGGGAGCGGTTAGAATTGAAAGCGCCCTTTTGGCGGGAAAAGCCTGCGATATGGAAGGAGAGAGAATATTGAAAGAGCTGAGGACAGTGGACCCATCGTCTGCTAGGAGAGATGCCGACGCTCTGCATAAACGAGTCACCGTAAGCTGATCCCTGTTTCGCCTTTGAATCTCACCTAAACAAATATAGCATGCTACTCAATACTCACTGTCCTATTACATTTCTTAGCACTTTAGGACACCCTATTGGTTCATGAACCTCTGTACTATGTACTGTAGGACTATCTGGTTCCATTGTTCAACGAAGACAATCGGCCGTCGTGCGATGAAGGGACACTCGCAAAGTTGGAAATCTTCTCACTGAAACAGTTCAAACTCTGCCTCGAGAGAGCAAAAACCTCAGAGAAACTCGCGGAACAGTCGACTTTCTTTGTCGATCTCTGTCGGCTGGCCGTGACGACTCTTCGGGTGTGTTCCGGATCCTCTCGTGGCAAAATACCTCCGCTCAGCTTCGAGAAACTCATGGTGCATTTCGTGCAGCTGTGCGCGGCCCGACGAGAGTTTGGCGACGTTTTGAGCACATGTCGGGCGCTGCGAGAGAGGTTGGAGGGGGAGGAAGAGGGGAAGAAGAAGGAGAACAATGAAAGAGATACGCTTTTGAAACACGCGTTTGATATAACATGGAAAGCAGCTCTTGCTGTGGAGCAAAACGCCCAAACGAAACCGGAAAGAAATTCGGATGCAAACTCTCAAAACAGCGATGTCGTTGAAGTTGCGGAGCTGTGCCTCGAGCTGCGCCAAGAGGCCTTTGCCTGTCTGCTAACAGTTCGTGAAACAAATGCCAGATTTGCGGTCGAAAGAGTGATGCGATCCTCGCAACGCTACCAGCATATTGCGGCAGGGAACCCTCAAAACTCAAGAAATCACTCTGAGCGACTCCTCACGTTCCACACCTCGCTTCTCGCCCGTCGCGACCTCCCCTCCCTCCTCATCGACTCCCTCTCTCCTTCGGACATTTTTCTCGGAGTTGATTACCTCTGTCACCTCTCCCGAGTGGCCAACTCCGCAGGCCACGCCCACAAAGCAGACGACTATCTCACTAGAGCGATGACAGCTTCCACCGATAGTGACAGACAACTGAAATCGAAAGCCGGTAATAAAGATGAAAAACAAAACGGTTTGGATGCAAAAGGGCTAAATTCTTTGCTCCTTGCCCTGGTTCATCTGACCACCGTTCTTACCACTCTCGGGATGATGGGTAACAGTGTGGCTAAGGAGGAGGGGGAGAAATTGTGTGAGAGTGTGCAGCTGGCGGCGAGATGGATGGAAGAGGCAGTGGTGGGTTCGTTTTGCGACTCCGTACAACTTCAGAGACTGTGGGAATCTGTCGAGCAGGTCTTCAATCTTCTGCGTCAGCGCCGCATGGCGATGAGGAAGAGAGGAGGAGGGGAGGGCCCCGGTTCGTTACTGCCGAGAGGGGTTTTCCCCAGCCTCGCCATGTTAGTGACATCACAGGTCAAGGCAGGGGAAGGGAGAGAGAGACGAAATGAAGATGGAGACAGACCAAATCGCATCAAAGAGGTGAATTCTAGAGTTTAAAGGACACCTTGGGGACTTTTTGAAAAAATGTGTCCTTTTTTCAGAGGTGTCGTTTATTGTAATAAATCAAGTGTCTTACTTTAAAATTATTCAGAGTGTTGTCAGTGGTTTCTCTGTAATTATTTTTCTTTTTGTAGTCACAGTGGTTGCGAAAGACTTCGTTTGTGGTGGACTGTATGAGGGAGTCCGGTCACCACGGAGACGTCATGGAAACGCTGGCTTCGGTGGCGCGAGGGTTGCCGGGCGACGTGCTGTGTGAGGACGAGGAGGTGATGGTGGGGATGTGGGTGAGGGGGAAGAGAGAGCTGGCATCGAGAGAAGCCGACTCACCAAGTCTGGACCAGTGGAGACACAGGTGGGGGAGGGGGGAGCCAGTGAAAGTGAAACTGGTGCACACAGTGGGAAAATTTGACGTTCGTTTATTTCATGGTTTTGAAAGAGCTCCGAGCCTAGCAATCAGCAGAAGTTTTTAAAAGCAAAGTTTTTTAAAAGAAAAGTTTACAAAAGCAAACGTCGAGCGATTTCTCCCAATTTTCACACCACTTATGTATTCCAGCGCTCCGTATGCAATATCATGGGAACATTTGCGGCAACCGTTTTTTAGCAAAGCCGACAAAAAACTGCAAAATTCTCTCTCTTTTTCCAGAACTTTTCTTTCCCTGGTTCCACCGACCGTCCCTCCACTGTCAACCAGAATGAAGTCACACATTCTCGCCACAGAGCTCCTCAGACTGACAGGATCTGCTGGTGTCACGGGGCGAGGAGGGAAACCGACCAATCAGGACGCCGTCGCCGTGGGCTACGAGCTGATGGCGGTGTACAGGGAAGGAGGGAGACAGTGGGATGTGGAAAGAGGGAGAGTGATGGTTGACATGGCAACCACAGACAGGTAGAGAGGTTCCCCTGTTAATTCGGCACAAATTCCACGTATATACTTGCTGAAATGATCTTAATTTCTTCCATTGCTACAGCTCCCTGCTAGACGAAGCCATACAGTTGTTGGAGGGTGTGGTTTCAGGCCGAGACCACGCCCACCCACCTTCTCATCGGCAGAAGGCGCACCTCCATCTGGCCTCAGCTCTTGTCCTGAAAGCTGTCTCTGTCCTACAGGACAGAATGAGGTAAGGAACTGCATTTTGTAAAAAGGTCTCTTAGTCAGAAAATTTGTGGAACTGCGAAAAAAATCATTTGTGTACCCAAATATTGTATATAATAGGTCATGTGATGTTGGTGGAGAATCACATGATCATCAACCTGGTGGATCTCATGACAAGGGCTCAGAGTCACATGACCACGAGGAGTGGGTGTGTCAGGGCGGAGAAACGACTGTAGAGGGAGGAAGAGGAGAGGTTGAAGATTGTCTCGGTCGTGCGGTGGAAAGGTGGTGTGACTGGGGAGGGGGGGAGGGGGAGAAGGAGGAAGGGGAACTAGAGAGGGTCCTCTATTTCCTCAGACTGACAGCTGAATTGTGTCACCTGACCTGTCAGGTACGTTTAGTTCTTCATGGAACGTTTGTTCAAACAACAACAAAAAAACTCCTGTTTTATATACTAGTAAACTACGTAGCAACGCTGAAATCCAGTTGACCTTCCAAACCAGCTTCCCCTTCAAAAAATACTAGTTTGATCAAAAAATAAACTGTGTGATCAAAATAGACGTGCTCTGATGCTTGGCTGGTGGGGTCACCGGTTAAATTTTTCCTCCCCTTAAAATAATTGATTGTGATAAAAAAAATGATTTGTCGTTATCTTCCCTCAGTTTTCCTTGGCTGGACGGTGTCTGTGGGTTTTGGACAAGATATGCCACGCCCCCTCAGTTCAGTCACAGCCAGCTGCCTACCGGTACCACGCTCTCTCGGCCTCCTGTCGACTTCAGACTGCGGGAGGATTTGCTCGTCACGAATCGTGTCGCGGAGACCTGCATAGGAGACTGTCTGAGGTGGTGGTGAGGGAGGAGGAGGGAGAGGAGAGAGGGAACGATTTGACGTCGTCCTACCTCAGCTGTCGTCTGGTGTTGGCATCTCTTCATATTGAGGAAGGCGAGGTATATACACTAATACATTTTGCATGATTAAGAGCTATCCAAACAATGTCACCAGATGAAAATTTTGAACATTATGATATCAACTTTTTTCTCCTTTGTGCAATTTTCTGGACCAAAGCACTCAGTGTATATATCACTGTTGGGACTGCTGTTATGTTTCTATCTCTGTTTTCCCCAAGTTTGACGAATGCAGGAGAGAGCTGGTGAGGCTGTTTCGTGAACCTCTCCTCGCTCGTCACACCCTCACCGCCCACACCCTCACTGCCGGCACCAAACTCACCGCTGCCCGCCTCCTCCTCTCCCGCCACGCCCCTCTCCTCTCGCTGCGACCGTTTCTCTCTCGTCTCCTCGAAGAAGAAGAAAGGACTGTCTCTCGGGAAGGAGAGGGTGAAGGGTGGAAGGTGACAGCTCTAGAACTTGTATCGGCCGCCGTAAAGACACTCTCTTCTCTCTTCGATCACCTCACCTCCTCTGGGTCAAAGGTCAATTCAAGCCCTTACAAGCCTGTATCACTAAACTTACATTATACCTACGTGTACGTACAATATTATGTTATCAGTTAGGGGCAATTTTTTGCCAAATTCCACTTTTGTGCTTTATCTTCCGCAAATTCCACTCTCATTCGTTAAGTTTTGGGCCGATTCTTGAAACATTTGCAAGAAGTGTATAGTATCCACTTTCGGCTACCATACTCATGTATGTAAGTCTAGCTCGTTTGTTTTTACCCTGCTGTAAATAGGGTGAGCAGAGTTCAGTAGGTGAGGAGATGGTGGTGGATGTGGGGACTGGACTCGCCCCTCCGTTCGGTACTGGGTAGGACATAGTTGCGTCCCAGCTGTCATCTGCATGCCGACTCCCACGTCCATCACGGAGCCAATGCGAGAGGAGGATCTGTACTACGGCCAGAGGGCAAGGGGCAGTATGAGGCGGGGGGGAGGGGGGGGGGGGAGCGTGCTTTGTTTTTTAGGGGGGGGGAGGAGGGAGAGGAGGGGGGGAGTGGAGGGGAGAGGAGGGGCGGGGGGGGGGGGAGGGGGGGGAGCGGGGAAGGGAGGCATGAGGGGGGGCGGAGATGTACGAGGGGGGGCGGGAGAGGAGGTGGGGGGGCGGGGCGAGGGGCGGGGAAGGGGCGCGGGGGAGGAGGGGGGGGAGGGGGGGGAAGAGGGGCGGGGGGGGTGGGGAGGGAGGGAAAGGGGGGGGGCAGGCTGGGGGGGGGGGGGGGGCGAGGAGGGGGCGCAGGGGGGAGGGAGGGGGGGAGCGGGGGGGAGGCCTGAGAGAAGGAGAGGGGGGACAGCGCGGGGGGGGGGGGGAGAGGGGGGGGGGAGGAGCGGGGGAGGGAGGGGAAAAGGGGGGGAGGCGGGGGGGGAGGGGGCGGGGGAGCAGGGGGGGGGTGGGGGTGGTGCGGGGGGAGGGGGAGGGGGGGGGACAGAGGGCGGGGGGAGGAAGGGCAGTAAGGGGAGGGGAGGCGGGAGTGGGGGGGGGGGGGGCGGGAGCGGGGGCGCTCGGGGGGGGCGGGGAGGGGCGCGAGGGGAGGGGGAGGGGGGGGGGAGCAGGAAGGGGGGGAAGCGGGGGGGGGGGGGAGTGGTCGGGGGGGGGGGGGGAGTCTGGCCAACATGATGAGACTTACACATCTGGTGAGCCAACAATCCCATTTTGAGCTCGGCCTGAAAAACATATGAGCTTGTATTATACTTAACCTGAAGCCATGAGAATTTTGAAGTGCATATCTGATAAAATTTTTCAGCTCTCATATATATAAAATTTGGTGCTCTGTCAACAGCCTCAAAAACAATGATCCTTGAAAATGAAAACTCGGCAGTATGCTGGTATTCAATAATAGTCTCTTTCCCTCTCCTCCTGTTTTTCGCTCACTCTCAGGCATAGGAAGTTTGTTGCTGTGGCAACGGACATTCAGAAAACCAGAGGAGACCCGACTGCAGTTCAAACCTCCGTGACCTCTTTCCTCCCTCCACCCTCCCTCCTCTCCCCTCCTCACACCCTCACCGATGACGTACAAAAGTTTCACTCCACACTCGTCGAGGCCGAATCCCTAATCCAAGGATCTAACCCATCGCAAGCTCTCACGCTCTGCAATGAACTAATCTGGAACTGTTCAAACGAACCTGATTGTAATTTGTCCTTGGCCTGGGTCCATCTGGTGGCTGGTAGGGCTCTACTGGAGGAAGTGGCCTTGTCCAGACCCGTGCTTCTCGAGGAGCTGTGGGGGGAGACTGTTGGTAGCGGGACTCAGAGGAGAAAGAGAGGGAGAGGAGGAGGGAGGGGAGGAGAGAAGATGGTTGGGTGGCTATCTCTAGTTCCAGAGCCGTTCCAAGAAGCTCTGCATCACTTTTGTACAGCTGTTCAGTTGTGTCATCCTGTTTGCCCACCTCAACCATTGAGAGAGGTAAGTATTATACATACAACTGTTTGCGTAATTGTATAGAACGTACTGTGCATTTGCATTTTACAACAGAAATGCAACAGCTTTTTGCAGTGGTAAAAAGTAGCATGTGGGTCTAAAAGGGCTCTCTCTCTCTCTCTCTCTCTCTTTCAACAGGTGTACAGGTGGATGAGTGTAGTTCTCTCTCCTTACCATCCATCGCTGGCTGCCCACTGTCTCCTTGCCTCCTCTCACCTCACCCTCGCACATCGAGCAACTTCCGCTCTCGGGAAAAAGATTCGCAATCAGTCTCACAACGCTCCAAACCCCGTCCCATTTCGGGACATCCTGATTACCTTACAGGACGGCCCAGAGGAGTGTCTTGAGATTACCGACCCCCTGGTTTTG